ACTCCGCAATCATCCCATGGTTATAACAATCTCAAGGAAAGAAACTCAAACGCGTCGGTATTAATCTCGCTTCTGTAATTCTATATTCATATAATTTGGCGATTGGTATCAACCATCAAATTCGCACATACACACACCAAACGACCGCCAAAAACCACCACTCTCGCTTCTGCTCTCCCTCCATCCACAAGGCGCTGCGCAATATCACCATTAACAAGGCATCGTCCAGTAAGAAAGGGTGCTTAGATAGCTTTTACTCCAAGCAATAAGCGCATGCAACTACATCACTCCTATCTCCGCCATTGATGCCGAAACCTGAGAGCCAACGAATATCTCTGCTTTAACACAATAGTACTGGGGCTGTTGGAGCAAAGAGCGACATCTGAACCCATTCTTTGATAAAAAAGACTTTTTTTTCTCTTGTTGTTACCTTTGACAAGGATGTAATCACCTGTTTCAAAACCAGTTCCTACACACCGAGTCAAATCTGTCAACGTATTTACTACCCTTGTTTAATACTATAATTTTTTTTTTTATTCATTAAATTCCTCACAAAGCAAGGGCCAATGCAAAAAGAAACTGAAAAAAAATTGTATAACAAAGGATCGACATCAACACTGTATGCTGTATATGGAGATAATTTTTTTGAATGCTCACTTTGGTATCTCAGTGCTATTGTTTCCGATCTGCCATTCATGCGAGAGCTTGTATTTATTTGTCGATCTCTACTATTGACTTGGACAAAACCCCAATCCAAACAAAGGAACTGAATAAAAATTGATGTGGCCTGTGAAGCAAAGGATCGATATCAAAACTATATGAGACAATGATAAAACTCATCATCAATCCAGGATATAAAAAGGGATCATTGTCTTCCTCCTTTCCCACTCGCTCGCTCCAAAGTCCCATCCCTTTTACCACTGCTACTTGTTCCTGTATCTTTTCCTCAATATTCTTTATCTATTCACTTTGGATCTTTAAACCATAAAAAAGCTCATCCATTTATACCTTTGTCGCTCTTTTTTTTTCTTTTTCATTTCTTTTCATCACCACCATCTTTCCTTTTTTCTTTCTCCTTCGCTTAGATATTGATCATGGGGCTGAAGTTCTTCTTCAAACTGGTTGCGGATCGCGGGGTTTACCTTCGGAAACTGACGTGGGCACTTTCTTGGCGGCAAATCCTGACCATTCTGTTCATGTAGATCTCCTCGGTACGTTCTATTACAACATCCACCGTAGAGACGTCCATGCAAAGATGAAAAGCAAATCCATCATTGATGTAGGAAGGTCCCTGACGCTCGAGATAAAGGATCTTTTTAAAACGGACAATCTGACTATACATATTGATGGGAGGCCTTGTAATGAGAAAGAAAAAGCAAGAACAGAACGGCAAGCCATAAGACAAAAAAATATGGATGCTTTGGAGAACGATATGAACGCCTTCGGGAGAAATTCTCAGAGTGGGGTATGGACTCGTCCTCAAGTCATAAGGCGCATCCAGAAGGGTCTTCGAGAAGTCCACACCCTCAAGGATCAGCTGGCAATAGGCCTTGGCTCTGTCTTCGATGTCTGTCTGTGTACATATGAAGCGGACCCATGCATAGGGTGCCATAATGAGGAGAATGATAGGATCGTGATATCCCAAGACTCTGATTTTTTTGCGTACGAACGAGTCTGCATCCTAGTGCGACCCCCTCCACACCGTAGACAGAAGTTTGGGGTTTACGATGTAGATAACGTTATCCAAGCACTAAGCCTGCCATCACACGAATATCTGGTGTTATTCTGTGCCATCGCAGGCAATGATTACTCAAGGAACCTCGAGACGTTGGGCCCGATTAATAATCCTCAATTAATTCAAAAGGTTGCGTGGAGCAGAAACTACAATAAGATGCTTCGAGATTACCTAAGGGAAGCTAGTAAGATGTTGGGAAGGAACGCAGCCTCTGAAGAAGGCCGTTTCAGAGTAGCTCTCCGTGTTTTTACTTCCGGCCATCAAACGTCGGCCCGAGCGTTACCATCGAACAATGAGTTCGATAACTTCAAGCAGTGTCTACTCAAAGGAAAGGAACTTCGTCATAGAATGGCTCAGCAAAGGCGAACGCAGCGCCGCAGAACGTAAGAAAGCTCAAGCTATAGTTTTGGTCTGAAACCAAACGTCCCCAATACTAATCGTTAGTCCCTTTCTTGGATAGTGTAGAGACGCACCATCATTCTATATAGCGAAAGGGTCACATAGAAACCAGTACCGGCCCATCTTTTCTGACAAGCCGAGCATATTGAATGAGCGCACAGTTGATATCAGTAACTGCCGTCAGCACGATAGGCCGGGCCTTAGGCATCCACCACGTCGGAAAAAGGCAAAAAAGAGCAACAGAAAAAACAAAAGCGGAAGCACAAAGGCAAGAAGCTCCACAGGGGTAAAAAAAGAAGGTGCACCAATTAGGAACTTGAAGGATGCTACGAAGGTTGATCACAGCTACAGTAGTAAGCATCCTATCAAGGCCTTAACAATTGGACCCCTCAAGGCTTCCATGGCAAGGAAAGGCAGACTGGACGCAGATGAAAGGGATAATATTGCAAGCCAGATCCGAGGGGCAGTTGCTGTCCGCAGCCGACTACGCCGCTATGCATACTCGGCGATTGCCTTGGACATTGAGAGGATCATGCGGCTACCAGGGGTAGCAAGGTCGAGGAAAAAGGCACTGGACGAGGTCTTGGATAGCACTAACTATTCCTTCTGTCTCGCCACCCTTCTTTTAAGTGGCCAAGGTGGCCCCCTATTCAGCTTACGCGAGGGCAGAAAAACAAGGAAGGGCGGTAGAAACGCCCACTATATCCTCGCTTATGAACATTTCAAGGCCACCACTGAACTTTCCCCAATAAAGGAAATAGACATCACATTGGGGGACGTGCAAGGCTTGATCCCAAAAAGATCTCATTTCCAAGAGCGTCAGAGCTACTAATGGGCCAAGTACAGACATCATTAAGGCAGCACTACAGGAACGCAATGGTATAACCTTGTGTAGGTTATTTTCATGCATATTCTGCAATCAAATGCTCTATATTCAGACTCTTTTATTTTTTTCTAGTTTGATGTCCAGAAAACAAACGAAGATATGAGCGACATTGAGTTTTTTTTGCGGGAGAACAAAAAAGTGAAAAAATACTCAGACTTTCCTACGCCCCCCTGGTCACCCAGGTATGTGTATCTGTCTGAACACGCCCTAGTTGACGTCCTCTGGGCGAACGAAGATACCAAGCAGCTGCTGGAGCGCATTCTGCCTCTCAATAATGCTTCCAAGACTGCAATGTATGAGTGTGTACAGGGAACAAAAGGGGTTTTGATACAGGCTCTCTTTTGTGACATTGGAGGTGATCGCATGGTTCATGGATATCGAGACAAAGTATTCCTACAGTCACAAGACAAAGATATAACTCGGTTCAAACTCAAAGAAACGATTTCTACCAACGGTCTAGTTCTGAATCTACTTGCCTATGACACAACCCAGACGAAGAGACAGCAGCAGTCTGACGTAGATGAAGAAGACCCCAGCCAAGAACTGGAGTTTTCTCAGGGATTTCTCAACACGACGTGTTCAAAGGCAGCCGGTGAAGACCTGACAGATGAAGACTATGCAAACATAAACTGGAAGAGGAGCTCCAAGCTGCTTGAAAACGTTGAGCTCACATTCAACAAGCCAGGGCGATGCCCATCCGCAAACACCACAACTATCGTCGGATGTGATCCTGGTATTGTTAACGCCCTTACGTTTTCCTCGCTGGACCCTCACAACCCTAACTTGCGGCAAACGGTGAAGGTAAGAAGCAGGTTCTTGTACCTCCCCGTCCTCCGCTTCAATCACCTGTTGAACAAAAGGAAGCGTGAAAAAGGAATGATTGAGGTTGAGAGCGCCATCCCCTGTGTTTGGAAGGGATGCGTACAACGAGTACTTTCAATGGATGAACGAAGAATCCCAGACACAGACAGGATCAAAGAATTTGGATGTGCTTCAAGAGTTCTACGAGTCCAGATGGCACCTAAAAAAAAAAAATGGGACTTACGAAAGGCTCAACGAGCTACGTTCGACTATGCGGTGCAGCGAGTATTGAAGATGCTCGGGGAAAAAGGAGTGCTTGTCGTCGGCTTAGGGTCCTTTGAAAGTAGTAAGGGAGTTCCCAGCAAGCACACTACTATAACGAGACACCTTGTCACACAGGTATGACTTTTTTAAAAAAGTAAAAAAAGCTGGAAAGCCATAGAACCTTTGCTAATAAACGACTGCCATTTGAAACGCTTAGGTCAAAGCACGAGGACACTTCACTGTAGGGGCGCACGAATTTTACACCAGCGCCCGCTGTCCCCGACCCCTCTGCGATAGCTTTTTAGAGGCTGTGTACCCTTGCTCTAAATATTGCCGCGCATGTAAGGTATTCTTCGACCGTGACGCAGTAGGGGCGGAAAACATCGCAAGAATCGGTCTTGCTCAAATTGAGAGGCAAGAGAGACCTGCAAAGTGCAAACCCTCGGAAGAGTCGTCTGCTCCGGGTGCAAAGCGCGCACGACGCTAGACACAAGTATTTGGGTGCCGGCACACCCACAAAAAAATTTGTAAGTTCTGTTTATTTTCGTCTGTATCCTTTCTACCTAATCTTTTGCCCTTGAATTTCTGGACTAACTTTAAAAACCGTACAGATCAACAGATAACATCATCCCATGACTCTGAGGGTCCTTGTAATTAAAAAAAAGTCTACAGACAATATTGTCTATACTCGATAATGAAAGGCGCTTAATGACTCAATAAGTCATAGGTATTTCTTAATCCCTGGAGATCCCTGTTATTAAAAAAATAAAATAAAGTACAGTGCGAAAGAGTGGCAATTAATGCTTTATATGTGAAAAAAGAGAAATATTAAATTTGCATGGCGTGCGTGGGATTTAATGGATGTGGCGTATTTGAGAGTTGGTTTTTTAATTGGAATTCACGCACCTTGCAATGTTTCTATTTCAGACTCATTCCTCCACTCTGTTCTGCATTCGCGTTCACGATGTTCCGATTGATCAGCCCTTTCAAATCTAGTATTCGTGCCTTTTCAGTATGTTAATATTTCTATTTGCTTGCATATGAGCTTCCTTATGGCCAATGTTCAAAGGGAATTCAGATACAATGATTGGAGAGATTCAATTAAAACAATTATCCTTTGCTATGCTTTCCTGTAGAGGCAATCTTACTCGACTTCTAGTAAGCCAGCGGGCGGTTCCAGCAAGTTGCTGACTGTTGGCCTTCCTCTTGGTGTCGCTGCTGCAGGTAGGTCGTCTGTCTCCTTCCTCTTTCTCTCTTTTTTTTATATCCATATGACTCTCTCTTCCCACCATGACTATTCATCAAGATGACAAATAGCGAAGATCTTAGTTCTACTTGTTATCATGATTTTTTAACATAATTTCCAATGTAGCCGCGTATATGTATTATGGTGACAAGTTGGGAGGCGCATCTACTACCGCTCCCACAGTAGAAGATGAGGCTACAAAGAAGGGCCCTGTTTCCTCTGCTTTGGATCCTAACGCCTTTGTTGACTTCAAGTTGAAGAGTGTGCAAAAGTTGACTCCAAACACCAGTCGCTTTACATTTGAGCTGGAGGAGAACCAGAAGTTGGGTTTGGATGTAGCATCCTGTGTTGTTACCAAGTTTATCAAAGAAGATGGCAAGCCTATTATTCGTCCTTACACTCCTACCTCTGATTCTGATCGTACTGGTTCATTCGACTTTGTCATCAAGCGTTATGAAGGTATGTGTTTTTTTGATAGAAATGTTTCTCACGGAAAATATCAGTCTGACTTAATTGGTACCTGTCTGTCATGACACAAACTAAAAATTTCTTCATGTCGTAAATGCTACATGTAACAGGAGGTCCAATGTCATCTCACATCCATAGCATGAAACCCGGTGACACCCTGTCTGTCAAGGGTCAGTATCGATTATTACTTTTAAGAATCTTTTTTTTTTGTTATTATGTTGGCGCCATATTGAGTAGATTTGTGTATACGTAACTTGTGCGTGCGACGCTAGGTCCTATCAGCAAGTATCCTCTCAAAGCTAACCAGCATGAGACTGTCACCTTGATCGCTGGTGGTTCCGGTATCACACCCATGATTCAGATCATCGGTGGACTCCTCAAAGATAAGGCAGATAAAACTAAGATTAACCTTATCTTCGCTAATGTCACTCCAGAAGACATTATTCTCAAGGATGAGATTGATGCCTTTGCTAAGGCCCATCCAGACCGCTTCAAGGTTACCTACGTCGTTGATAAACCCGTAGAGGGATGGACTGGCCCTACTGGATACGTTACTGCTGAGCTAATCAAGAAGTACAACCCTGAGATCGGACAGGGCAACACCAAGGTGTTTGTCTGTGGACCACCACGTAAGTTTGATCCTTCCTTGTTTAAACTGTTAGCAAAACTAGGATTTGCGTGTTAATTAATTTCGACATGTCTGTTATTAGCTATGATGAAGTCTGTCAGTGGACCTAAAGGCCCTAACTTCACCCAAGGTGATGTTGATGGTGCCTTGAAGGAGCTTGGATTAACTAATGACCATGTCTTCAAGTTCTAGAGAAGGAAAGGGATAGTCAGTGCATGAAAAGAGTAATAAAAATGTACCAACAGTTGATACACATCATAAAAGCGCGTTTAATAGATCATTTTGTTTATGTGATTGCTTGTCACTTGTTGTGTATCCTTCCTCTGCTTACTTGCCTTTTCTCTTGTTTTCATCCATCACACCAGATACATCGCATCGCATCTTCGTGACATCATTTGTGTAGATCAGTTTACTTTAATGTCCACAACCCTCAGTTATTGAGGAATAATTAGCTTATGAGGGCGAACACCCTTTTGACATCATGACAGATTCGAGTATAAATCTAATAGCTCAGACAGGCTACAACACTGAAACCACAGCAACTCGTATAGAAGGTAGTTCTCCAGGACAGGATGCTCCTAATAGACCAAAGTTATCAGCCCGTACAACTACGGGGTTTATACAAGAGCATGAGCGACTCCGCAGAAACAGCTTATCTAATTCAGAAAGTCATAGCAGCGACGATGGGATCGAATGGGACACTTCGGCATACTATTCGTCCGAACACGATTCTGAACAGGACAGTGGTGGGTATGATGGCTATAGTACTGACGCAGGGGATGATGATCGAGAGAGCACATATGAGGATCAAGACACTCGACATCTTTTGGCTACTTCAAAAAACGCTTGCCTAGGAGGGATGGGTATGGGGATGCGTGTGGGCGAGACCGGTACAGGAACCACGATTGGTCTCGATCTTGAGTGTGATTATCGACAACATTATCGTTCGGGTAAGAATATGAGTGGCGGAGACGACGACGATTATGATGTACTGCCTTTGACAAGAGTTAGTAACGATCCACGGCAGTCAAGGACCAGTAGAAGTGAGTCTGAAAGACAACAAGCAGGGAAAAGACTAAGGAAGAAAAGCCACCGGAATCGAAGTCGCGGGTTAATGCATACCGCGGTACCAGTGATGATGCTAACAGAGCAGGAGAAATTGATAGCAAAGAAGCAGCTTAGGATCAAGCTGTTCTGGAGCGCTTTCTATATTGTTGCATGGTATGTTTCCTTTTTTTAGGCGATGATATTTTTGGGAAAAATAACATATGTCGCTTCATTACATTCTGTCATGCTAACATGCTTTGCGCTTACTGGTTTTGACTAGGTATGGCTGCTCGACTTCTCTATCATTCTACAACAAATGGTTGTTCTCACCCAACCACTACAGTTTCCGATTTCCACTCTTTACAACGTGCCTGCACATGGTGACGCAATTTTTGTTATCTTCTATCACATTATCAATGATACCGTCTCTACGGCCGCAAGCAGCACCATCAGCGAAAGACTTTGGGTAACGCATTCCTGCGTGTATTTATAAGTGTTTTTATTTTTATTTTTTAAAAAAGGGAAGCAGTTTAAAAACTGACAACTGAAACTGGCATGATAATTGGTCCTCTCTTGCTTTTTTCCTCATTCAACTCTAGAACAAAGATCATGCCATGTGCTTTGGCATCTGGGCTAGACATTGGGCTCAGCAACAATAGCTTAAAGTCGATTACTCTTGCCTTTTATAGTATGTATGCAACTGATGACAGAAGTTCTTCAAGATAACGACGATAATAGGGAAACCTAACTTTTTTCTTGTGTTAGCCATGTGCAAATCTTCATCGCTTGCTTTCGTACTGTTGTTTGCATTTTTATTTAAGCTTGAGAGGCCAACTTGGGCCCTAGCAGGAGTCATTGGCGTTATATCCATTGGGCTTTTCATGATGGTTATGTCCGAGGTGAATTTCGTGCTTGCCGGGTAAGTTTATATCTCAAGTCATGGCTTTTATGCTTAAATACATATGCTATATTGATCATGGCTTCTTTTTCTTGCTTTAGATTCATCCAAGTCATGCTGGCTTCAGTCTTGGGTGGATTAAGGTGGTCTTTAACACAGCTATTGTTGGAGCGAACAAACACGAAATCTGGAAGTTTAGCCAATCCAATTTCAACCATCTTTTTCCTATCACCAATCATGGGAATATGCCTTTTCATCGTGGCTGGGGTATTTGAGGGCTATACCAACATATTCAGTTCCGAGTTTTTCCAAACTGTTGATTCAGGCTTAAGGACATTAGGCTTATTGCTCTTAGGAGGCATATTTGCGTTCAGCATGGTATTGGCAGAGTTCAACTTAATTGCCCGGACAAGCGTAGTGTCATTATCTGTGCTAGGGATTATCAAGGTAAATAGATGCCATTGATTTAAACCTTTTTAAAATGGCTGCTATATGGGCTTTCTTTGATATTAATCATTAAAGCTTTGTATATATTTTCATGTGGGCTAATAGGAGGTCATAACAATCATCATATCTTCTTTGGTGTTTGATGATAAACTCACGGTTGTCAACATTCTTGGACTTTTCATTACACTTTCAGGAATTGGATTCTATCACTTTATGAAATTGCGCGAACTCAAAGCAAAAGCCAGAAAAACCGCCAAGGAAATCGCGAGCCTAAACATTGCCACTTCTGTAAATAGTTTGAATGGAGGTGGAGCTGATCTGGCGGCAGTCCATAGCCGTCGTAGGAAGCGGCAGTCTAAAGGCATGCATCATCGCGGTAAGTCCAAGCTAGACCGGCCTATTGGTGGAGAGGTCCTCTTGGATGATGAAGCAGCAATAGAAATGGTAGGAGAATCGAGCAGTAATCTCCTAGCAGATGAGGCAATAGAGATAGATTCGTCAGATACGCATAGAATGAGCACTGATCTCTTGTTGGAAGACATGGACGCCTCTGTCACTTCAAAATAAATGAAGAGTATAATTGGAAGGATATGGGACAAATAAGTGGAGGCAGCACAAGAGTGAGTAAATAGTACGTCTGTTCCACACAATAAGTGTTTGTTGTACATGCATTTTTAATCAAATTAAATTCTATGAATAGACACGTAACAGACAGACACGAAAGAGACGTGGAGGTGTGTGGGAGAACCAGAGAATGTGTCAATGAGAGGAGTCATGCATTTCGTTTCATTTTTTTTTTTTTTTTTTTTTTTCTTCACCCATTCTCCTTTCCTTCAAACAATATAAACATCGACGATCGCGCATATTCTGCTGGTACGGTTAATGCGTCGGAATGACTACGACTTCTGGCCTTGCTCGGTCATCTTCACCCTCATCGGCTTTTGAGTCTGCTGCTGCACTTGCACCCATCGCTCAGATACATCAGCACAGCCAAGAACACGCCGCACTCCCACTTCATCGCCTCGAAAGCAGCAGTGGTATCCTTTTATCTTCAACTCAAAAGCCAAACACGACTGCAACTTCTACCGTTGGGACTCATACATCAGGATACGATATTGCTCTTGTTCACCATCGTAACAGTGTTGAATATCGCGCAGGCTACAACAGTCCATTCGTATCGGATTTGCCAGCCAGTGACAATAATACTTATACCGGACGACCTGTCCTTGACTCTAGTCGTCGTTATTCCAGCGGACAAGGCAGCATTCATCCAAGCCCATTCATTGAGGGATCTGCTACTATTGCAAGCAGGCGACAAGCCAAACTTGGTGGACAGATACCAACACTTGCACCAACACTCGAGACCCCAGCTTCCTCAGCTATTAGGAATTCGAATAGCAGTATAAACGCAGCTGCGGCCGATTTTCATTCGTCATTCGATCAAGATTTTCAGCATCACCCACACCCTCAAAGCAGCCACGGAGCATTTGGCTCAGGGCCACATTCACCTGCATATTCGATCTCGTCCTTATCTGGGATTATCCCAGGCTCGGCATCTATATCCAGCATCGCTAGCACTGCACAGACAAAGCCCCCGGCATTAGAGCACAAACATCCGATCACTATCAAGGAGTTTGAGAATATCCTTATTCTAGGACCAGCACAACAGGTCGCCATCAAAACACTTTGCTCACCAAGGATTTTGAGCAGGATTGACACCATTGGCTGGTATTCCATACTTGGTGCGCAGAAATTTCCCACAATCAATTCTAGGTAAGCAAAAAAAAAAAAAAAAAAAAAAAAATATGACCACGATCAGTCATGATGTCAATTGACTACAATGAGCTTAAAATTTGGTAACAGCCATTGTCGTATTTGAAACTAACTATAGTCAGGACGCATACGATATCGAGATGGCAACTACGTATGCAGCAATTGAGTTTGGTTCCAACAATCCACAGACCCAAAACTTCAATACACTTGTATTGCAACTAATTTCGCAACTAAAGCTTATCAAAGATCAGGACTACAAAGGGTATTGACTAAGGGCCAGAGGCCAATTGCACATATTTCAAGTGTGAATTTCCACTCTTATCCATTTGCATTGCATATAGAGTCATGCCTAGTTTTATTTACCACTCTCATGTGCTTCATACTTTATTGCAGTGATATACCCAATCATGCCTACAACGCCTTGTTTTTGACGCGGATCTTTTTAAATCACTTCATTTCGCATTTGTCATCAACGGAAATGGTCGCTTTCTTTGAAGGTTAGCAGGATGTAGTTACTTATCAACTTTGGATATTTGAATCCCTATTCAGATAACTAAACAACATAGCATGTTGTCATTAGGATCAAATCTTTCAGTTGAAGCCCAGCAGGAGGCATTGGGCATAGTTTCTTTCAAAGGATGTAAAATCGGAGTGGACCAGACTTTGGTTTCCGATCCTAGATCGTATGCGGAGCAATTAATTCAAGAAGTTCTAGGAATTATTCTGAATTTAGATGCGGGGTAAGTTAACATGAAATATCAATAGACGAAAGAAAAAAGGCTTTGTAAATAAACCGTGCATGGGCTAAATATGCAACATTTCCCACAAATTAGGTCTACCTCATCTGCATATGAATTCTACGAGGAGACGCTCAATTTGATGATTGTGATGTCATCAACCCAACTTCAATTGACTAGTGCAGAGCCAAATGAGAAAAACTATTTTTTGAACCTCGTACTCCAGAACTTTAGGTCAGCACATGTCTGTGGGAGTTATTCAGAGGCTTACTACCGCGTTAGTGAAGAGGAAGACTGACAGACTTCATCCTTTTTTCCCCGATGCATTCAGCCACCTAGCGGACCAATTAACTTTAAGGTTATTGTGGAATTTCACTGACCAGAGACCAAGCCCGCCTTTGACAGGAAGTCTTGTATATAATGCATACAATTATTTATTTTCGAAGACAGGAACATCGCCATCATCAGAGGCACATCCGATCGCAGACAGGAGTGTCCTACTTCTGCTGCTTTTGCACTCTCAAGCAAAAGGCCATCCTGGTTGGGAAGCATTTAAAAGATCGATTCAGAATATTCGGGATGAACGAGGTGATTGCGAGGTTCTGAGATAAGAAAGTCGTTCTTTTTTAATATAAATAATATTTTGTTCGTTGGTTGATTTTTTTTTTTTTTTTTTTTTTTTAGGGTCAATGACGGATGATTCGAAGGACTCCAGTATATTTATTTCATTCCGCAAGATTTTTCATATCATATGCCAGTATGGTTTTGTTCCAATTAAACATGCGCCCCCTTTCCTGCTTGGATACTCCCTTTTAGACTTCATTTGCTATTTTTTAAACTATTAACACTATTAACATGAGTGTTGCCATACTTTATCTAATCTGTAGACAAATTCATTGTGAAGAAGTCTGTTTATTATTGCATGTGTTGCTTGTTGAGAGCACGTATTTTAGGACATACGTCTTGTCACGAACAGATCCAGAAACGCTCGTAAGTGGGTTGGGGACGACCAGACCGTTGTGTTATCACCGAATGCATAATCCGGATTTTAACACCAGTTGTCTTTCTTCCGGATGAGTACAGTATCTTCCCATCTTACGTATGGTTTATGAGGGTGTCGAAGGCAGAACAAACTATTCTCAAGTCTATGTTCTGTTAGTTATCATGCTTTTGTTCAGCCAAGATGAAGTCTTTAACGACAATATCCAAAAAATCGTAAGCCGAGTGTATGAGGCTGTATGAAACGATAAAATGATATAGGCCATATTTTGCTTGCTATAGCTCTTATACCATCCTGTTTTCTAGACAATGACGTACCAGCCTTGGTTTACTGAAAGGTTGCTAAAGTCTATCTCGCTTGGTGGCCTAGCTGTTGCTATCGTCATTCGAACTATCCAGTACAACCTAGCGCAGCACAAGGTACCAATCATCCTATGTGGTTCCAATCCATGCTCCTCTTTTGAATGTATGAAAGGAAAGAGGGCTTTATTGCTTACATTATCCTCGTTATCTCTCCTTTTTTTTACTCTAGGATGTTTACTTTCATACTAATTCATTAGCAATCTTAGCCAATATGTCCAACTCATTACAGGACATGCATCCATACGTCTCTCAGAGACTTGTAACTTTATTTGACATGATCGCACGAAGATACCAAAAGCTGGCAACCAAGCAAACGCTATTAGATGAGAACATCGACAAGGTATGTCGACACTATTATACAAGCTATTGAAGGTTGAATGGTCTCGTTTGGAGTGTTGTTCCTAATTTTCATTGCTTACTTGCTCACGTACAGAACGCCGATGTAATTATCTATGGGGACATGGTCACACTCGTCCTCGAAATCATAAATTCTACTCTGACGCACAAGCTCAAGGCAAATCCTCAGCTTGTTTATTCATTGCTTCACAAGCAGGAGATGTTTACGTATTTCCGAAATGATTTGAAGTTTAAAGACCTCATTTACAACATTGAACAAGCTGTTAATTACTTTCAACAAAAGGTATCCGAGGCAAATATCAAAGCACCAACGCCTGAGGAGGTGGCTCAGGTGATTCATACGGCTTCTAGGACGTGGCCACCTAATCTTATGAAGGTATATCCAGACATTAAGTTTGAGTATGAGGAACAAGAACAGTCAAACGATTTCTTCTGTCCTTATGTATGGTCGCTCCTATACAGGAACATGTTTGTACATTGGGACGAGGAAAAAGCTAGGATTTTACATGAATATAGAACAGTAAGTTCGTTTATATTTATTAGTACTTCTGCTACACTAGGAACATCTGTACGTTATTTACTATTGCTTTGCCTTATTTTTCTTAGGCGGTGGGCGACGAGCATGCTTTTGATGGCATGCTCATCGGGAACCAGGCATAGCATTCACTTAATGCTGTAGTGATTATAGCAGAATAAAAGAAGCGCATGGACAAACAGACGAACAATCAGACAAATAAGCAATATATATATATATATTCGCACAGTTACTACTGTCATTGTTTGATAAAGAGTATAGCCTGTTTTGGCTTACGCGCATTATGTACTCCAAATGAATAGAGCAAATTTACATAGAGCACTAACTTTGACGTGTCGTCGCTTTCACTAATCATCTTATTTTTTATCTTTTATCATAATTAAACTTTGATGTAAATTGTAAATTAACAGATATGATCATTTTGGAAAAAAAGCATTGTAGGCTCAACGGTGCTTGGTGATGATGGTAGACTGTTAGCATAAGAGGACAGGTCTTTGTCATTGGTAGTAGTAAGCTCAAGAATAACTGGAGTCTAAAGTGATAAAAAAAAAAAAAAGATAAAGAAATAGGCAGCCTTTTATACAAATACGAAGAGGACCGCGGCAAGCCTTCCTCTCTTCCTTCTTCCTTCATGTGGTAAAATGCTAGAGTCTCTTGCTAAACTAGGTTTACTTTTCAAGGTTGCTGAATATAGAAAAAGAAGTAGAAGCCTAGATAGTGAATAGGGCTTCGTTATGAGCATACTCAAAACCCTAGTGAGGGACAGGGTATGATGAAGCATATCTTAAAATAGCAAGACAGTGTATGCTGTAATAAATGTTATTGTTATGCTCAATTTGCTCCCGTGCTTGTGTCTTGTTGAATAGCTAGACGACACTCTTTGTTAAGTTCCAATAAAACTCTTACTTTGGCGCGTCAGCAAAGTGCTGTAACTTATATAAGGATCGCGGTACAAGTAGAACAAACAGTAATGCTGTATCAACATCTGTCTCTAACAGTCCATTCATCATTTGTATTGTGAATAAATGCTTGTACTTCTGTCCACTCAGCAAATAGTAGGGAAAAAAAGAGGACTCCTTCCTCCATGGTGTGGAGCGAAAACGCCAAGCAGATAGGTAATTGCTTTCACAGGGAAGCGAATAGGAAGCTCATTTTATCTCTATATTTTATGTTTGGAAGCGTGCATAAAAAGCCATGACTTGTTTCCTATTTTTGTTGTCTTCCAAAAACTCGTCTCATTAACATCTTTATCTACTTTCCTCTTCCTATAACTCAAAGGTGAGCATACCAAGTTTTTTTTTTTTTTTTTTTTTTTTTGAACACGTACCATCATGTTAAACATGTACAGCCTCCACCAGTTGCTATATCACGTAAATTGGAGATTTTTTAAGGAAAAGGAATCAAATAACTTGCTCCTGCTCTCTCTCTTTTTTGTTGTTGTAATGAAGTTGTTCATATGCATACTAATATTTTTACAAGTGTGCCAGATATGAAAAATATTCTTACAGGGGTTTCTACTGTATTTATTAAATATATAAATGATTACAAGAAATAGAAAGAAGTAAGAAGGGCCTATAATCAGAGAGCACAGATGAATAAGCAAATTAGTCCTAAGAGTATATTTTTGAATAACTGATGACTTGCTAACTTTGTTGGTGCAAAAGAAACAATGGTCATTGGTGGGTCCTCAATATCCGTGCTATTGCTTCCATTAGGAGTCATTGAGTCAACATATAGAAGTTTCCTTGCAAGGACTTTCCCATGGAATTTCAGAGTATCATATTCTGTAATCTCTGATAAAATTGATGGTGACAAAGACGAATTGTGAGAGAGTCTCGTGCCAGCAACAGTCGATTGACCGTTTAGGCTGAAACTTGTCCCTGACTTCAAAATCATTTTTGCCAGTGTCCTAACGGGGATGTTATCCTTAGGTGATTCTGAAAGGAGTAAAGCCATCAAACCAGCGACATGAGGAGAGGCCATTGATGTTCCACTTTGAACATGATTGGCAGAATTAGACCCAGTCCAGGCCGAGAGAATATTCGTACCCGGTGCATAAATAGCAACACATGGGCCCCAATTAGAAAAATGAGCAACTGTGTCATCTTGGTCCGTTGCACCAACTGTTACAGCCCCAGGTGTAGATGCTGGTGAGAATTGGCATGCGTCCTTACTATCATTTCCGGCTGCGATTGAGAAATGTATACCAAGCTTCATAGCTTCTTGAATGGCTATATTGGTAAGTTCATTATATTCGGCGCCTAATGACAGGCTTTTCAAACATTTTGAAAGGAAGCAAGGATGATTAATAGATGATTTGGGTAGAGAAGAAGAGCTACATTTTTGTTGTTATTATAGAATGAATAGTGAGTATAGGGATACAAAAGGATTCGATCGAATAGGCATACTTTATGACTGATCGAGCACTTGCTCCTTGTGATAGATGCTGTTTGACAACCCATTCAATCGCAGAAAGAACGTTTGAAAGCCTCCCAGAGCCAGCATTATCTAAAGCCTTCAAGGACACAACTCGAGCCTTTTTAGCCACGCCAAATGTTGTTCCTGCGGCAACTGCGGCGACAAAGGTTCCGTGCCCATTCCTGTCTGATTGGTCGTCTGTGCCTGGTACGAAGGTTGGTCCATGCTGTGCTCGTCCCTCGAAATCCTTGTGCTCAATATTGACCCCGCTTTTGCATCAGTAAAGAAAGAATAATATTGTAAAATATGTTAATTTTTTTTTTTTTTTTTTTTTTTTTTTTTAAAAAAAATAAAAATAAACAATGAGGATTGAAAAATTTCTTTACGTATCAATGATATAGATAGTGACATTCTGTCCGGCACTGGCAGGATAATGATAGAGGCCATCGAGCCTGTCATTTCTCTGATCAATCCTGTCTAATCCCCAGTTCGGAGGATACTTTTGTACTCGTCCATACATTTGAACAGATAAGTCTGGTATTACGTATTTGATATGATGCACGTGCCTTTGTTTATGGATACGTACTGCTGTCTTTGGATCTAACGTCGTTGAATACCACACCAAGTTGCCCACAGAAGCAGGTTTGATCTTCAGTCTGGTGTATGCATCGCGTTCAGCTCGATCTCTATTGTCCTTGATATCGACAATGGCCCTGAACCATGCTGGATGTTGCTGCGAGTTCACAGCGGACCCTTTTTTTATTACACTGTGGTCTGCATTGTAGTCACATTTACCCCTGGAAATAGCAGAAGAAGGATAAGGGTGTGCTTCAGGAAGAGGGCCTGGGACCGGACTGGAGGTAAGACTATCCTTTGAGAGAATGGTATCTGGCGCAGAGGAGTGCATCATGACGATGTATCTACATGCGGAGATGTGGTCTACTGGGCAAAAGTCCTCTTCTGAGACAAAAATAAGGACATGGTTCAAGCACAGGAAATATAATTTCATGAGCTTTACAACACTAGAAAGAAGATTGTATCCAGCATGAATACCATTAAATTATTTGACATAGCACAACGCTGCATAGACAGTGGCATACTTTGGAGAGGAAAGGCTCTTATGCCTGTAACAATCAGATATAAAAAGGCAATAATATTAAAGATGTAATGAGTGTAGCAGTAGTAGCCGACCATGTTGAATCAGAGAATGAGTTGAAATGAATAAAGAGATCTAATGCTCCATCACAATCAAGGAATTAATATGATCTACCTTGCTGTGACTTTGGATGAAAGTAAGCATGGCAGCAACAGGATAAAGAGATGTTAGTAAAAGATAGTAATGTCCTTGTGTTGTTCAAGTCGTGTGGCCCTGGTCTTAAATCGCGATTTGAACTTGGCACTTACTGGAACAGCACCGACTATAGTTTTATAAATCAGTCTCAATAAAAATAGAAAGAAAAAGGCTATTCATCCATTACGCACATCGCAGACTGTTTCTCTTTCTTGCTTCTTACTTTTTTATGTTTGTATTTGGCATAGAAAAGTATTCAGCGTTCCTGAGAGAAATTTCATCTGCGTGGATTCTCTTTCTTGCTGTGTTTGTAGCCCCTTGTGGAATGTTGTGTTTGGTACACGCTGTTTATTGCTTTTTACTGCGAACTTATGAGGTAAAGAAAGAGTCTGCATAAGATTAGTTTGTTCTGCTCAAGGTTTTTGTAAGCATGGCGTATTTCACAAGACTTCGGAACTTGTTCCAATATGGTTTTCAATTTTGCGAGTCATACTCACCGAGACAAGGCACCGAGAAAGCTGTACCAGAGGGTTTTTTGTTTATTGGTTAGAATGCCTTGGACCAATTAAGCCATGGCTACACTTGTGAATCGTGTGTATAAATATTGATGAGTATCGTACGAATAGTTTTTATTACAATTTCATTAGGATGGGATATGACTTTGGCCAGGAAAAAGAGTAAGGGGTAAAAGTAGGCTCTTGGCAAAGCATAGTCTACAGCTGTGTCATATACTCACCACTACACATTATTGTCGACGGTTGCCACAAGTTTGCTCTTTTGGTTATTCTCATTGGCCTAGTATCAGACGCGTGAAATATAGACATCTACATTTCGTCCTTACGAATAACAAACAACGATAAAAACGAATTCTCGCCCCTGTTGCATGCTCGCTCCTTTTTTTTTTTTTTTTTTTTTTTGATCGTATACAAATGCTCACTAACGCATTCTTGTGGATGATCGCCTCTATTCTTTGTCACTCTCTTTGCTTACTATGCTCTTTTCTTCTAATTCTTGGTTTCCTTTTTGCTCTCTCTACCCCTTTCTACTCTATCTCCTTCTTCACTCTTCAGCGCCACATATCGTAGACTCATTCTCCTCTATTAGGGCTGGCTACCAGCACTCCATCGCGTTGCATCGCTCCACCTCACCCTATCTACGCCTTGATTTGTCTTGTCTTTGAAATATAATAACGCTCATTTCCATTCCTATCCCACCTTACCCTACTTTGCTCCATCACCCATTCGATCCTTCCAGTTTAATGACAATAGTGCCTTCGCGTGGCCCAAGTACCTCAACAAATAGTGTCACAATAGGCACAGCCTTATTACTAATAGCACCATCTTCACGTTTATTAATTCCGCCTTTCACGGGATCCCTCGCTGGCAAGGGTGTTATTTACTGAAGCCTATAAAGAAGAACTCCATGGAGTTGTCTCTAACGAGTCCACGACATCCTGAGGCGGTACATATGCTCAACGAGTGGCAAGAAAAATTAAAATATCGTCTATGTTTGAGGGTCATGGAGAAGACTTGTGCTGAAGGTCGATCAAGAACAAAGGTAGTTTAAAGTAACAACGCAGATTAGCTCGTATGAGAAATTTTTATCAGGCGCCCTCTCGCAGTTTCCTGGGGCAATATCACTCCACAGATCTATCCATGGTAGGAGCACCAGTATTAATCACCTCGAAACAGAAGCTAATATAGTATGCAAAATGCGGATACCAACCTATTAGATTCCACAGCTAGGTGCTATCCAGACGCACTTGGCTTACGCAGGAGGGACCTAGCCATAAGAGCAATATCTATTTGGTCGAGTGTTAGTGGAATGAAAAAGAGGAGTATTCACTAACACAAGTGGACGGCATGACTTAGTAGTACGCTATAAACAAGGACACCATTTCCGTGAGTGAAAGAAAAGAAGATATACTTTATAATCTGCATTACCACTTTTTTTTACTTTTTTTTTTTTTTTTTTTTTTTCGGTAATAAAATTCAGGAATACGATATATTTAGCACTTGCAGCTTTCGCATAGCCTTTGATGCACTGAAAAATTCCGAGAAATAAATAACTACATTATTGTATGGTCAGGGGCGTTCACAGCTTGGTTGAAATATTTTATGATTTAATCCGCTTTGGCAAGATTGTATTAACGCAATATGTCAGAAAAATGAATTTTTCATGCAATGTTGAATCGAAAATAGTGTATTGTAAGGATATCGCTCTCTGGCTGAAGCACTACTAGCTTAATATGATAGATATGCTACAGCACATGCAGATCAAAGGAGGATGATGAAGTGGAAACTAGCGAATGGGAATATGAGTAGTCTACTGATTATGATTCTCGTGAGATATGAATATGTAGACTAATTAGAGAAAGCATTTGATGTTAATGTCAGGCCAGGGTAGTGATATTCTTTTGATCAAGCGCAATCGGCGTCATCATGCCTTGATCGTGCACCGGAGTTAATTCAATCTAAGGAAAAGAAAATTGCGCTAGAGATGACGCCTTCCTGTTCAGAAGAAAAAGGAACGCGTAATAGGAGAGAGGAGCGAGGAGAGAAGAGAGAGGAGGGCATGATGACAGATGCAGAGCCCTAGATTATGAAAAGTAATGTGGTGAAACCTAAAAAAAGTAAAAAAAAAAAGACATGTATATATATATATATATATATATTATTATGTCCGTATCACATATGAAGGGAGACTAGTCAAGTAACTATCTAAATTCTAGCAATCAGGTTTTATGGCAGCGACTTCGGGCATGATGTCAATTGTCGGCCCCTTGTTGCGATTTTGCCCTATTGAATAATTCCAACTTTGACGAGTTTTGCTGATTTGTGCATCATTTCCTGTGTACTTAGCGCTAAAATGTCTGAAAAAAAATAATCATCAATGGATCTGGAACTTTATGTCTAATAAACAAGTACATATACACATATAATGTTTATGACGACTATGAAATATGTGTGTTGACTAGTCTAACTTTTTAAGTGTCCTGAGGTTATGCATCCATGACGCATTGACCCATTTAACAAAAGTTTTCTTTAGGAATATAATGTTCCCTTTTCTGGATCCCTGTTTTCTTCCAACAAAAAAAGTAAAAGAGTATCAAGATCCATCTTTAGTCTAATCAAATCACACTAGTCTCACGATCCTAATGCGAAATCGCGTACAGCACATGGTCGAAGGCTAAAAAGATTAATAAACACAGCTGTTGTCTTCACTAGCAAGCTCAATCTGTAGTAAACCAACCAATCCGGATATTATTTATTTCCGCATGTATTTTCTGTGATGTATGGAACTTCTTTTTATCCTCAAAATGAACGGCCTCAATCATTTCAGACTTAGCAGTGCCAAAAATACAAATGCAACATGTGCAATGACGTACATCAAGAACGTCGCAAATTCATTCTTAGTTTTTTGACTCATGTGCCTACTCTTTTTTCTTTCCTCTCAACATATAAATATTTCTTATCCTTCCTTTTGAAAGAGAATTCTCTTTTTCATTCTCAAGTGAACAGTTGCTGTTATACATTTTACCAAATAAGTCATCACCAGCTTCATCTTTTTTAATTTTATAATTTTATTTTATTTTTTCTTTAAAAGGCACAATTAGACAATTGAATAATTAAATAATTAAACAATTAGACAATTAAAGATCTCCATCTGGGATATCTTTTATTGCTTGTGTCACTTGCTGAGTGAACCTTGTGTCCACAGTTGATCTGCGACACTCCGCCTTTCATTTGTCTGCACCCTTGTCTATATCTTTATCCATATCTGTGTTGAATCCACTCCTACTTCGCCTGCAAATTTCCTTACACTGACACCCAATCTCCTTTTTTACACACTGTGCAGTCATTTTCTTTTTCATTATCATTATCATTGCCACATTTCAGTATCAATTTCAAACATCAACATTGGTATCAACAGGGTCGAGATCACCCTTATTCTCGGTCTTAAGAGCAACAATTATTAGCTGCAGCTTCTCTCCCTTAACAACAGCGTCATTACCACCTGTTCAGTATCTCCTAATTACATTCCTGATCTTGCCTACCTAAACCAAACCACAACCAAATATCGAGCAGACTACATCGCACCATCCATCCAGATCGACAATTCATACCATCACCACACTCCCTCTTGAATAATCAGTCAACACTCTGCATAGATTATTCTCGTTTGAAAATTGAAAGCTTTTTCTCGTAGTACCTCGCCTTCCTTCAACTTCATCTGCAGCTGTGACAATACCTTGTGGCTCTAGGGATTATTCAACCAAGTACCGAAGTCAGTTACATCTAGCTACTCAAATATGCCACCAGTGACACAAATCAATAACATCACGTCTGGTCCGCTTTGGGAGCCATATCCCAAAGGATCAACTATGGAGCGCAGAGGTTCGTGGCACAAATCCACTCAATCTCAAAATATCCAATTCAACTCTTCCCCTCTCTCGTCTCTCAGACTGCCACTGGCTTCAACATCATCTCTCCCATCCACACCATCAGCGTCAACAAAACCGCCCACTCTTGAAGATCTTGAGATCGAAGAGATGAGCACCGATAGGGTCTCAGAGCTAGTTAAAAGGTCCATCAATAGTCGTAATGGTGATAGGAACATTGTTCTGCTACTGGACATGCGACCGCTTACCTGCTATGCTACGTCCACTATCAAATCTGCCATCAATGTGAGTGTGCCCAATGTGTTATTGAAGCGTCCCATGTACTCTCTTAAGATGGTGATGGAGCAGTTAAGGACGGAGAGGGAGGTTGAAGCTTTCTCGAATTGGAGAAAGTTCTCCAACATTGTGGTATTTGATGCTACGGGGACACTACCCGTCAAGGGATCGCCCATTTTTTGCATTATTCAGAAGTTTCGCCAGGAAGGCTGTTCAGCCAAAATGGCCTTTATTCATGGTAAGCAATAAGCAACAAGTAATAGGCAAGAGGTGATAGTATTCTATATAGAGTAAATATATATCATGATTTCACTTCTTACTATGAGCACTGATTTCTATTCAAGGGTATCAAGTTCCTTTTATTTATTACAACTGGACTGACATATCCTTATGATCATTCTATTCGTATAGGAGGATATAATGCATTTGCTCATAGCCATGCATCTCTGTGCTATGGTGCAAACCAACAAGGGATGCTTGATGTATCAAACAAAGGTCAAGAACAGGAGGGATCCAACCCGAATTCAGTCAGCGAGACAAAAAAATCCTCAACTAACGTACGCAGTCGCCTACATCTTGGTTCACTGCCCGAGATTATGGCCAAGCCAAATACCGGTGAGACCTCCGTGTGCCAGACACCCATGATGGAGAATCCCAATATCAACCCCCTTTTTGAGAGTGTCCGTCTAGCAATGGGCCTCAATACAAGCATCACGGAAGAAGTTGCTGTCCGCCTCCCACTTGGATTTACAGCCGACAGTCTTCAAGGCCAACTCCCCTCTTGGCTAGATGAGGCCATTCATCCTGACAAAGGCAAGTCTAGATTGGCCAAATGCTTTCAGGTAAGACTACAGAAGACTATATAAAGTTTAGATGATAGTTTTATTAAATCAATCTACCTCAAAGGAACTCAAAGAATGGTTGTATTCACATCTTCTCTCGTGCAACCACCATGACGGCGATTTCTCTGTTTAGAAAATCGAGGGTAGTGAGAAGAAGAGGCTTGCTCTGCTGATGGCGCCCCAGGAAATGACATCTAATAAGGAGACAAAACTCAGTATTTCTGCCGGATTGGAGAAAGGGTTGAAGAACCGGTATAACCATATCTGGCCCTTTGATCAGACACGAGTTAAGATCAAGGAGTGCCAGGACGAGGAAGATGATTATATTAATGCCTCGTTCCTAAACTCTCCCTTCGGAAACAAATCATACATTGCAACTCAAGCACCATTACCATCGACATTTCAAGACTTTTGGAAGATAGTCTGGGAGCAAGGGTCACAAGTTGTTGTCATGCTCACACGCGAATTCGAGATGGGCAGGATTAAGTGTCATCAGTACTGGCCATCATCAGAGCATCCGATCATGGATCTTGGCCTCTTGGAGGTCAAATTTATTAACGAGCGTCGTCTCGATGGCTTCAATGACACAATCTTGGTACGTCAGATGTGTTTGAGACATCGCAATCGCGACCATACTCAGGAAGAGAAGGCAAGGTCGTCAACGCGGATAATCACCCAGATTCAATACACTGGCTGGCCAGATTTTGGCGTCCCGGAGACGCCAATGGATGTACTCAGGGTGATTTACCTTGCGAACAGCTACAACAATGATGTCCAAGCATTGGCGGGCCCGATGGTGATACATTGTTCCGCGGGGTGTGGAAGGACTGGAGCCTTTTGCACTATTGACTCTGTACTTTCTGGATTCAAGCAACAGTCCTCCGAAGTGCTTGGTATTGCGCGAACTTCATCAGACTTATCTCATCCCCGTGGTATTCACAACAATGCTTACGCTTTAAATACCATCGGACGAGCCCCTACGCAGAGTGAGTGGCTGGGGGGCTCGACAATTGATGCAGTTTATGCGACCGTAAACAGGTTCCGAGAGCAGCGACTTTCGATGGTTCAGTGTTTGCGTCAATATGTGTTCTGCTATGAGGCTATTGTTTGGCAATTGGTGATTGAGCGTGATGGTTGTGGGGAAACGTTGGTGTCGCCTTCCAAAGGTGCCATTGTGTCTCAGGCACCATGTTCTTCGTCATTACGATCCATGTCGTCGGGCCCTGCCAAGTTCTCTAAAGAAGATACATATTCACCAACAACATCATACTTTAGCTGAATAAAGTAAACAAAAAAGACAAAAAAAACTGTATTGGTCTCTGCGCACAAACCTTTCTCTCATGCTATTCTTGTACACAAGCTGAAGAATAAAATCCTCATCCTTTTGCTTTTGACGGATGGAACTAACCACAAAAGATGTCTTTCTCTTTTTCTCCTACTACTGCAGTTTGGCTGGTTTATGTAGCACTTAATTATATGTCCTTTCTATTCTTGTCTGACTCTCTTGACACCTTATTGTCTTCATCTTATTTTACTCATGTTTCTCCTTAGCATCGCATCCCTTGGCATTATAGACTAGCTCATCCAACGTGTATTGCGATTGCCACCATGTGTCAGCATGTTTATAATGTAAAAGAAAGCTCCAGTCTTTTGTGGAGCACTTTCGCACAAACTCATGTTGGCCATATTTTATTTTACATAAAAATGCTCCTCCTAGAATACCCTTGCTCTCCTACAAACACTCACCCCTTTCCTTGTTCTTGAAAGGATGATTGCCGCTTTTTTTTTTTTTTTTTTTTTTTTTTTTTTTTCTGCGTAGCGTCCCTGGTTTTGAGGCTGGACCATCTACCCCTCTGTTTCTTTTCTCACTCTCTCTTTTTTTTTTTTGTCTAGAGTTCCTTCTTTGGCTGGTACTTATCTCTTTCTCTTCTACCTCCCCTCCTCCGCCCTTTCAATCCTGCTTCCACATATTCCTTTACATCCACATATTGCATGGACTTGCTCGTCCTTCAGTAACAGCCTCTAATTCCCACATCAATAGCAGGGGTGAAGACACTTGGGTCTGCATACTTGTTTCAAACCCTAACATACTAACACCTACAACGTCAATAACTTCATAAACATAGTCCACAATCCCATTCAGTGCCTTCAAATATCCCTCCTTTCATTTATTTTGTGCTTTCTTTCCTTCTTTTTAACTCCATCCTTTTACTTTATGCAAACTTGACCAAGTTTAAGTCATTATACTCTCTCTTCATTACGATCAAAAGTCCTATAATTGCTCAAGGCGGATATTTAGTCAAGCTTTTTTTTTTTTTTTTTTTTTTTATTTTTTTATTTTTTTATTGCTTCTATTCACGGCTATTTAAGAAAGACAGTGCCCATATCCATAACCCAAGCTCGAACACGGCGTACGATCTAGCCTCAACTCTTCAAAATTTGTTTCATCATCAGTAAATTGACCTGGTGGCAACATTTTTCTACGAGTAGCAGACACGAGAACCTGTGGAAAAATAAAGCCATCGACGTAAGAACAGTTCGATAGTAATGGGATCTGATGATTCAGAAACGCGCTATAGAACGGATGTTGCACATAATAGCTTAGCCTTGAGGCAGTCCTTCCAGGAACCGATATTGATTCCCATCAGCCTTGCTAAGGTAAAAGAAAAGAAATATACGCGAATGTTTGTCGTATCTCATCTTGTGTCAATCCACATTACTGAGTTTCTTTATGATCTACGCGATACGCGACACGCGACTCTTAAATAAAATGTGTTACTGGAAACATGCCTCAGGAATATGTCAAGTAGTTGTCTACATGAACAAAGGAAGGAACAAAGGATAGTGAAAGAGTAAAAAAAGACAGCACAACGCTTACATGTAAAGATTATCTTGCCATCTACTACATCTACTTGCTCTGCAAGCATTGAATAATCGCATTTCTACAAAAAAATGATCATCCTTTTCGCATTGCTGTCTTAATACTCAATGCTCTGCTTTTTTATTTCTTTGTAGACCAATCCCCAACTGTCTTTGAATGTGAATGCGCTGAAGTGGGATGTAAGCGCTTCCATATTTTCGTGTGCTTGCTTTACTTTTTTGCCAGCCATTTCTGAAGAGAGATACTACGTTTCTCTTTCTCTCTGTCTCTCTCCTCTCTCCGTTCTTTAGCAAAATTGTTTGCCATGAGCATTAACAATGAATGATCATTGAAAGGAATGGGTTTTCTTCTGTCAGCATTTCCCACAAACATTCCCATTTCATCCATCTAACTTACTAAGTTGATCCCTTTTTTTTTGTGGCCTGTGTTCTGTGTTCTGTGTTCTGTGTTCCTTGTGCTCCTTTTTTTTTTTTGGCCCCTGATTTTTGTCTCCCCTTTCTTTGTCTACACTGCTGCGCTTGCTTTGTTCTTTGAAATTTCTGGACACTGAACATGTTATTACATTGCTCTTGCTGACATAACAAATGTATTCAAGCCAGGGTCTGCTGCAAGATCTTTCACAAAATCTGTCCAGTCAGACGCTGACGAGGATTCACCACACTCCCCACCCATGGCCTGGTCAAGAGAAGGTACGACCGAAGAGCTTTCAAAATATCAGGAGCTACAGATGCAGCAGCAGATTGACGGCCAGCATCGTCTTCAGCCACAGCGGTGCGGAGCTTCATTAGTCGAGTCGGTCCTGGATGTTAAGCCTGGACCAGGGCCTAGCTTACTATTGCAAGGTGGCACCCAAGGAGCAGAGCCGGAATCATCACCAGTGTCAATGTCGACACCAACACCAGCACTATCATCATCGATGACACTTTCTAATAGGGGATTATATATTGGTTATTTGAAGGGGCATGCTCAGCGTGCAGAGTCGGAGCACTCTTGTGGGGAGCAGACAAAACATAGACCTTCCTCTTCGGGACAGACCTTGCTTTCATCGCGCACGTCTAAGACAAGTCGGTTCAAAGAGATGACAGCCAAGTCAGCAGAGGGAGAACAGCACCACAAACTGGGCTTGTCAGTATCACCTGCTTCTGCCTCTTATAGCAATCGTACGATCTCGCTGACTGAAAATAGTGCTGGTCAATATCAGCGATATAGTGCTTCAGCACCTGAATTGATGAAAGCTCCTTGCCATTGTTCCTTATATCAACAACAGGAGAAACCTGTCACTGCCACAACAGCTTCAATACAGCCTCATCGCTATGAGCAATCTGGCAGCAACCGAAGCGGGAGTAGTGAACCTATGCCCATTTATACAGGATCCTTGGGACTAAGTGATGATGTTCCATCCCCTGCTCCCTCTCCTCCAACTTCAGGACGATCATGTACCCATATGGCGATGAGTGGCCTATCGCCCATTAGCTCGCCAAGTAACCCATCGTTTTTGGTCATGGACTACTATTCACTATTATCCATCTCACCCGACTCTTCCAATAGATCGCCTGGTACAAGAGCTAAATCCGCGCGGAAGAACCTACATGATGGCATGCCTAGGTTAAAGCCATCGTCTCAGGATGGGAGTACAAGTATAAGTTCACCTTGCGCTCATCCTATTATTACAGGGTTCCAATGCCAAGTACACGATCCCGGAGAGAGTGGCTATAAAAAAAGTTTATCTCGAACTAACACAACCATGGCCACAACAACAGCAACAACAACGACAATGACATCGATGACACCTTTTCATTTTCATACTCAAGCGCCTTTATTCACCTCTCCTCCGTCTCCTTCCTCCCCGCCATACCCGCCATTATATCCAGAATCAATCTTTCGGTCAAAATCTGACAAGGATACCTCGCCGTCTCTCTCACCATTTCTCTTCAGCAAACATTCTTTTAGCCCACCCAAGCAGACGTCACCATCTGGCGCATCAGCCTCTGCTTCACCGCCCATGCGGCCTGGCACCTTACATACTCACCAAAGGCTACATCAGAGCACCATTAATAGCTCGGTAGAGCTCTCCCTTAGCTCGCGTATCTCCAACACAGACTTCCCTCGCCTAGCGCCACCTGCTGTCCTTATAGAGTCACCTACTATGGAGTCGCTTAGAGCCATAGCTGAAGTCCCAGCAAGGACAACACATCAGCAAGCTAGCAGCAGCCCATGTTTACTCTCCCCTATTCTCATTTCACCACCAACCACCAGTATGTCGTCTTCATCGTTTACAGCGGCTTCTTTCAGCTTCTCTCCCTCTTCAGGATCATCCGAGCAGCAGCCGCTCTCAGTCGGAAGTCAGCTTGATACTGCCGCAACCCTTCCCCTGAGTCCATCGCGTGAAAAAGATAGTTCTCACCGCTCTATGCTTTCCAGTCTTGAGGAAAATGGTAACTATCCATAATCAAAATAGTATTCTGATTGGCGTCAACGATGTATTTCTGAGAACTGATGTGTTATTTTGCCACCAACATATAGAATTCGAAATATGGGCAATTAATGATGAAATCCAGGGTCACGTTATTCGAGCTTTCTCGACATTACAGTATGCATCCACTCAATTGTCTGAAGAGCCTCAAAGAGACACACCACAAAGCTTGCCATCATCGTCTGCTTCAAGTCAACATCTACAAAGCGCCTCATTATTAGTGTCGGATAGTAATAAATGGCGACACTGGCAAAGGCATGGGGCATTTACCAGCGGAAGGTTTATTAATAGAGAGGTGCCTAGTACCAATCACACAGAGGATGAAAGTGATGCTGAAAACATTGTTAATACCCGAGGAACAGCAAAAATAGACGGTGTTTCAGGGCTTGTTTTGCGGCGCAGTCGATCAGCACCAATTTTAAACTTTGGCCAACTTTCTTGTAAGTTACTGTGGCAAAAGAATTTGGGCTTTAAAATTAATTACTAGGTGCCCAGCACTAACAGCAAGCTGTTGAACTGTTTCATAATGGTTGAGGTCTTTAGATGCTGATGTACTGAAAGCGCCTACCAAGGCAACCCCGGCCCCACCCGTATCCGCCATAGGTAACATAGCCACACCGTCAATCATGACTGCTACGACTAGCATTCACCAGCCAACTTCACCAGTTTCATCTTCTTCGCCATCAATGCGCGGCTCGTTCTGTAGTAGAGTGATAACAGATGAAGCTGACCACAACGTAAAGTCAGTCATGCTCCTTACCTCTAGTCGGTCCATGAAATCACTTAAACAACGCAGTCTGTTGAGCAGCAAGAGCGAGAGCAACCTGCAAGTTAAGGTAGATGGAAACAGCATGTCGGAGACTATGAAATCTCTCTCACCGTCACTCAATGCTGGTGGTTCAGCTACGGAAACTAGCACGGACGAAGAGATATCCAAGGGCTCGAGGGCCGCACCACTATCAGGTGATCAGAAATGTGATGACTTGGTCGCAAAATTGGATCAAACTGACCTTCTCGACATCCCGATGCGAAACGATTTGGTAATTACCAGCAATGAAATATTCGACCGGAAGCGTGAGGGCATGATGTCTGTAATAGCAGGTAGCTCCGCTGAATCGGCTGTTGGCCATGGAGGCGATATACCTGAGATGTCGCCATTACGCCTAAAGGCCATTGGGGAGGCTGGAGAGCCGATATTATTACCGAACTTGGGAGCCATTTCACAGAATATCGCTTCATTGGGTATGCCAAGACTGCAGCCTGAGTTGGGTCCGGCGCCAGAGGTGCATTCGGGCTCACTGACGAGCTCTAGCTCTGACTCTAGAATATCTCATTCACCGACTTGTGAGGCTTCTGTGTCCTACAATATACGTATTGGTGTGGATAGAATTAGTGATGGCGATATAGTAAGGAGTACGACGGAGCTGGAAGAAGAGATACCGTCAATACTTGATCAAGCTGGGCCTACTTCTGGGTTTAGATTTCGAGAAAAGTTCACATCCCAGGAGCAGCCAGAACATAGCCATATCCATGGCCAAGAGCAAAACGGTAGTGAAAGCATACAAAGCAGGATCGTAGGAGCATTTAAATCACGCAGGAAACGAGTCAATAGCTCTGGCGGCAAGAAGCTTGGGTTTAATGCGGCCAGCTTGCACAGCCTCGATAATAGTCCTCAGCAGCAACAGTTATCTCAAGCCTCTTCACTCCAGCTGCTGGCAAAGAGTATTAAGTCTCATACTAACATTATAGCTACAATGGTCTCGGAAGGCTCTTTAAGCTACGTTATTCCTCCATTTTACTTTCCAATGGGAAAGCCTCTAGCTGCTGCCAAGCGCCGCCAGCGAATTCACAATGCTGTGGTGAGTAAAGTGTGGCATTGTGTTAGAAGTTCATTGCATGAATGACGGTAGTAAAAGTAGACAGTATTTTGTAGATAACATCATTTTTCTTCCCGTAGAATAAGGCAAAAGAAATTTTCATTGCATCTGAGGATGAATCATTGGCAGAAGAGGCTTTTGTGACCATCACTGTGCAGTGTTGTGGACTACCGCGCTATCTGAATCGAGCCTTGTTCCGTAGAGTCGACCTAACAGGTAGTGGTTATGTTCACTTCCGCGAATTTGAGCGTGTCTGGGAATCGCTCGCGGAAACATGTCCCGACGAGACATCGATGGTATATTTTCTTTATTTTTGGCGTCATTTGCCTGGGCCTCTTAAAAACGGGAACGCGTTTAACAAACTCCTTGCTACCTGCTTATGAAATGTCTAGATTTTCATGATCTTAAAGCAGTCCAATGTCAAGTTTTTAACCCCTACTGATTTTGAGGTGGTACTTCAGGATCTAATTTTGTACCATCCTGGGCTTGAGTTTCTTTCTGGGAATACTGTTTTCCAGGAACGCTATCGTATGTAGACACACTCTTCCCCCTCCCTCCTCTTTTTTGTCAATGCTCCCAACAGCTGTTATTCACATTTGCTTCATACTCATTTTAGTGGAAACGGTCATCACTCGTATATTTTACGACGCCAACCGTCGACATGGTAAAATGTCACTCTTCGACTTACGCCGCTCAAATTTTGACAAAACGTTGCGAAAGCTCGAGAGCAGTGATTTGAACCAAACGGAAGATTGCTTTTCATATAAGCATTTTTACGTAATCTATTGCAAGTTTTGGGAGCTGGATCAAGACCACGATTTGGTTTTAGATGAACAGGACCTAATGGGGTATTCGGGAGGTGCTATATCTTCAAAGATAATCCGTAGAGTCATGCAAGGGTATGGAAATGAGATGGGAATATTTATGGTGAATGACCAACAAGGTCTACTACTGCGGCAGCAACAGCAGCAGAATCAGGACCAACAGCAGATAGCTCAGCATGAAGCTCTACAAAAAGAGCAACAGGCCCCCGAAGGAGATTTAGAGGATGTAATTACTCCGAGTTTGGACAGCGCAGTCCCCACTGTAGTGTTCGATGTAGATGTAGAAGTAGATTTTGTTGATTTCCAAGATAGTGAGCCTAAAGCTTTGAAGCGATCTATATCTATGGATCTATCTTCTATTAAGCTTATGGATACAACAGAAGTATTAGCCATTGTCGGCACAGCCTCATCCAAAGAACCTCAAGCAGTGTCTAGTAGCGGACCACCGCTCGAAAACGCCTCAACAGCCATAGCGTCAAAGGCAGCTATGATGAACCCGCAACGAACAATGCTTACAGGCCCTGGGAGCCAATGCCAACCCCAAGGTTATCGCATGACCTACAAAGGCTTCATCTGGTTTCTTCTAGCCGAAACTGACAAACAAACAGTTACATCCATCGAGTATTGGTTTCGGTGTATGGATATTGACGGAGATGGCATTCTTACCGTTTTTGAGCTCGAACAACTCTTTCAAGAGCAAGTCGCCAGGATGGACATATTAGGCATGGAGCCGTTTGGCTTCGAGGATGCCATCTGCCAAATGCAGGATCTAGTCAATCCGAAGGAGGCGGGACTGGTTCGACTATTAGACCTTAAGCGGTGTGGACAAGCTGGGCCTTTCATCGACCTATTTTGCAACGTTGTAAGATGGAGGTCTTTTGAGGCACATCAACATCAAATCAGGATGAAACAGCAGCAGATTGCTATGCAGCGGGCCGCGGATTCTGCATGGGAAGGAGCAGCGCTTGGCGAGGATCTATATAATGATGGTGATGAAGGTGAAGGTGATGACGACATATACGCCGATCTAGATAATGAATATAGCGAGGGGGAGGAGGAGGAGGAGGAAGAGGAGGAAGGGGAGGATGATAGTAACAGCGATAGTATAAATATTGGAAGCTTTACCAGGACACCACGAGTAGCCACGCTTGCATCCGAAAAAGGATTGAGTTTTAGCTCGCTGGATATGAGTTCTGATAGTAGAGGTAACATTGGTCTTGGTCTCGACGTCAGTCTTGCCGTTCAAGTAGTAGCTGATGCTACCACGACCCTAAATAATTCTAATTATACCGGTCAGTCTGGAAGCCATTTTGATGGAAGTACGAGCGCCAACATGAATATCCATATAGCTGCTGGTAGAGGAGAAATGGAGCCAATGATCTCTAACACTCATATTGACCTAGGAGGCGCTGTTGAGATAACTGAAGTAGCTATCGAGGCAGCGCATATCAGGAAACGAACAAAGCAGAAACGTCGCAAAAGGCAGCAAGCAATGATGCACAACGCTTTGACCGAGGAAGAACGCAAGGAGAAGGCGTTATTAGCGACCATTAGGTTTGTTATGAATAATGGATCTACTTCATTCATCAGATGATCCCCATATTGAAAATTATAATAGTAGCACTAATCTGCCTTTCATTTCTCATGCGCAACGCTGGATCACATAAATAGAGAGTCGCCATGGATTGCCTATGTTGAACTGGAATATGAAAAGCTTGTTACCATTGAGAAGCCACAGAGAAGGATAGGTTGGGAGCGATCGGAAGAGGAAGATGATGACGACGAAGAGATAGATGACGACGAAGAGATAGATGATGACGAAGAGATAGATGATGACGAAGAAGATGTGGAGGAGGATGTAGTGATGAAAGAGAGCCATGAACTTATTGTCAATACCAACGAGATTGCTGCAGCAGCTGCAGCAGAGGGTACCCGAATACAACAAATTCATCAGGCCGGATATATCCAACAAGTCCAGCTACTTCGACAATTTCAACAGTTTCAGCAATTCCAGCATATCCAACAAATCCAACAGCGACAATCACAATTACAGTCGGGGTATATTCAGCAGCTCCAGAGCCAGCACCAGCAGATGGAGATAGAGGTGGAGATGCAGTACAGTCTCAAATATGGGATGATGGTCTCTGGGTTTGAGACTGAGGAGGAGCTTGAGCGGATCTCGATTGAATCTACAAGTAGAGGAGACTAGGTGTGAGCTACCTTGCAAGTGGATGAGAATAAGAACAATCGAACTTTAGCTACTGTTGCAGTCATTACTGTCACCAGGGCCGTTGTGGCCAAGGCCGCTATTGGTACCAGCCCTTTTTGAGGAACAGCAATAATAATAAAAACAGACAAACATCTATTATGCAATGAATAAGATGGATGTATTAATAAGAGCCTCCATTCAGTCACTATGAATACTGGAAATCAGCATAATGTGTAGGAATAGCTGAACATGTATCATGCTGGCTAATAAAACGGATGCATGCAATCATTGTCGAAAGTGGAAAGTGCTGCTTCACTTGCAGCAGTGCAACGTTGGAAGCGATACTATTCCAGTTCCGGAGGATGAGAGATCCAGCGCTAGATTTTGTTCACTTAATACTCGCCATGGTAAGGATTTTAAGGGCAGTCTCCTTGCTAAGTAAAAGTATATAATATACATAGCATGCAATAAAGAACAATTCACAGCTGCTAGCAAGGTAGCAACTACGGGTTGGGAAATGAGGCGCTGTCAATGCAATGGGAGATAACCAGAAGGATGAAGACAACGATCATTGCTTGCCATGCTAGGTACACCTAATTGAGCAGTATTAGATGCACTATTGCCGTGTTTCAAATAAGGAAGCGAGAGGTAGTTGTGCTTCTCAAAAAGCATCAATTGCAGTGAAGCACGGCGCCTTTTTCATGTCCAAAGCCATAAGAGACTGAATACTGGCAAGTACGCGGTCCCACAAGTATATTATTTCCTTAGACCTTATACAGGAAAACACTGTCGGCCATGCCACCATGATTCTCCTTTCTTCCAATCTGAAGACCTCATAGAGCCTGCCTCCTGATCCTAGAATGAGAAAAGAAAAAACTCGTTGCATCGTTGCATTTGTTACACCGTGGCCTATTATGATGAATGAGTAATACTCTATTATATCTGCCTCTCTTTCTCTCAGTTTTTTGTCTTTGGAACAGCCCTTGTTCGCTACTTATTTTCTCTAGATCCTCATTTGGCTCCTTTTACTCCTTGTCTCCTTTTTTTTGCATTTTCTCCTTTCTTCTCAAACGTTTTTGAAGAAATGGGCTGGATTATATTTAGGTCTCAGTTTTAGGATTATAGGGATGGAAAGCACAGGAAACGAGAAAAGACGAATCATTGTTTGCCCATTCCAGGAAAGTTATGCCTATTGTCGTTTGTAACTAGACGAATATGTTAAAAAGAACGTTAGTTTCGCTCGGATACATTTGGATATTTCGCCTGTCTATAAAAAAAAAGTCATGTTCAAACTCGATCTACACTTATGATGAGACTCCTACTTTTGGATTTCCTTTTTTTTTTTTTTTTTTTTTTTTTCTTTTTGGCCCCTTCTACCTTCCCTACCCATCTTTCTTGAGCCTCCCCCTCCTCCTCCGACTCTTACTTTCGCTCACCCTTGTTTGCTGGATTGCAATTAAGACAGCAGGGATAACAACGAGGAGAAAACCGATTCACATAATATTTGTGATTGGCTCTCCCATTTCGCAAAAATTAATACATTAGTTTGATGCCAACAGCAACAAGAAAAAGGTATAAAAAGGAAAGGAAAGTTTTTATATTTCATCCTTACCGTTTCTTTGTGATCACTGCCTGGATTTCCTGCTCGTCTACTACGCTTCATCTTATTATAGCACGCAAGTACTTGTCTAGATCATGCTCGTCTCTACCGCAACCTATACCACTATCCTAGCTTCAGCGTTGGTCCTCTTCGCTTCATCGAACTTGACCCCAGCAGCCGAGGCACACTCTTGGATGGACTGTGTCAACTGGAAGTTCCACAGTCGAACCAATCCCGACTTTTCGGATAAAGGAGGATACTGTCGTGGCTATGCCCGTAGATACCCAAAGGACCTAAACTTTGGCACGTTGGACGATGCCAGTCCTTCGCGCCACTATCAACAAGCTGGTAATCCCAATACCGCTTTGCCTTGCTCGGATCGCAGACATGGTAAAGATATAGGCTCGGATGAAACAATGGGAGACCCAGTCTCGAGTGCCTATGGCGGCAAATATGGAGAAATGGCAACGATACGATCTGGAGAGACACTCTGCGTCCGCTGGCCGGCTAAAAACCACGCAGAAGGCAACGAAGACAATACAATTGTTCAGATCAACTTGATCAAGTCTCGCAACAGCCAAGACGCGACGCAGGCAGAGTTGCTCCGAAATACTATTGCCAGATTGCCGTACAAGAACTGTAGTCGTGGATCCGGCACGGATAAAAAGCCCTGTGGGGGATGCTTCAAGATGCCGGCGCGTTCACCAGGGCTATACCTCCTTCAATGGAGGTGGATGCTTAATCCTGGTGAATGGTACACTAGTTGTGCTGTAAGCTATAATATGATAATGGTTATTAATGCTGGTTGTTTTGGATGGTTCTTATTCCTAATATGTCGTTATTGATACTTACGCGATATTTTCTTTTTTCATTTTAGGACATCCAAATTGAGGATGACAAACGTGGAAATAAGCGTCGCCTCTGAACCTGGCTGAAGAACATAAACTGAAGTAACAATGAAAAAAAAAAAAAAAAAAAAAAAAAAACTTCAATCTAAGAATAAATACAATATCATCTTATCTGACCACCATTGTTGTTCCAAAGGTAGCCAATGAAGAAGTAAAGTAGAAGCATGGGTGTTCAATCACACTATCATAGACTAATAATGAAAGGAAGTAGTTAGCCAAGTTGAATAACATGACAACTTTGGCTTATTATCTTAGAGCCAGGGCCATACATGTCCCATCCTCTGTTCCCACACTTTCTTTCTTCACGTCCTGGCTCACTATCAAGAAGATGCAGATCCATTTGGTAGCAGAGCAGATTTTATTTTATTCACTTCTATTATTAAGGGTAGTTTCTGGATTGTCGCATTATTTGGCAATAAGAGAAGACTACCTTTATGGTCCTGACTCGATGGGTAATGAAATTAAACCAAGGGTCCTAGGATTTCTAGAACTATAACGCGTCAGAGATGATCCTCTGTTTCACAAGGAGCACGAAGGAAGATGAGTTATTGTGACCGTTTGGTAGGTTCGATCACTGCTCAATAGAATCAGATTTTTATTTTTAGTTCACTTTGCTGTGAAATGCATGCGCGCGTATCGGCCCCGACGTTATTGACTACAACAAGGGTGAAAGCATGAATCTGAATCTATAAATATATATAAAAGGCCACAGATAGTATATATATATAGAGATGTAAAGTTGCTATACATTTTATATGCCGAAATGCATTACCATTGCAGCTCCTTATTTCCTTTGCCTGGAGCTTTGTTCGAGCTTCAAAATACAGCACCCTAATTATATATATTCTTAATCCATGTGGGAGTGCGAATTAAGCTCCCGCTGTTACTTTATTCAATGTAAAGTTTTATCATGTCCTCCCAGAAACAAGTCTACAAAGTCTAGGCAAATCGCCATGTTCTTCCACCTCTTTGTTTCCCACTTCATCCAACATATTCGCTGCAATGTTGAAATGAGCCTCATTGTTTATTTTATCTAAGAAAAAGAAAAAGAAAAAAAAGGGTGTTCTTCTAGATGGGCCGAATCATGACATACTTTAATTAATTAATGAACGCTTTGGCTGTTATTTCCGCTTCGTGTTCTTCCTCCATACTATAAAATATATATATACATTGTAAACACGATAGGACGAGAAAAAAAAAACTCGTAGGAATGCATGAATAGACTGCAAAATCAAAATTGGAGTTGTTTTTAATAAAGGCAGATGTATCTTGCTTCCATTGCTATACAGTACATAAATGACTACTGTCTTGAGAGGAAAAAAGACAAAAATCCTACCAGCATTCATAGGTTCCGTCATACGGTCTTATAGAAAGCAAGTATATGAATAAAATGAATTCCCATCATTGGTGTTCTGGAAAAGAAAGAAGTTCACAAACTCGTTGGAGGGATAGAGTTTTTTATTTTGCTTGTTTGTTTGCATAAAACGGTTTCTGTAAGCAACTTGTGCTCAAATAAAGCATATCTTGTTTGAGCACCTGTAAATGATAACAAAAAAGGCCTAGACTGCTAGATTAGAATTGATCAGCTGTCCCAGAGTTGACAGAAATGGACAGAGATTATTGTAGAGAGGGCAAGGGATGAAAATCAAGATTGAATTGGTGACACGATTAAAAATCTGGATGATGAAACGGAACTGCACAGCAAGGAACATCATGGATGTTGTAGCATACACAGACACATTGCCATTTATCCCACAAATGCCATGGGTTTTTAATCTATGAGCTGTAAACCTATGCTACATGTACATTCAAGTAGAGTTTTATGCGAGTGAAAGGAAGTGTTATATATTCAGTCCTTGCTTTTTGCTAATAAAAGTCAGTATAATCGTAATATGTTCCAATCAAGGTCGGCAACTCCTAGTGCTCATTCTGAAGAAACAAAAAACTACAAACCGAAAAAGTAAAAATAAACAGCTTTTTTGCGGAAGTCACGACGATTTCATTTCTTGCCAAAATGGAAATAGAAAGCCTAAGGCGCCAAAGCTCACTTAATCTTGGTTCAGGAGACAGCTACTCCCAGTGGCTCATATTATACTGCCTGTCAATGCATGCGACCTAAAATGAGACTACCTTCCATATGAGCAAAAGAAAGGGAGGAAGTAAAAAACAAAAGCACAAAAGACTATTCGAAAAACTTACAAGGTTTGTTGAACATTCCAGATCAGATAGGTGTATGTGTACATGTGTTGTACCCTAGTGCCATAATGCTGAACCGGTCAATTCATAACAGCTTTTAAGCGTTATTTTTGTCAACCACAAGACCACCAGAAAAAAAGATATTCACATTTATCCCCCAGGATTATCAGTATTGTAGACTTTATTATAAATATTGAAGACTTCCTCCACCCTAAGACTTTTTTTTTTTTTTTTTTTTTTTTTTCTCTTGCTCCTCGTCTTTTCCTCTTCTCAACTTGCTTCTGCATTGTTTACTCCCCCCACGCTACACTACCTAGCATCTAACCCCTATCCTTCCTTCCTTACTCAAACCTTCTCTATACCCCGTGTAAAACAGCTTTCATTTTCATTTAATCATTTTCATCATGGTCCTCAAGTCTTCCTTCACCTTCCTTCTTGTCGCCACTATGGCGGTTTTCTCTTCCTATACTCCTCAGGCCGAGGCCCATTCTTGGGCTGACTGCATTGACTGGAGGTTTAAGAACCAGAACCCCAGATCCAAGAAATTGGACTTTTCCAGCAGTCGAGGCTACTGCATGGGATATCCCCGCCGTTTCCCTAAAGACAAGGAATTTGGCTCCCTGGATGTCGCCTGGCCTTCACGCCACTACCAGCAAACCCACAGTAACCCCGCCCCCAACAGGGCTATTGCCTGCTCTGACAGGAAGCACGGTGTCGAGGTGGGTTCGGATGAGACCCGTGCTCGCCGCCCTCAGGATGCCTACGGTGGTAGATACGGTCGTATGACCGTGACCTCCGTCGGCAAGAGGCTGTGTGTCCGCTGGCCTTCTAAGAACCACGCCAAGAAGAATGAACCTAACAATATGGTCCAGATTAACTTGGCGCCCAGAGCTGGTCTGGAGCTGAACCAGCAGGAATTGCTTAAGAACACTGTTGCTCTCTTGCCTTACAAGAACTGCAATCCCGGTAGGAACGAGGATCGTCGTACTTGCGGTGGATGCTTCGATGTTCCTAAGCGCCGTCCTGGTATCTATCAGTTGCAATGGCGCTGGATGTTGAACAAGAATGAATGGTACACTTCTTGCGCTGATATCCAGATCCAGTAAAAACTCGTACATTGTCCTTTGCCAAGAATGGATTGCCTGTCCTCATTACTAAAATAGAATTAGAATTATAAATAAATAAATAAAAACTAGAAATGGATTCATTTGTCTGTGCGTTATGTTTAAAGATAGCAAAGTAAAATAAGATGGCGGTTTGACAACCCATCTTCTACGCTTTTTTTTTTTTTTTTTTTTTTTTTTTTTTTAAAAAAAAAAAAAACAATGATAATGCGACATCCATAATATTATGAATCCAATGAATTCAATGAAATGCAAGAACGCGTTGAATTGTTTAAATACTTGTATCTTTCAATATCAGGTGTTCTTATCTTGACCGAGTTTATTCCAACGTATATCGTTTCGGAAATTGCAAGCACGCTTGGGCGTAACAGCAACGCAGTCCAAGGAGAAGAAGCGAGCGCTTCGTCCAATATTATATACTTCTTGTAGACCTATGCTTCTCATCTAGAAGAGTACAGAAACTCTATGCCCTGGGCATCTTCGATTGATATTCTGTAAAGGGAAAAATTCGCCTCCATAGGGTTGATGGACAGTTTGCTATGAAAAGGTATGAAAGCTCGATAGAGGAATGTGATGGCTTCAAAAGCGCTTCCATCATCGTGGCGTAGCATTGATTTAGAGAATCTATTAGAGATGGTGAGAGCCAGGTAAAAAAAATGGAGTGGAAACGAGTAGCAAGATCCTCACCTTCAGATGCGCGAAATGTATCCGTAGCTGTCGAGATGAAAGACACTTTGGGCTTTAATTTTAGCACGTGTTAATGTGAGTGACATGTTGTGCTGTGCCTACATTTTGTTTAATCTTAATTGTTATGCAGGATCTCTAATACTCGAACCAATTGCCCATGATCAAAGTTCCCAGGGAAGAAACAATAGCGTCAGCACAGCCATTGGTAACGCTGAACAAAAAGAAAAAGGCAAGCATTGGGTCCTTGCGATGTCTGTTGGACATGGGCTTCTCTATAGCAAAATGAGCCCCCATATTTATCCCAGTTACAATTAAAAAATGTGAATCAAAGAATCATATGGGGAAGCACAAACTGTTAGATTAAAGAGGTGAGCCCTCAAGGAATCTTTTGTCCCCACGCAGCACCCCAATGAGCCGGACAACGTTTTGCCATCCAAATCTTATTGGCTCACAATTATTGATAGACATTAGCGTAGATAAAGAAAAAAAAGGAAAAAAGAAAGATCAAGAGTCTTAAAAGTTGATAAAGACAACGATAAGTCTTGAACATCACTTTGTCTCTTGACATTTTGGAGATTTGAACTTACAAATATATTCTCATCATCATGACAACATTGTGTTGAGTTCAACCTCAGATAAAAATGGGTCCAACAAAATTGTGGCACACTGTCAAGATAACACAAGTACAAATTTGACACATTTGTATTTGCAAAACATTTGAATCAGCTATTTTTTAGAGGTAATTGTTTATTGTGTTTTCAAAAGTGTTAATGACGAAACAGCGAGAGAGAGCATCGATGTATAAAGTGACGGGATGTTGATGTGAGGTGAAATATTTAGATAAAAATTATAGATATTTCTAAAGTTGCTAATCGTTGACAAGCAAAATATGCATTACATCGTTCATTTGCGAGTGACGCTCATTAATTTGTCCAGTTCCTGCATAAGATTAAGGCACGTTTGTTCTGATTTGCTGCGTATGCAGCTTGTTCATGAGTCTAAATGTGCAGCCTTGTTTATCTTGTTTTTGGTAATGCTTTTCACCATGTCGTCGATGTTATGGATGAGATCCTAACGATGCCTGCTAATGGACAAGAAATGGAATCATTGAACAAACAATCAAAAGCCTCAGCTTTTCTTATTGATGTCGGTACTATCTTGCAAGCCAAGATTTATTAATCAATCTGGCCTCTCACCTTTTCTGAGAACAAAAAAGTGAGCTTCAACAATATTTTATTTAGTTCATTTGGATGGCTGTCCCTGTTTCTACGTCGCATGTTACACATTTTCAGACATCTTTTTCTCTTAATTTAGTCATCATTATTTTCTTTCGACAATTCTTTATCATTCTTTCTCATCTCCTGCCTTTCCTAAGGTATTTTCTTTACCATTTCTTCTCACCTTACTTGTCCATTGACCTTTATGCCTTCATTCTCTAGCATTCTGTCCTCATATCGTCGCTGAACATTTCTTCCTAATAACATCTCCTTTTTTTCTGTGCATCATTAATTAATAAACCAAGGGACGTGCTCATCTATTTCCCTTCCCAATCTTTCTCCTTTAGTCATGAAACCAACAGAAGTTGACACATCTCTGAGAAAACCCTCGTCTAGCCTAAAAGCAATCTCAAAGCCTACATCATCCACATTGCCCATAGATAATGTATCTTCCTCCAGTTCAAGCGACAACCCTAGAGATCCATCATCATTACCAAAAAATAGCGGACAATTAAAAGTACCTGCTTTCAATAATTCACTTGATTCCTCGGATCATTATTCACGTTTTGAAGAAGGAAGCCATAGAAGAAATGTTGTACCTACAACACCAGAGGAAGAGATGGTGTTTGATAGGGGCTTACTGTTCACGTCACGTCATCGACCATCAACCCGATCAGACTCTATCAACGTTATTTCGAGCGCGCCAATACCGTCGTTGGCACCACTCAGCCAGGACGCTTCAGAACCAGGACTATCAACGGTAGTGAACATGGCCGAAAAGAATATCTCAGAAGCGCCAGCAGCAGTTGTGGCAGAGCGAGGAAGTGGAGGAGACCCACGCGAATTTCGTTCGGCACCAATCTTTATGTCCAATACCCATCATTCTTCAGCTATACATCCAATCTCTGCATCGCTAGCCTCTTCACATCTCTCCCCATCAAGGTCCTCACCACCAAACGCTTCTGCGACCACGCAAGCCTCTGCTATGTCCTCACAACAGCAACAGCAGTATCTCCCGCCTTTAGGTCCTAACAATCCCTTATCTCAGCATCAACTCACTCCTCGATACTCAACCCCAGGGACCCTCCGGCCAGATTCGGTGTGTTTTTATCCCGACAGTTCCCCTGTCATGGCACCCAATGTCCTTGCGGCAGTCGATGCAAGGTTAAGGGCGTCTTCAAGTCAACAATCCTTAACTCAGCGATCCTCTGCTCCTTCACTACGCCAACCACGTTCGCAGCAACAGTTGGAAAGTTCGCAGCAACAGTTGGAAAGCGCAACAACGTCGCATAACAATGGCTCTGGAAGGGGCTCAAGGGCCTCTAGTGTTGCGCCAGTTTTGACTCATTTATCTGTCCTGCAAAGTTCAGAAGGGATCACCAGCCGCGAGCAGTTGTACGATGTCTTGAATGGGGACGATGAAGACGAAATCAATACTACTACCGACACTAAGCATCTAGAGAAGCCCAAGCCCGTATTTATTCAACCAGGTCGTCGTTCCCTAAAGTCGTCACGTCGAAACTCCAACACTTCATCATTTGCGAGTAGTAGTAGTGCCCTCGATATTGAGCTGAATGCCAAAGGCGAGCGACTCTTAGCTGCTTCTTCGCCACGGCCTATGCAGGTCAAAGCTCATGATGGATCCATCCGCAGCTCAAAGAAGATGGAATTGGTATCAGCTGCAATGGTTACAAAAGAGCACAACAAGGAGAGCTATAACTCTGCTGAAACAGAATTTTCAAATCCTTCCTCATCCATACTCTTTGAGAAGAGCGAGTGGCTTAAGCGCAAGAACAGGGCAAGTCGTAAATGGCGCGGCATCTGCTGTGTGGTTGGACTCCTAGCCTTCATCGCTGTCATTGCAGGTATTGTTCTTGGATTTATCACACGAAAGGGCAAAGTCGATGGTCTAGCTCCCCCATTGTATGTGAACCTCGTCCTATGTCTTGTTTCCGTTATGTTTCTTTTTCTTTTTTTTTTTTTTTTTTTTTTTTTTCAAAATAAAAGGAGATATACTGACAATGTTTTTTGTTTCGGCCTTGGCATCTAGGGATCCGGACAGGCCCACGAATACAATGCCTCCTATTACACAGTTTACACCCAATCCGAACTTGCGCAAGTCGTTCTATGGCCTTGATTACAATCCCGCAAAATCACTCATGCCCTGGTGCGGTGTCACGCTCCAGAATGTAGTTGATGACATAATCATCATGTCGCAGTTGACAAACCGCATTCGCCTATATGGTATGGACTGTCAGCAAGCTGATTTGACCTTCCAGGCCATCAACGCATTAAACCTCAATAAGACCATGAAAGTAGTTTTGACACTCTGGGTTGACAACAATACTGGAACGGTGGAACGTCAATACAATACCCTTTTCAAGGTTCTGGATACTTATGGTACTGACATGGTCCAGGGTATCAGTGTGGGGAATGAGGTATTGTTCCGAAAGGATATGGATCTGACCGCACTATCAAATCTGATGACTGATGTTCGCAACACTGTCAAGAGCCGCTATGGCAAGTCCATCCCAATCTTTACATCTGAGATTGGAAACAATTTGAACTCGGAGTTGGCAGCAGTCTCCGACGAGCTTTCTGGTAACTTGCATCCTTACTTTGCAGGCACTGCTGTCTCGGAAGCTGCCAACTGGACCATCCAGCAATATAACGATGTTATACTAGGGAACCCAACAAAGACTGGCCTCAAAGGTGCTATCTCGGAGGTTGGTTGGCCTTCCGCACCTGCCAGCGCAATATACCGTAAGAATTCTTTTTTTTTTTTTTTTTTTTTTGGTCCCTAATCATAAGGTTCATACTGACAGCACACTTTTCTTTCTTTCTATACCCTCCTTCTAGAAACTTATGCTGTCCCTGGCGTGGCCAATCTGCAAACCATGATCGACACATTTATTTGTGAAGCCAACCAACAAGGCATTCCATGTAAGTCTTATTGTTTATTCTCTCTTATCTTTTGGTACAACTTGTCGATACGGTCTAATAACTCTCTTGACTTTATGATGCTTTTTTTTTATTTTTTTATTGACATTTTAGATTATTGGTTCGAATATAAGGATGAGCCATGGAAGAACGATCCCAAGGTTCCTGTCGAACCCTATTGGGGTCTTTTTGACAAGGACGGGAACCTCAAGATCAAGATACCCGACTGTATAGCTCCATAAAGTTAATAAATACCGTCCGATCCCCTATACTCTCCTCTATATACTATATATGCACTCTTACTCCCTCTTTCATTCATTATTAATATTGTTTTCAAATAAAGGTGTTTCTTTTTGTCTACATCTACTTCAACATTTTACTGAATGCCTCTTTTAAACAAGCCATATCTGGTCCGTCCACTGGGTGCTTGGATTTGAAGTAACTTTGGATGGCAAATGGCGAAGCCTTCATATGAAGGCCCAGGGTGGGTAAGGACAAAAACATCTGGCTTCTTGGCTCAGCCCCGGTATCGCCGCTGTTGCCTTCTAGGTAAACAACAGGGACAGTAAACCGACAGCTGCCTGGTACAGCCGTCATCCATGTATGGAGATCTATCGTCTTTGATTGCTCCAGCTGGCCGGATGCTTCTAGTTTTTGAATAATTGATGCATCCTCCTGACGCATCGGCTTTATGTATATCCGACCCCTTGATGGAGCATTGGGAACGCTTCTAAAGCTACTGCTTTGTATCTTGAGGAAAAAACGTTGATCCCAAAGCAGGTTAACTTCATTGCTCTGTTTACTCTCATCAAAGAAAATGTCTCTCTTAGCTTCTTCATTATCGCCCCCTATCGAAAATGCTATCGTAACGGCTTTTCGATCGGCACGGGACATTGGTTGCCGAGCAAGGGTCCAGTAATCAGGGAGGCCCTTTGTGCTTCTTGGTGGGGAGAATTGCACGCCTGCTAAATTGATGGGCGGAAGTGACATTGCTTCAGAATGACTGTCAGTCATGGCTATGGCGAACTTTGATGATATATCTTGTTGTCGGGCAGCAGATGAACGATTGGAAGCGCGCTTCTTTTTCTGTATAGACTTTGTTGAGCTATCACAGACGCTTTTCATACGAGTTGCTTCAAAATAAGAGCCAATAACAGAATAAGGTTTTTTCAGTTGCTTCAACAACATCTGCACATCTTCGGAACGGGGAGCGTGGTCTTTACAGTTCACCCAGTGTATTAAATAGGAGACAAGGCGCATGGCCACATGATTCTGGGATCTCTCCAACCATTCCACTTTTGTAGGAATCGATGTACTTCTTATAGCATCCTCTGAAGTGCTGGTCGCCTGCAATTTTACATAGCAGACACCATTTGCAGAATCAAAGAAGATGTTCCGTAACCATGGTCTCACTAATATTGATAGAGCAGAAAATATGACTAGGTCATTTTCTATTATAATGATGATATGGTAATTATGATAATGAAATAATAATAATAGTAATAAATAATTACTCTGGAATCACATAGATGTTACCTTGATCCCAGGCCGCTCGCCGATGTTGATCCATCCTTGCACGGAATTCCAACCAAGCCTTCGATGATAAAGGACTCAGCTCCGAGTTTGGGTCCTTCTCGACACACGCATCTATGTCCTGCTGAAAATGCCGGATGACATTCCGTTGATAATCCAATGACTTGTTCGAAGGGTCCTCAACCCATCGGGTTCCTGCTTCATTACATGTTGCCTTCAGGCGGTCCTGAAAGATATAAATGATATAAAATGATATAAATTAGAAACTCTAGTCCTATGATGGTTGATTCCTGTCTTTTCCGTCTATTCAACGGTCATTCCTTTGTTTTCAATTAATTACTTTCGTAGCTTTTAAAAGTGGTCTGATGATTTGGATATTTAAACCTTCTGGTACGTTTACAACGCTTAAAGGGGTATCTTCTTGGATCCCTGCAAGGCCATCAATGCCACTAGCTCTTGCGAACCGAAAGATGACAGTCTCAACCTGATCACCAGAATGGTGACCCACAAACAAATCTCTGACTCCAAGTTCGTGACACTTTTGAGCAATGACCCTATATCGTTCCTCGCGCGCTCTAGTCTCGAGGTGAACTTTACTAGGTCTATTAAGCTGGTAAATCTCATCATTATCATCATTCTGATGGTTTTGGTTCTGGCCACTGTTTTTGTCTTTGGCAATCCAATCCAACGTAAGTACATGCGGGGTGACATCTGGATATCGTTCAACAGTTTAGCTTTCAGTATAAAATAATAATAATAGTAATTATAACAATAGTCATAGTAACAACAATAGGTTCACAGATTTCCTTTCTGGTCAAATCCAGTGTACCATAACAACATACTCAGTCTTTGCACCTGTTGTGCAACAAAGGCAGCCTCTTCAGAACTGCCATCTCTTAGTTTGTGGTCGACAATTAAGGCATGTAGCTTTGTAGGGACAGTATGAAGCTGTTGTTGTTTAGTTCTATCTTGTGTAGGATAATAATGTTTTGCCAACAGTGTTACAAGAGCCATACTATCAACACCACCAGAGACAGCTATAGCAATGTTGTGGTCCTTGGACTCTAGACGAGATTGATGAATGTCAGTGGGATTCTGATCCATGGAATGACTTTTATGTCTTTCATTGTTTGGTAGACCTTGCTCCAAGCATGAAGCAATGCTGTTTTGTCGACTGTATAATGGGGAGAGCCATCTTGCAAACTCTTTGGCAGTGATGGCTAGTGCTGTGCTTTTGGACAGTGTCATTTTGCTTGTTGTCCTGTTTAAAAAAACAAAAATACATGTAGAAAATGTATAAATATGAAGGTCGCGTTTATACTGTAGATTCGTGATTGACACAACAATTTTTTGTATTCTGTATCTGTATCCTATGCGGAGCACAGGGGGTCTGTCGATCGAATGATGACAACAGGGCTGGTTATTAATGTCGACTGCTTCTGCTGTGTTATATAATATTGTTGCTATCGTTGTCATTGTTGGGGTTGATGGCGTTATTAATATTGCTATTGTTATTGTTATTGTTATGGCTTAAGTTGAACCGCATTGATATTATACGTATATATATATTTGTAGTAGATGTGATAAGTCGGGGCTATAAAATATCCTTGAACGTTTGAAGGCTGTCCCCACAGATCAACGTATTTTCTCCATTCCCCACATTTCCGCCTGTGCCCCATCCTCAAAGTCTTTTTGGACCCACTTTCTTTATTGTCTGTCTGTTCACATAAAATTGATAAGACAATCATTCACATCTCCAAGAATGCAATTGCAAAAGCGAACCCTTGTAGTTGATATAGGCAGGGTGATTTCCTTTTTCTCCTTTCTCTTTCTCTCCTTTCCCCCTCTCTCTTCCTCCTTATCATCATAAAAATAAAATAAAAAGTCCGTCGACCACTTACTGTCTTGGACCACTTACATAACAACGTGGGCAGAACAAGAGCCGATTTAATTGTGGAACGACTTGCTCATCACTGGCCTTCCACATCAACGAATGGAGTGGCCTGCGATGTTGTTTGATTTGCTTGGCGCTATTTATGGAATATTATAGAGCATGTACGCGAAGACTCGATGCGCAGAGCCGTACATGAAAATCTTGTTCATGGATTATGACTACTGGTGTAAATTCCTTTTTGCGTTGCGTTATCATGTTGAAAATATATCTCCGCTAAAAAAAAAAAAAAAAAAAAAAAAAATCTTGAAGGGCTATAAAAAGCAGCGCATCTCTTCTCTTTCCTTCTGACGATTTACTCGGTTTCTGAAAAGATCTATAACAACCACATCCTTTCTCTATTATCCTCTTCCCTCTCATCCTTACATTAAAATCAAATACATAGCCATGTTGCCTTCAATCCGCGCTGTTACTCCCAAGGCCTTTGTTGCCCGTCGATTCATCTCTCAGTCCTCAAAGGCAAATGCCGCTGCTTCGATCGCACAGAATGCCATGCCCGCAACTGCTAATGGCTCAAGGACTGCCAAGGCCGCTGCCTATACCGTTCTCGGAGGCGGTATCGTCGTTGCAGGTGCTGCTGTTCTCTTGAAGGACGAGGTCGTCTACTGGACCCCAAATGTCCGCAAGTAAAGCAAATCGATTGTCGGACTGATCGATCAAATCAAGCAGGATTTCCGAGCCATTTTTCAAGGCTGATCAGCACAATGGACAATTGTGCCTATACCCCCTCTTTTCTCTCTTTTTCACTCCGTGCTGTCACTTTTTTTCTTTTTCTTGTTCATGGAAGCATTTTTATTGTTCAAACACTTCATTGCATAGTATCCTTTATTGCCCTGGATCATAGTATTTTGCCCATAACGTTCAGTTTAGAGTATTCACATTATACACATAGAAGACATTAAAAAAAGCCTTAAATGCAGGTGTCACAATTTTTTTTTTTTTTTTCTAGTGACTCACGAATGTCATGTAGACATGTGCAGAGAATTACCCTATTAAGTGTCACACCTGCACATGCTTATGTTCATGCTTATGGAGCAATATCCATCTCTTTTTTGTTCTCCCATGCATGCTCACTGCATGCTCACTAACATTCCGTGCAGCAGTTGAAGCGAGTTATTCACAGATCTAACTCTACACGATCTCTGTGTTCTTTTTTTATTTATTTATTTATTCTCAACCGGTTAATTTTTGTGCTTGTGTACAAATATGAAAAATCTTTTTTTTTTTTATAGACGACCAAATCAACATTCCAGTTGTCTGTTCTCTATCACCAGTCGCCAAATACCTGTTGTCTTCGCCTGTTGTCTCAATCGTGAAATAATAAATGCTCTAAATCCCTTCCTCCTAATATGTTATACCGTGAATTACTTCTAAATTTTTTAAAGTCTTGGTTCTTTTTTTTTTTTTTTTTCTATTCTTTTTTAACGATGCTTGGAATATGGGTTCCTGAGCTCATCGAGGATACTACTACTAGGGAACGGTGGAATATTAATGTCAGGAATAAAGGTCACTTCTCTAGCGAGCTGAGGAGATGTATCCTTTGGACTTTCTACGCGCTCCAACTTGTATTTAGCAATATCAGCTTTTGGCTTTGGAATCTCCAGCTCCGTGCCAACCACAAAGCGCTTACGCTCCGACTTTCCACTGATAGGATCAATAACTGCGCGATAATGGGTTCTGACAGGTTGTCTATTTATCATCATAAAAAAAAAAAGTGTTGTAAGAGTCGGACCACAATGATTTTTTTTATTTATTTTTTAGTTACATGGATGTTAAAAGAAAACGTGATGTGAATTTACCTTGTTTGAGGGTCAATCAATGATACGTTTGAAACATGGATAGGTGCCTCCAATTGAACCCTTGTCGTCTTTGTAGGATCTCCGGGCTGGGGACGAATATGCTTTGTAACCTATATATGTATATATATATATAACCAGTAGGATTCAGGAGCAATTGTGTCGATGACCTTGGTCAGTTTTTCTGAAAATGCATCCAATCGGCGTTCTTAACCCTTCGCTCTCTATATCTAGGCAAATCTGTTGTTGTTTTTTTTTTTTTTTTTTTTTTTTAATGCTCCTTCCGTACCATGTTTTTTTCCGTGATCAATAACGAGTTCAAACTCCTGAGAACTTTCTTAACAACTCCAGTTTTGCCCTTTTCTTTTCCGTTGGTGATGAAGACCTAACAGTCGTATAGAAAGTATCATTATCGAAATGAATAATATAGTTAATAATGAGATCAATGGATTTGTGATAGTATGTTTTCATACCACAGTCTCACGCATTAGGACTCAATGTCAATATGTTGATCCCGTTGCTCAAAAAAAAAAAAAAAAAAAAAACTTCAAGGCATAGGAAAGAGAGTATGTTGCTGTCTGTCTCTCTAATTAAACAGGGTTGTACACCAAGTAAAATTTGCAAGGCCTTCTTTGGTCCCCTCCCTTGTCCTGAATATTCATTTACCTCGTCTCCTCGGACGATTCTCCACATCTTGATCTGATCCTTTGGTGCCACATATTTGGCTCTGGTGGGCTGGAGCTTAGTGTTGATCAGACGACGCATATTAGAGACTAGTGAAGGCTGCATGGTGGCGATTTGTTGTCAGAGCCTAGTCTAGACGGATTGAATGGATGGAGGAAAAAAAGGACGGACAACCAACAGTTTCTCCCTTCCACCCCGAAACTCACACGACTGAGCCTGTAAAGGCAGAGGGTTTGTTTTCATCTGCTGTTCACCAAGCCACACGAAGCAGGCAAACCAACCTTCCCGCTCATCTCACAATCTCCACTTTCTCACTGATTCCCTCATAAAAAAACACGCTATGCTCTTGTCCATGTCAACGATGGCCTCATCAGCCATCAGAACTGCATCAAAACAATGTCAAGTCCGTTGGATTCAGGTTTCGGATCGTGCGCTCAATGTCAAGGGAGAATCCAGTTCTGCTGCACCAAAAGGTATTGACCCCCAAGCAAAAAAAATTGATCTTTTTTTTTTTTTTTTTTTTTTTTTTTTGTTTCTTTTTGTTCGTAATCAGCCTCTCAATAGCTATAGTGTTGTAGTGTACAAATATCAGGTCTATTTCAGCGCAGGATTTTTGTCTCTTTTCAAAAGCTCTCAAGGACTTTGCCTAATACTCTTTCAGACTGACACTGTTCAGTTTTGATCATATCAATTGATTTAATCCAAGAGACAGTCAGTTAATATTTTCAACCAATTTTCAACACCTCAATCTGTACTTAGCTAAGCGCACCGTTATCTCCAGTGCGCCCGAAGGCGCGGTGCTCAAGGGCATTAACTACATGAAGGATGGCAAGGATCCAACCGCTCTTGCAGACAGTGCCTATCCTGAGTGGCTGTGGGACATTATCGATCCTGAAGTTCGGGCCGCCAGACTCGCTGATCCCCTGGACAAGAAGCATCATAAAGAAGTCAGGAGACAGAAAATCAAGGCTGACAACTTCATTCGTGACAGGAAAACGTAATCAATTGGAGTATCGCCCTGTCCTTGTCATCATTGTTTGGGGCTGGAGACATTTCGTATCATACCTGAGGACATGTCGAGTCAGAGTACGCCAAGGAAGTGTGGGATTTATGGGTCAATCGACAATGCAGTACAACAATTTGGCATCTTTTTAGAGAGCATGCAATAAAGCTCGTGTAATATATATATTATTGAACCTTTATCCAACCAGAATTATATATATGTTGTTGTTGTTGCTGGTTTTTTTTTTTTTTTTTTTTTTTTGTAACTGGCATGTGAGGGTATCCTAAACTAAAACGACGAAATAATAGGAGGCTATTTGCATTTTTTACGAATCCTTAATATCCAAGTTTGCTGTGGCTTTTTCAAGACCTTCTGTTTCGCCATCCTCGTCTTCCTCAGTCGTACTCAAGCCAAGACCCTTACTAGACAGAACTGCAACATTCACGATATCATGGAAGCTCAATGTACTTGAAGGGCGACCCTTACCGCCAATCATAGTGACTTCTTGCTGGCTTGCCATATCCTCACCCGAACCAAACGATGAGTCTGAAGAGTTGGCGTTGATCTTTCGAATCAAACCCACTGCACGAACAGCCTTCTTGAAAGTAGAGCGAGCATTGAAGTTCTTGCGCATTCCAGGCATAAGATTGACGCTGTCGGTAGGCGAGACAGGTGTCACCATGTCCTGCTCCAACACGGTACGGAACCAGGGATGGCTCAGAGCGAGAGTGGCTGTTGGCCTCTTATCAGCAGGGACCAAAAGTGAATCGATAAAGTTTTTGGCAAGATCGGAAATATCCTTCCAATATTCCTCTTCATACTCGTATTGTCCCGAAATAATGTTTTCGAACAATGAAGGTTGATCTAATTATGGATGAGAAGGCTGCTTTTAGCACAATGCTGTATTATTTAAGACTGAAGTAAAAATATAACGAAAAGGTAGCTTACCATCTCCCCAGAATGGGGTGTATCCGCAAAGCAGTGTATAAGCAATGACTCCAATACTCCACATATCAACTGGCTTGCCGTGTCCAATTTGTTCCAGAACCTCGGGAGCTACATATCCGGGCGTACCACAAGCAGTCATCAACACGTCGTTGCCTCCCGTCAGAACCTTACTCAATCCAAAATCCGTAATCATTAAACGCGCATTCTCGGACTTGTCTGCGAACAACAAGTTCTCGGGTTTCAAGTCTCTGTGGACAATACCCATTTTGTGCAAGTATTCCACACCTGATAGAATTTCGTAAACTAAGCGAGCAGCATCTCCTTCAGTGTAGAAACCCTTCTGCAAAAGTTGATCAAAGAGCTCTCCACCCTCCGCAAGATCTGTGATCAAATAGACGGCATCATCAGTCTCAAATAACTCGAGCAAGGAAACGCAATTGGGATGACGAACTTTGGACAAGATTGAGATCTCAGTCTCCAGCATAGCGGCTTTTCCCTGAAGTGTCTTCTTGAGGATAATCTTCAGTGCGAACTTTTTACCTATTTTTTTTTTTTTTTTTTTTACACAAAATCAAAAGGAAATGAATGGTCCATTGCACACAGGAACACAAACTAAAATTGCATGACAAATAAAAAAAAAAAAAAGAAATATTGAAATTGAGGCAGTTACCAGTCGATTTCTCTACAATCTCCTTCACCGTGGCAAAAGTGCCTACACCCAAGACCTTGTCTGAGACGGTGTAGAGCTCCAAAAGCTCGGGATGCATTTTGGGTCCTTTTTGCTCCTGCTCGCGCCTCTGCTGCGCTGCTGCTTCTGCTGCTGCCTTCTCGACAGCCGCGTTGTCATGCTCATGGCCATGGTTCTTGATCTTGTCGATAATTTTCATCATCTTGAGGGAGATTATTATTCTTTCAGTTTAATGATTAAGGCCTAGGAATCAAAAAAAAAAAAAAAAAAAAAAAAAAGGAACCATGTATGAGCTTATTACCGTTATTGCTCGTTCGACTGTTAGGAAGAAACAGGGGATACGAAGAATGAGTTTTACTATTGGTTCCAAGCTTGTGCTGCCTGTGAACCTTCCGTGTTGCCTCGAAAGCATTCACTATTTCTTTTTGCTTTAAAAACTACTGCTGTTGTAGGTTGGCCATGCCGCGAAAAGACTTTTAACAGTTGAATAGATTGATGATATTTATGAATAATCCACTCACCTTGCTTGTTCTAAATTAGCTAAGAAAGAGATGAACAAAAAAAAAATAATAATGAGTGAATAAATGAATGAGTGAATGAATGAATGCCAATTGTCTTGACTTTGGCCATTATCATCCGCCCTCTTTTTTTTTTTTGGACACTGGATTTGGTTGGTTGCACAAGTTTCTTTTTTATTTTGTTTTGGCGTCACGAACCTGTTGGATCTTGGTTGATTTCAAGAGATGAAGAAAGAAAAAAAAAAAAAAAAAAAAAAAAAAAGAAAAAGGAAAAGAAAGAATAACAGTAGAATAGAGGAAGGAAGAAGGAAAAAAGAAAAAAACGCAGGGGAGGCGGGGCTATTGTGCCTTTCTCAGCTCGGCACGTTTTTTTTCCAAATGTCAATGGCTGTGTCAATTATTTATTTTGGGCTGAAAACTCAAAAAAAAGCTTTTTGACAACTCCAAAAATTCATGACAATCTGAATGCCCATGCACATTCAATAATGCTCTCACTATCACGTTGTGCTCCTACTCTGCCAACCAGAATCATTAACCATGCATTTCTAAAACTGGGTTTGAACGTCTTGTCTTTGGATGGGTATCTACATCTTTCACAAGCTTTCACTCTTTGGAAACTGGGATTTGAGGATTGCTGAGCCATTTTGAATCGATGGCGATGATGGGGACGATGATTGTATGGCTTCATGATATATAGTTTTTATTCTCCCTTGGAGCCAATATTAAGTATTAGCTTGAACGGAGCATCTTCCTTCCTCCATGCTTATGTCATGCTCAGAGCATTAAAAGCTAGTCTGCACATGAAGAGCACACGGGACAGCACGCTGTGTCTTGGTAAATTGTATCGACATATTTTTTATAAACCCCAGGTCTACTATTAGGTTTTAATCTGTGTGATGAGCGTTACAAATGAAGCTTATGAAGCTTCTGCTTGTAGACCAAGAGACAGTCAAGAGACATGCAGCAAGGAAGGAAGATGGTTAGGAGGAAAGACAATGCAGTATGAAGAGTAGAAAGGGGAAAGTTTGGTGGCCTCCAGATAAGAACAACTAGTGGCTCTATTCCTCTCACTGCTTGAACATGTACTGTGTACGTACTCATGGAAATAGGGAAGGAGTTTTGTGGACCATACTGCGACAAAATACGCACAGACATACAACATAACATAATGGTACACACTGTTTATCGGTAAAGAAGCCGCCAAACGCTGTTTGAATTGACTGAGAAAAGCTAGTTGACAACAAGGTTATTGAATCCTTGGAGCGAATTCTGCCCAATAATTACACTCGCATATGTGCTTGAGGACATTTCATATTTGACAAGCCTAAAGTCGAGACACCAGACGAGAAAAATAAAATAAAAAAAATAAAAAAGCGTACAATAATTGCTTTTATTCCCTAATGTAATTGTCTTGATGTACACGGCTATATTTACCACCTTTCCAACCCCTGGCGACATGCGTTTCTGGTGAGAAATAAAAAAAAAAACCCCCCCCCCCCCTCTCGATAGCTATCCAAAGTATAATGTCAAAACTTTGGCGCTGATATTGACGCCAAGGATCAATACTATAACATAAAAGATAACAAAGATCGTAATGGGGTATAAGAACATCTCCGGGTGCCTAACAAATGGAAGAGCTATAATATATATACATAAAAGTCAGTATCACGGCATTCATACTCCATATAAAAACGAAATCAGCCAATAATAATAATACATTTCTGTCCGTTATCTTACCATTATAGCCCAAGAATGTAATATAGCAGTAGTAAACAATCGCGGTCAGATAAAGAGTATTGCCAAGTAAACTACATATCCAGAAATCCTTGAGCAGAACTTTCATGAACACCATTTGGATGATGTACAAGAGTGCAATCACAGGCATGAACGCATTGCAATGAATATCGAAGGCATATTGCCATTCAACCGTTTGGTCAGTTGAGTAAACGCTTACTCGTGTGAGGAAGCGGTTGGCGATTGTCCTTTATGAACAGATATTGCAAGGAGAAAACAATAATGGTTGTTATTAGAAGATATATTGAAGTTTAGGATCTTTCTATAAAATTTAACAAAGTATACCTACAAATTGGGCTAATAAGTTGAAAATAATACTTACCAGCAAATCGTTGCAACAATAAGTCCGATGACCACGAAATCTACAAAGACCATATAAAGCATCATGCGAAGGATACCCATCATTCCGTGTCCATAAACTAAACCCCATGCGATAGCGGAGCCTATGAAACACTCGTTAGACCAATTTTCTAACGCTACCACGTAAATATCCTTCAAGTTTATCGATATAATCATCTTTAGCTTCATGCAGCGCAACTTACATCCCAATATCCCTGAAAGAATCACCATGAATGCTGGATCATCCCGTGCCCATTGATTCTTAGTTTCTGCATGAAAACAAATAAATATTGATAAAATCCTTAGTTCAATGATGATCCTGCGCTACGCAACTGCTGTCTCCAAATAACATATAGAATCAAGGATATAAAAAAACAAACTATTGCCCTACGTTTGTGATAATGAATATTGCGATATCTATTATCGTAAAAACAACAGATCAATTTGATGGTAAGGAATATATTGTCAATTCAACGTTCTTTTTTTTTTTTTTTTTTTTTTTTTTTTTTTTAAAAAAAAAAAAAAAAAAAAAACTACAAAGCAGTAACTTACACTATCCTTGGTGATATACAGAGATAAACCATTTGCCATAATGCAAACTACAAGAATTATCAATTGAGTCAGCAGAATGGCAAGAAAGTAAAGAGATTAGTTATTCTTTCTTCCGTCCGGAACCAAAAAGCTCATATCTGATCCCATTTTACCTGAAAATCCATATGTGGAAAACGAAACAATCTCCTTAGGAACAAAGGTACAAAACCTGAAATACCTCCAGATCCATGGGGTCGTCCTCCGTGGTGAATTCTTCCGCTGCTGGAACTGTTGCTAGCGCTACTCATGCCACCAAATCCATATCCACTTCCTGCATCTGCTTTCCTTCCACCGTAAGCATCGTATGCACTTGGTATGCCAATCGTTGGCCCTCCTTGTGTAGGAAAATAGGATGCATTCTGTTGTGTTGGTGTGTTCCTTCCAGGCGTGGAGTTGAGCGGTAGAATAGTCATTGAGCGAGCCTTGTAAAATTAAATCAATGTTCTAAGCACTCTTTTTTAGACGGTAGAATATAACAAATAATAGGCGGGTGATGCAATTCGATGGCTTTAGTAAATGAGCTGTGAAGCGATGCAAGACTGTCCTGTCTTTTTTTTTTTTTTTTTTTTTTTTTTAAAAAAAAACTAAATGATTTTGATGGTGCAGATAAAAAATAAAAATGTTTCCTGCCTGCAAAAGCCTTTTCCCCTTGATAAAACAAACAATGGATATTACATTAAATATTTAAAACATTACATCACCAAAAACAATCGGACCCTACACCATTAACACCATTAACAGCAGAATTCCTGTATGAGAAACCTCAATGATGCTCGCATTGTGATCAACGATTATATTTGCACATTTGATGTATACAAGTCACGTGCAATGGCAACACAGGCCTTTTTTTATTCCAACAAAATATTTCTAGTAACGGCCACCACCACCATATCTGCCATGCCCACCAAAGTCCAGCTCTGAAGGCTCAGCACCATAGTTATCCATTGTATTGGAGTTTTGATGGCGAGATGAAGTGGTCCGTGCGACAGGCGCTGGCGAAGTTGGATGGTGTTGATAGCCATCGTATCCACCGTGGTCATAGAAACCATCATTGCGGTGATCATAGCCGCCACTGTACTGATTATTATCATACTGATTATGACCATAGTATTGATCTTGTCGCACCTTGCCAGAATGCATGTTGTTATATCCAACAGGCTCTGCATAGTATTGGTCATCATACCCACGGCCACCTCCACCTCCACCTCCACCTCCACCATTGTAATCAAACGGCGAAGGAGCATAATCACTTCCATGGGCATTGGGTCGGCTAGAGAATGGATAGTTTTCTACAGGCTTTGACGAGCCATTACGGTCGGCCATGCCATAATCAACCTCCCCAAACATCTCTGCAGGTACACCACTGCGTTGACGACGTCTCTTCCAACGAACTAGAGCAAATACGACTGCAAATGCAGCAACTGATCCAACGGCAATGCCTGCATATTTGAGCGTATTTTGCAAACTACTATCCTTGGGGTCTTTACACTCGTTAGTAGTGCCGGGGATGCCCCGTCCTGCGCAAATTCTTTGGCCCTCTACATCGGTGCAGAGTGAGAATGCCAGGGGGCAATCTGCGCTGGTCACACAAGTCAGAGCTGGACTAGATTGGCAGACATAAGCAAACTGCTGGCACGTACCCGCTGTGCCATTTGTCGCTGCACACACAAGGCCTTCAGCACATGTAGAAGAGTTTACGCAGGTATCACTGTTGCTTGGGATGGGTAAACTTGTTGTTGTGGTTGGGAGTGCGCTTTGAGTGTTTGTGGACAATCGATTCGCCGAGCTGGCTACAGTCGTCGTCTTTTGAGCAGGAGTCGTATGGGTTTGCGTAGGAGGATTGTTGGTGACAGGTACGGTTGTCGTGGTTGTGGTCGCTCTGGCTGATGTCGTGGTAGCAGGGTGGTTAGAAGAAGGTAAAAGGGAAGAGATACTTTGACCATGGACATCAGACGGCAGCGCAGCCAAGAGGAACGCAGCATATAAGGTCAGAAACGTGGTTGCTTTTGACAACTTCATAGTCGAATGTCAGTCCTCTTTTTTTTTTATGCTTCAATAAAATTAGACGTCAAGTGTGGTAAGACAGAGGTGATGCAGATGAGACGATTCTTTTCTTTTTTTGCTGAAGTAATGAATCGAAATATGACAATGAGATGATGACAAGGTTAAAGTAAACAGGGGGAAATCGTTAACGGGAAAGAGATGAAGATATACTGGAGCGATGGAGAGAGTATGTCACAAGGAAATTTGCAGGCTGGAAGGCAGAAGAGCAGCAACAAATGACGGGCGGTAGAGGAGGAAGGGAAGGAGGAAGGTCTAGGTAGAAGGAAGGATAGGATGGTAGAAGGAAGGACAGGGCGTGGGGAGGGGAAGAGGGCTCGAAAGAGTAAAGAAGGAAAAGAGGAAAAAAAAAAAAAAAGAAAAATGGCAAAGAGCAACTTGGGCCAGACCTGTCCGAACGAGTTCATCCACAGCTCTTGGTTACACAACTTCTCAACTTCTTCCTGCTCTCTGGCCTTGATCAATCGCATTTGTCGTTCTCGTTTATCGCATGGATCTTTTTTGTTCGAAGGTTCATTTATACTATTCCCGGTTTGCTCGTGCTCTGAGAAATATCTGGGTAGACAACCGACCAGGGTCCCTTTGTTTTGTCCATTGTTACTCATAGACTAAGGCCAACTTTGTATGTAAAAAACCAACCAACTCCTGCTCTTTTTTTCTTTTTTCTTTTTTTTATCCCAAAGAAAAAGGGTATGCCTTGAATGAACGCCCAAATGAATATGCTGTCTTATTTACCCGCTGGATGGTTAGAAGAAAGGACAAATCGCACTGTGTGCTTACTTACTTGCTTATTTGTTTGTCGGGTTGAATAGCTCTCAAAAAAAAAAAAAAAAAAGCAGCGAGGCACACAGACAGGTACAAATGAATTATCAAGGTTTGAGGTGCACTAAGCATGCCACTACATGTACTCATGTGGAGGGGCTGAAACTAAGCATAACAGTCGGATAAGGAACCTTTTCCTTCATTTTCCTTTTAACATTGTAATTCACACACACTCTATCAACTCTAGGGAGCCTTCAAAGATTTTATGTACTTTATTACCAATATGGTAGTTGAAGTACAAAATACAAACGAATAGGTGTGAATGAGTTAGCAATACCAAACTATGGTATAGATATGCTGAAATATTGAAAGATGCTTTCTATGAAGCCTATCTTTTTTGCAACCATGCCTTCTGGAGGACGAGTTTCATCGCCAACTTCCTTTTAGTTCGTTGATAAACATGTACCATTGTTCTCCGTAAAACCCTTCATCACCGTGTGTTTAGCATCGTCATCTGCATCCTTATAGAGCTGGATAAAAAGCTGTGCAAAATGCTGGTTGTCCCCTCTATTACCATCAATCTTCTCCCCATCCTTGACTTCTTCATTTTCTAATTCAATGCTTTGAAATAGAATTAAAAAAAAGTCAATTTAGCAGGCCGTTTACTCCTCACTGGAGCAAGCTTTCATTACAATTTATCTTTTACGAAGCTGAGCCTTCGCTTCCACAGTGACATATGCTGTCGGCTTCTCTTTGATCAGTGCTCTATCTTTTCTAAACTTTTGGTATGTAGTAGACCCTCAGAAATAGTTCAGTAAGACGAAAAAAAAAAAAAAAAAAAAAAAAAAAAAAAAGAGGATAAAGCGTAAGCGTAAGTGATTCAATGGTACACATGCTTTTAAAAGAAAAGGCTGTCTTTAGTGCTCTTTAACACTCTCGGATATGGCAGACCATGTTTGTAAGCCACGATGGCGTTGCCATACTTCTACTTTGCCTTCATCCATGGGCTGTGCTTTTATTGATTTTTTTATTTATTTTTCTACTTTCTACAATATTCCAATATGTACTTCAGCTATCTACCGCACAAGAGGATGCCGAGGAAATCAAGCGCCGCTAGCGTTAATTGCTGTAAATGGGTAGAGGGATGGAGATGAAGGAGGGTAATTAGGTAAAGGAGGGTAATAAATATGAATAGTACAGCAACAACAATAGCAATGCAACAACATAAACAAAAAGAAGAAAGAAGTAACTTTTTTTTTAAAAAAAAAAAAAAAAAAGGGTAAGAATATCAAATTATGCAAACTATGCAGATTACACTGCAATGTTAATGACAGCACCTTCGGGAGTCGAGTCCCAGAAATCAAAAAGTGCTTCTTTGGGTAGAGATCGGAATCCGATCGTCTTGCTGACAGGGCCATAGTTCCTGAACATGAATTTAAGCGCTCGCTGTCGTAGGCCGATCTGACCACTCAGCCCCGCTCGATGATAAATCCTTGATACTGTCCCGATGTCAATCTGCTGATGAAGAGCCGAGCTACAGAGCTGGACGAGACGCTTCATTACATACATGCTTCCCATCACTAGAAGGTCGGCGATCGTGTCCGTTGGCACGCCTTCAATCGAATCTGTATATAGATAGTCAACAAATGCCTTGACAGTTTCATATGGTTCTGGAAGGGTCAATGTGCTTGTTTGAGCCTCCAGCATACCCGACTGAACCATGCTGGCAAAATGAGGCCACCTAGCCATCAAGATCAGCTTATGACACATGATGGGCTCCTGCATTGGACTTGTTGCACGACTGGAAGATGGTGTCTGACGCTGTGACCGGGTTCTTTGGTGCGAAATCATAGGATGGCTATCAATCATCATGTCATGATCGCCGCTGCTGTCTGAAGGGGCATAGTATCCGTTAAAGGAGCCGACACTGTGTATCGCTGCATTTGATTGGGCATCTGTGCCTGTGCAGATGATTCGAAAGTCGGCCAGCGACATTTGATCGTGCAATAGCCGTCCAAGTTCATTTCCTATCGTCACAGGCGGCTCCAGAAAGGATCCATATTCTCTTAAGTCAATTGTAAGCACTTGCTTGAAATATTCATCAGAGTCATTGACGTCGCCAATGAGATAGAACTGTTCCCCATCCCTTGCCATCGAAAAGTAATGCCATGTGTGATTTTCGCCCAAAACCTTCCAGTCATCATGCTTTGTCCATTGAAAACAATCTAGGTTCAATGTCCAAATCCCCCCTGTGAATTTCTGAAGCTCGTAGCGCACACCTTGAGATATGACGACAACGAGGTAATTGCCGCACACCTGTGAATATTGCTGAGCAGCAACATTGGGCGCAATTTCATTTGATACATTAATCTTTGTGACTTGATTTGTTTCCAGATCCATATAAGCAATCACTCCTGTACGATCCATCTCTTCATTGTATCCACCATATGCAAACAGCTTCTGTCGATAAACAAACAGAGTATGCGTGTGCCTCGGGACAAAATCAATGGGTTCCTCCCATTCCCATGTCAAAAGATTCAGACAAAGTAGCTCCTGTGACACTCCCTCTTCTAGGCAACCACCGGAAATATAGAGTTTGTTGTCCATGATGGTTGCCGCATGCTTTGCCCTCCCAACAGGGATGGAGCCACTCGTAACAGGTGTTTCCCATGTGAGTGTCCTTACGTGAAGGACATGAACATCATTACAGAACTGGTTGCGCTCGTCGCTGCCTCCAAAGATCACGATGCGATCATCACCCCAAAGAATAGCAGAGTGGTCGTTTCGTTTCGAAGGAGGTTCACCTTTGGTATAGATTAATTTCTCCCATGACATCGTATCGATGTCTAGACGATAGAGATCATTATTGACCGCATCTGTGTATTGGTGAAATCCTCCAAAAACGTAAAGTCGTAAACGGTCTTGTTCGTCTTGACGACTCTGGCTACGATAATGACCCTGGTTACTGCCAGTCTGTCCTTTGATGGTCGGGTTACTTACTGTGTTCGATCTATCATTGCCCTCCTGGCCAGTGCTGGCGTAAAAGTTATCCTGGCGTGAAACGGTCACAGAAGCACTGATGCAAGTAATAGACGCATTAACGATGCAGGTCATGCGATCGCCCTGTGTTGGTCGAGGAACGATTGATGTATCGAGAGTTGAGCTACTGTGGGCTTGAAAGTTATATGGACCATAGCTAGGGGTTGCATTCTGCAGCAAATGACTGGTGGAGGGCGAGGAGCCATGGTTTGAGGGCATTGCATGAAATGAATGTTGGTGGGCTAAGGTAGAGCTGGTATAAACTTGACTAGGGAGCTGCGCAGGCGATACCGTTCGACGCATGAGGACAGAGGCAAAGAAATGAATTCGCCTGAATAAATGGAAGCAAAGAGAATAGTATAACGAGCAAATGTGTGGGCGAGAGTGAGTGGGTTAATAAAGCACTGTTTTTTATTATTCAAACAAAGAGCAGAGACACAAAAGGCAAGCTGTCAGGGTAGAAAGGAACTGCATGATGTGATCACGTGCACTTGATCAAAAAAGAAATATTTATTTTCATATAAATACACATTAAAAAAAAAACGTTGGGATGTCTAATTCTTCTTGGCTTGCTTGCGCTCCTCAATGTCAATCTGAGCTAGGTTTTTAGCTGCATTGGCAAACTGGATACAGTTAATGATTTGCTTTCCAGCACAGACAGGTCCTGTCAAGGCAGCCAATGTGTAGAGAACAATCTTGCCAAGGGTTGAAGTCTGGAATCCGAATGAGAGGAGATACAAAACCACAAAAAAGAGCTCATTGGCGAAGCAGAAAGCAAAAAGAACATTCTATCCCATTCAAACGAGAACAATAGGACACATGAATTAGATAACTTAATAGGCGCATTGAACGTAAAAATAAAACACTGCACAAGCAAAGCATTGCACAAGCTCTAGAGCTTTACATTGTTGCTGTAGTAGGCGCGAAGAATGAAGTTGCTTGACTCTGAAATCTTTTTATGACTGCTGGCTCCAGAGGTCAGTGAGCTATTTAAATAAGCAAAAAATAATTGGAACAAGTCAATGAATAAACCCACGAGAACGCCTTTAAATTTGCCTCAAACATATACCATTTGTGAATCATATGAAGCAAAAACATAATAAATAAATTAAGCAGGTTTGGGATAAAATCCTCACCTGTACATATGCATGTAATGACTGCTCACATCCAGAGCAATCAGAAACTGGAAAATTAGGGCATAGCTGGAGTAAGCTGAGGCAAGATAGCATAAAAGACAGGCAGTCGTGCATCTATTTTGAAATATAAAAAAAAAAAAAAAATGGAAATCACGTTGTTTTTGATCGATCAGCTTCAAGAAAGCATTTTGGTAAATGAAGGTGGAGAAATTAACTACGTGAATACGTTCACACGCGATACAAACAAGTGAAAAGGACTTTTATGAACAAGGCCTATCTAAGGCCTCGCAGCACAAAACATCAAAAGATGAAAGCTAATAGGCATCATGGGAAGCAGACCCCTCATTGTAGCCATGGACATTAGAAGCGCCACAAGCTGAACATCGACGGTGAAATGCCATTTAATATTTTTCAAGTTTCTGTTGCATACCTGTCAGTGACCATGTCGAGGACTGCTCCAAACTTGCTGCCTAAAGTAAATGAGCCAACCGATTGTTCCATTGTGTGCAAGTCAGCAATACATTAAAAATAAATAGAACCTTGTGCCCAAATCAAATATTTAAAAGCACACGGCTATCGGCTTCCTGAGATAAAAAGACTTACATTGGTTATAATACCTTGCAGCCTGTCCATCAACAGCATCCAGTAGACAAGAGATCGAATACATGAGCATGCATGTTTTTGGGTGTACTGGCATGTAGTATAACGAAAATGCTGCAAGGATAATACGGGAATACCCTGGAGACAAGAGTGGTGTGAAAGTGGATGAACAAAAAATTTCATCAGTGACTTGATCATCACCGCTACCACTAGACTACGAATTACTCTCACACAAGAAGGTCCTGACACTTTTTTGTAGTTGCTGTTGTTGTCATGGTTGTTGTTGTTAAAACATCTGCTACTGCCTCATCGAGGACAACAGAGACGAATGTATAGATCAGCTGTCTTGTCACCTACCAATCAGGTTAGGGATGAAGAGAAAGACATTCTCGTCTGCAGGTGTAGCCTTTGAGGAAACCTCTGTGGCTCCCTTTGTGTTTTTTGCAGGCATTTCTAAGAGACTATGGGAGGAGTGCAAATGAACGGATGAAGACAAGACAGGGGTAAGAAAAGTTGTGCAAGGCAAGAAAAGACTTTTTAGAGCTACATATCACGTGCTAATAAATGTTAAACACAAATGCCAACCCGACCACTTCAACACTTCATCAACGTGAGTCCCTCAATTGTTGGCTACTTACGTCCCTTTTTCCCCTTTATTGAATTCAGACACTGGAAAGGACTTTAACACGACTCATGGAAACTTATCCTCCAGAGTTCGTCATTCATCTTCAGCCGACCTTGGTCGTCACTGGCTTGACCACAACTGAGGACGCGTCTCATCAGAATAGAACAGGCAGTCAATCACATGTTAGCGTTGATACTCCACCACCACCACCACCCAGACATGTAACTGCCTCAGGATTAGAAGCACAAAAGGCTGCGCTACTACAGGCAATGTTGTCAAGGAACAATGTAACATATTGGGATAATACAAAAGGGCTTGCAGGATCTTTATTTTATGTCGTACCAGAGCACCGAAGCTACATCTTACCTCCAACACGGAAATCCTTGCAGCAAACAGGCCAGCAACATCTCCAACCTTCCTTATCCCCTTCCTCCCCTTCTTCGCCACTATACCCGGACGGACTTATCAGTCCCCTTTGGATCAGACGGCATCGTGATCAGATACCCTCCGTTTTCGTCGCAGTCGTGGACCTTTGGGATCGCGAGTCAATTGTTGATTTTAGTGAAGGCAACCACCAGCGTGTATTCTCAGATAAAGGGCCCTTGGGCGTAGTTGACCCTTTAGAACGTGAGCATGACACAGTACTGGCACAGGAACTACTAGAGCGTCGGTAAGTGTAAATGCATCTTTCTTTAATCACATAGAGACAACAATACAATAGATCAGCTATCAGTGATTGCTAATCTACTCACATGATGCCTCTAGAAAAGCTGCTCAGGAACGTCTGGTGAAGTTCGCGGTCGTCATTTTATTGCAGCGATCACACATGGGTATGCCATTATGCACAGAAGCAGTCTCTACTTATTACTTTTTTCCACCAAAGAAATGTCTTAACTCTTAATCCGTCGACCAAATAGAGGACCCTTCCATCGAGGATCGCCTGAACTTTGTGCGCAAATCTGCAGGGCTTGATATTAAGAATTCATTCTACGTGCTTCAGCCAAGTAGTAGCCAAGAAATTTCGGACTTTGCAGTCAAGTAAGGCCAGTAATGACCATGAAAACCCTGATGAAGCAAGTATCTTGTCCTTAATATATACTAATACCATAACTCTTGTCTATAGTCTTCAGAGGTCACAATATGAAGGCTCTATGAGCTATTACAAGGAGCAAGTCAAGAGACACAAAAAGAAAAAATCAAACCTGCCATCAACAACTGCGAGTGTAAAGCCGCCTCAGCAAATTGCTGGGGGCTCCCAGCAGCAGCCGCCGCATCAAGGCCTTTCAGTTCAGGGATGGATGTTGCGTTATGATTTTAAGATGGGAATGTTCTCGGAATGCAAACAAGATATCGATAATGCTGTCAAACACTACGAGTCAGCTTATGGGCTATTGATTGACATGTTTGCAGTCACCTCCACTATAACCCCGGGAGCGCCAGGCTTGCAGGCCCGTACAAAGCGATGGGCGGAAGCCAAGGTCCTGGCTGACTGTTTGTGCCTCAAGGTAAAGATACCAGAACGTGTTCGTCTACGTCAATGTCAGCAATGTTTTTGCAGCCAGTAACATTTTTTGTTGGTGCTAGATCTGTAAATTTCATCTTTATCTCGATGCTCCCTCAACAGCGCTCTTCACTTTTCGACGCCATCTGATTGTGTTCAAGGCTTTTTCCGAAAGTTGGCGTATGGGAGATGATTCCTTCGAGTATTGGGCATGGCTTGGAAAACAATACAAAGTATTCGGCGACCTGATCGATATAGGAACCAAGTTAGGCTTTAAGCTGCCGGTTCCTTCACCCAGCAGTATCGTTTATGGCTCATTTGCTGGAATGGCAGAAGGCGCGAAAGACCTCAACAAGTTTTCTGGGATCAATCTTGGCAGCAGCACAGTCGGGTTTGGTATAGGACCTAGCGGCGATGCGTTTGTGTACAATGGTAATGTGGGGGCCGGCCGTGGCGGAGGGACGCATGGCCCTGGCGCAGGAATCAATCCTATGCTGATTCTCCAACACGCTGGATATTTTTACCATCAAGCTGCCAATTGTAGTGTACAAAGGCGTCTTCGCTTTGAAATCGCTGAAGAGGCAAGTAGTATGAGATTTCACAACTTAAAGCTTTGGTATATACGTCTATGATGCTAATGGCCATACGGTTATTTCATCAGGCTTATCCGGACAGTAATGTGGCTCCGATTCCAACGACCAGTAAGCCGTTTCCACCAACACTTCAGTCTATGAATGCTGAGCGAGCCATCGACCATTTGGCATTAACTATTGAGCTGTTGACTAAGAGCTACGAACAATTTAAGAGATACAAAGCTGGCCGCATGACGTTGTTTTTAGCCTCAGAGATCGCTGGCACTTATTATTCGGCAGGAAGGTTTGAAATGGCCTTGAAGTAAGTTAGCTTATACATTTACAAAACTAGGAATGTATCTGAGAAGGTGTTTATTGTACTTATTTTTTGTAAATTGATATAAAAAAAAAAACAGATTCTTCGAAAGAATTGGAAAGACATACCGCAAGGAAGGCTGGAACTTAATTTTGACTTCAATCTTGAAGTGGTCTGTTCAGTGTGCCAAGGAATTAGGGTACTGGGAGAATGTAGTCGAGTATTTGATCGAGATGATGAGTCCAGGTAATGGTGATAGTACTTTGAGCCTGCACCAGCTGATACATGCTGATTAGTGAAGTATGCAGCTCCTGATGAACATTCATACCTATAGATATGCCATCAACGGATGAAAAGCGAAATACTATCTTTGAAGAATTAGTTAGCATTATCTATACAGGAGACCATCCCGCTAATGCTATGGTGCACAGGCCTTTAGTACTCAATATGCATCATTACAATCCGTTTGGTATGTTTGTTTTTCATTGCCATGCTAATTCTCCTGTTAATCGTTTCATATCCCTCTTAAGTAGATAATGCAGAGTTAACTTTTATGGAATATAAATTTCTTAAATTATAGTTACTTGTGAGGTCCAGTTCCAAAGACAACAAGCGTTTGTTTCTTCAGAGAGTAGATTCCAAGTACAAATTTCAACACAAGGTGGAGAAGGCGCATTGCCCAGCCCGTTCAGAATATCTTTTGTTCACGTGGAATTTTCTGATGAGGCCCTCAACCATCACTTTGTGGATACTCGGTCTCATACATCTGCCACAGCGCCTGAGAACGCTAGCAGAATATTGCAGACGAAGGATCGGACCGGGAAGAGTATTGAATGGGTTGACTGCGCTCAGTGTACATGGGAACACATCGATAGTATCAATAGTGGCAGTGGAAGTGCATCAGCTATGGGCGCGTGGAAGAAAGTTGTGGACCTAGACATTCGCCCATCTGAGACCAAAGTCTTCGAAGGTGCCATCGCTCCTACCAAGGAGCAGGTGGTAAAGGCAAGTCTATAATCTGTTTTGATAGAAGAAGAAAAAGTCAGTGAATGTTCCTAACTCAGCACCAATTTTGCATCTGGAACTGACGTAGGTAGTTAAAGTGACATTGGGCATTATCACTAAGCATTGGAACGTGTCTCTTGAGTATCCATCTCTGGAAATGGCGCTAGAGCAGGACCCAAGCCTCTCACAATCCCAGCCTATGCCTCCGCGAAGAGAATTACCTAGCCGTCAATGGCTTGACGTTCAAATGCCTACGGCTGATATTCCCCTTGGGATGCGCTTTAAGAACCTAGATAAGGGAATACGACGTGCAGCAGCACTTCGGTATGATATGCACCGTTACGCTCTTCATACGCTTTGTGCGTTAAATTGGATACTGACCTTTCCTTTATGCGTCTCTCTTAGCATTGTACCAAGAGAATCAAAAGTTGAGATCAAGGCCTTGTTCAAGTCACCGGCGTATTTAGATGAGTACTTCCCTATTAAGATCAAAGTACGGAACGGAGAAGCATATGCTGTAGCAATGGAAATGGACGTAGAGCTTCGGCCTATCGATCCTACAATTGAGTCTTTAGATAGTATTGTTCTGGATCCTTATGTCGCGGCCGCTCAGCCATTTTCTGCTGACAGGACTCAAGCTTCGTCAACATTAAACCGAATTTCCCTTACGCCCTCGGATATGTCGCATGAAATGAAAAGTCAAGAAATGAGAGAAATAGATGTAGGAGCTTGGGCGGAACGCACTGTCTTCGTAAGAGCCTTGGAAATCCCGACACCTAGAACCATCCTCTGCAAAGTTCGGTATGAGCTTTCACTGGATAAGGAAAATAACAAGACATGGACAGAAAAGCGGTACTCTTTTAGGGTTCTCTTTATTCCGCCCTTTGATGCCGAAGCCAGCTATACCCAACTACCCGTTCAGACGCTAGGAAACAATAGTTCCAATTCCCAAGGCAGGCATAAAAACCTACCGCCCATCTTGGAGCCTAATCGAATGGATGAGAAACATGAGACGATCCTGATCCCAGCCTTGACTCATAAAGAGACATATCTTATGTCGACACGCATCAATAATGAAGGTTCATGGCCAGTAGAGGTCAAAGAAGTCACGCTCGTGACGAATTCGACAGTGGAAAGTGCATTGGATGGGGCTGTTAAAGAGTCTGTTACGAACGGACTCTCTAGAAGCCTTAGTATCGGTCGTGCTAGAGAGCGAAAAAAGAGTTTACAGGAAGTGGGCGTATATGTGGATCTATTAGAATGCGGGCCTTCTAGTATTGAACAACTGACCTCTAATGATAAGGACAAGAATGGCTCTGTCCAACGCTGGAGACCAGGCAATATACAGACGCTCAATCATCTGATCCAGATTACGGCTGCTGATTTAGAACTAGCGCCTGAGCAGATCAATGTTGGTTTCTTACAGATCTCTTGGCGAAGGTCAGTAATAGAGCTGACATGTTCTTCAGGAGCGATGACATAATGTGTAAGGGTAAAAGGAATGAAGCACATTCTAACAGCCTAACCTTTTATATCCCTGGTCGTGGGACACTTTAGATGGGAAGACGAGGTCATTAAGAATGTGCCATACACAACCACTAATGTTCCTTTGCAACCACTGACTCTACCAAAGGCAGAAGTTTACATGACCGTGGGTATGTCTTTTGTATGTGCTTGAAATCTTCCTCGATGCAATACAGGCTTTATTTTATTCATTCATCTTAACTCTCTTTCAATCTTAGATTTGCCTAAGCATGCTCGGGTCAATAAGCCATTCACAGTCCGATATGTGGTCCATAATCCTACGAATAGGCTACATGAGCTCTCTATGTCAATCGAGTCTTCAGAAGGCATGGTCTATGCCGGCACCATGCAAACTGCTATCAAACTGCTTCCTTATGCAACGCATCCAATCCAGATGAGCTGCTACCCGCTCAGTGCAGGATTGACCAAACTTCCGCGTGTCAAACTGGTGGTTAACAAGCGGAAACTGTCTGGTAGACGAGGCAGGCCTGCGCCACTCACGCCGCAGCAGGAGCAGTCCTCACAAGAAGAGATGTTAGTCAAGATCAGGGACGCAACGAGGACTAGCGAAACTGTTGGTGCTAGTGCTGTTTCAATTTTTGTGAAGCCCGAAATGGGACTGATGAAATAAAAGCCTACTACGCATAAACACTATACTTACAATTTATATTATACTCAATTTAATTCCATTAAACAGTGAAGAAAGCCATGTTATGAAGGGTTGGTCTGACCGCATCGACCGCATCGCCTCAGTATCATCGGCTTTGTTCAAAGATTAAAATAATAATGTGTCATTGTTTTGTAAGTTTTTCTCGTATTTTCTTTTACTTTCCGCCGTGTCGCCCATCAGGCTGATCAGGCAATGTCGGCTGAGCACTGACATCATCATTATCGATATGTGCAGTATTGTCCAAAGTCGATGATGGCATGTGTCGTTGATTTTCCATAAAACCTGAGCATCGCTATCCATTTCCCTTTTTTTTTTTTTAACTCCTTCATTTTTGGCATATCACCATCTATTATTCGCTATTATTATTCACCCATTCACTCTTCTAGTTTCCGAGAGCGTCTTTTTTTTTTTTTTTTTTTTTTTAAAACAAGGTAAAGGAAGCTAAATCAACGTATGTTTCTAGCTAGGCTTATCCATAGTGCAAATTGACGACAATGACGCTGATATTCTTTTTTTTTTTTTTTTTTTTTTTTTTAGCACATCCAATAATGACAGACATTAAGCATCCAGCCTCCTCACCATCCATGGTATCAATGCCTGCAACTTTTAATTTCTCTAGTGCATCGTCGCCATACAGCACCGTATCAGCAAAATCTCCTCTTGGTCGACCCACTAAGACAGCTAAGCTCTCATCAGATCGAAAGCCATACTCTTCCAAGACGCTTCCTAGTCGTCACCGACTTAGCCTGCCCGTTATGCCAACGCTCTGTGAAGATGAGCTCGTTGAGACTATATCAAATCCAGGCGCTTTCCGTAAACTTGAGCTACCAACAAGATCACGCATGGTACATTTTTCTCCACGTAAGTAAAACATGGCAGCGCTTTTTTTTTTTTTTTTTTTTTTTTTTTTGCTCTTTATAATAGTTGGTAACTAACCATATCCTGAAATTACGCTACAGCTGATAACAAGACTGATGACAAATCACCCTGCTTACCCCGCACGCCATATCCTATGACTCGTGAGGAAGAAGATCAATTTTTTCAATTATCCTTCACCAGGGTCTGAAGGCCGTCATTTGCCAAGCTAGTCAAAGTTAGTCATTCGTTGGCATGTGCTCAAGGCATGACTATTGATCACCACCAAATCCTTGTATATAGCCTGTAATATTTAAATAAACATTAACACCATAGCATTTAAAATAATAATAGCAGAGATAAATATGCTTATATATTTTCCGACGTAGTTAAAGGCATTAGCTAGTGAGTCATGTAGCATCAAGAATGGATGCAACAAGCAATAGCAGGTTGCAGTGCTTGCAACCTGGAGAATACACTAGTTTAACCTTTATATCATTCGTAAATGCTTGGACGTATAGATGCAATTCAGTCGAAAGTGGTTTTTATAGACAAAGACATAGTGAATTTGTCTATAAAAACGAATGAATTGACCTCCATAAAAGATGTATTTTATAACATGAGAATTAAAGCCACATTTATATATATTGGTGCACACAATATAAACGAAAATATATTATTCTTCATTCAATATGAACACCATGGCTAAAAAAAATTGTAACAAAAGGCATTGACCGTTCTCGGATGAAGTGAAGACAGATTTAGAAAGCTGAAGCCTGCGCCCCACCCTTTGTTCTCTTCCAAGAAGGATAAAACACCAAACAGAATTCGCCGGCTGCGCTATTTTGACCTCTTGAATACCGGCACGTTGGAAGAAAATTAGCATGAACTGTTTTGTGTCATGAGCACCAATATGTATGATTTTAATTTTCACGTTTTAAAATACATATTTCGTGGAGGTCAATTCACTTATTCTTATAGACAAACTCATTATGGCTTTGTCTATAAAAACCGCTTTCGGCTGTACAGCCAAATATTTTATATTGGCGCCTCAACTTAAAACACTTTTTGTCCCACTTTTTGGCATCTTGTTCTAAGGTCGATTGCGCCCCATCAGTGCGTCAATAAATGGACAAAATCTTTTAAGGTTGGGGCGAATATAAAGAATTTGAAATTAACTCTGTCTGTTGTGTATTGTATTTCTCAGCCACTTAAAATTGATCGATGGCGCTATGATGTGACTCAATCTTAGAACAGTACACCGTATTTATACTCTTTGCTTCCTTCCAACCTCCTCCTCAAACACACTTCTCGACCTTCCACTCATCAAACACAATCATAATGTCTGCACATCTGCGTCAAGTCTTTAGTGATTGCAAAGACCAAAGTAAGCGACTACAGCTATCCCTTTCTTTCAATTGAAGGGTGTGAAAAGTTGCACAAGACTTGATACAGAAGAGAAAACACAACAACTCGGAAAGCTTTTTTTTTTTTTCTTTTCCTTTCCCTACAAGACAATGAACCATTCTCATTAAACTCGTTGTTAAACGCAATTTTACTTCATTTCATTTCAAATAGAGCGTCCTGCTTTTGTAGCATTCATCACTGCTGGATATCCACACCCTAGTGAAACGGTTGATATCATGCTCGCAATGGAGAGAGGTGGTGTAGATATCATTGAGCTTGGTGTTCCATTCACCGATCCGCTCGCTGATGGCCCCACTATTCAGGAGTCTAGTCAGGTATGAGCCTATAAATGCTTAACAAAAAAGAATCGACCACAAAAAATAAAGCTCCTATAAACAGGATGAAGGCAAATCTACAACGATAATTAACCTCATTACTGATCCAATGCACCATGGCTTTTAGGTTGCTTTGGGACATAAAGTCGATATCCCAATGTGTTTGAACATGGTCAGGGAAGCAAGAGCCAAAGGCTTGAAGACCCCTATTGTCTTCATGGGATATTACAATCCTATTCGTTGCTATGGTGAAGAGAGGATTGTACGGGACTGCAAAGATGTTGGTGTTAATGGTTTCATTGTTGTCGAATTACCTCCTGAGGAGAGTGCTATCTTCCGTGGCTATTGTAAACAATACGGGTATGTCTCACGTATCTATTACTAAAGTGATTCAGAATGTTTTACATGACAAAGCATTGATAAATGGTATCTGTTTCCGATCACTGTAAAAAGTTTGTCATATGTACCTCTGGTTGCTCCTTCCACATCCGACACACGTATTGGCCATCTGGTCCAGGTAGCAGACAGCTTCATCTACGTTCTCTCCAAGCTCGGAGTCACTGGTGCCTCTGCCACTGTTAATTCCGAACTCCCAAACCTTGTCTCGCGCATTCGCCGTCACACCAATATGCCATTGGCTGTCGGATTTGGTGTTTCTAACCGAGAGCAGTTCCATACTGTTGGAACCTATGCCGATGGCGTTGTTATTGGAAGTAAAATCGTCACAGTTCTCCGCGACTCAGGTAAGTTTATCTGCTATCATTGAATACAAAGATCGCTTATCTATTCGTTAATCTTTTCTTTATACTAATTTCTAAAACTACTTGATATTAGCTCCGGGAACTGGTGCAGATGCTGTATATAACTATGTTAAGGATGTGTGTGATCGCACTGGTGCACCTGGTAATGATGCCTTCATTTGTATCGATATTATTATACATTTTTTGAATACATGGTTGTGTAATTGTACGAAGAGAGAAACTAATTCTTTATTGTCCATACGCTTTAGATCGACAAATTGTCCATGAAGAATCTCATCTTCCACTCAATTATACTGTATGACATTCAAAAAAAAAAAAAAGCTAATTGTCTGTTACTTTAATGTATTACTAACAACTTGTACTTTTTTGATGGATAGCACTCTCACTTGTTAGACCCTCGCTTTGGAGAATTTGGTGGGCAGTATGTCCCTGAAGCCCTGGTTGATTGTTTAAGTGAGTTAGAGGCCGCATATGTTGAGGCCAAGAAAGATCCATCTTTCTGGGAGGAATTCAGGTCTTACTATCCATACATAGGTAGACGCTCAAACCTGACGCTCGCTGATCGATTAACTGAGAAGATTGGAGGCGCAAGAATCTGGTTGAAGCGTGAGGATTTGAACCATACTGGATCACACAAGATCAACAATACTATTGGGCAGATCTTGTTGGCTAAGAGACTGGGAAAGAAGAGAATCATTGCAGAGACTGGTGCTGGTCAGCATGGTGTCGCCACCGCAACTGTATGCGCCAAGTTTGGTTTGGAGTGTGTCGTATATATGGGTGCTGATGATTGTCGACGCCAAGCCCTGAACGTCTTCAGAATGCGCATCTTGGGCGCCACAGTCATTCCTGTCTCTTCTGGTGCAAAGACCCTCAAAGATGCCATCAACGAGGCAATGAGAGACTGGGTCTCCAACGTCACCAGCACACACTACTTGGTCGGCTCTGCCATCGGACCCCATCCTTTCCCTACCATTGTGCGTGATTTCCAATCTGTTATTGGTACTGAAGCAAGAGAGCAAATGCTGGAACAGGCTGGTCGCTTACCTGATGCTGTCGTTGCTTGTGTTGGAGGGGGCAGCAACGCTATTGGTCTTTTCTACCCCTTTATTGAGGACAAGACTGTTCAGATGATTGGTGCTGAAGCTGGTGGGTCTGGCACTCATACTGAAGAACATTCTGCTACTTTGGCTGCTGGAACCGTTGGTGTCTTCCACGGAACTAGAACCTACTTGCTTCAAGACGATACTACCGGTCAGATCAAGGAAACACACTCGATCTCTGCAGGTCTGGACTACCCTGGTGTCGGACCTGAACACGCTTGGTTGAAGGACACTGGCCGAGCCAAGTACATCCCTGTGGACGATAGCCAATGTTTGATCGGATTCCGCTATCTCTGCCAGACAGAAGGAATTATCCCTGCACTTGAGTCATCCCATGCACTCTATGCTGCCATTGAGACTGCTAAGGAGCTGGGCCCCGGCAAGGATGTCCTTGTTACTGTGTCGGGACGTGGCGATAAGGATGTCGAGTCTGTTGCCAAAGCTCTTCCAAAGCTAGGACCCATCATTGGATGGAACCTTGAACTTCCAAAGATCTCTGATAATTATTAAAATTTTGGTATTGTGGCGCAGCTATGCACGTGACAATACGATTAGAACGCGTAGTTTGTTGTGGCACGATCATTAAGTCTTGGGAATAATTTTAATTGTCGCGTCGATGAGCTCTTTAGCAAATATGTGTAATCAAATATGATCAAAAAGATATTTATTGCCATATGCCATAGATGTTTTTTTTCTGGTGTTGAGAACGTTGTGGGAAGATTTTTTAAAAAATTTACTGTGAATGTATAACATTTGTGAAGTCATTCGAAGTGGACAATGCCTTGGCTCTTGAATGGTCTCTTATTACGAGATAACTTTTTTAAGGAGGATCATGGGCAAGGGGGAATGCAAGAGCAGCTTTGTACAATTGTTATAGAGGTAGATGCGTTCTGGACTAAACACAACATGCGTCAACAGTGAAGCGATAGGATGAGGCATAATATATAGATATTTGGTAGGTATTGAAATATAAAAAAAAAAAAAAAATGAGCACCAACTTTGTTCCCTTTTTTTATATTTGTTTACTATCTATACATGAGTATACATAATAGAACAAAAAGTTTTGGTGGAATGAAAAGACTGCGACACTGCGATTTTGGACTGGATCTGGATATGCAATTAAATAACATTCAGGAAGGAATTGTTTGTATAAATGTTTACAAACACTTCATGTTCATGTACTTCCATTTCAATGACCAATGCAGGAGTCAGAATGTTTACAATTGAACGATGGTCAATAAGAAAATAAAAAAAAAATAAAAAATAAAAAATAAAAAGAGGGGGGCAGACATTTGTCAACAACTTTTTCCGCCCCTCCGTCTCCTCTTCTTGTGTCAACAAGAAACTTGCACGAATCAGAACAAAAGATCTCGCTCTCTCGCTTGCTTTTCTGTCTCCTTTTCTATTTTACATAATTTCAGTTCATGCGCAAGATTCTGATGAAAAGGAAAATGCCATTCTCTTCGCCTTGTACAGGGGAAAAGCAGCTTTTGGGTTTTTTTTTTTTTTTTTTTTTTTTTTTTTTACCACAAACAATGGGACAATTGGTTCTTCCAAAGGCTTTGACTATGTTCCCACCTATAAAGAACTGTATACCGATAGGTGCAACAGCCCGGTATTACGAGAAAACCTACACTCCAGCCTCGTAAAAATGCCTCAATCCTCCATGTATTTGTCTGACAGGAGCAAAGGGAAAAAAAAAAAATGGTCCAAGTGGTCAATGATTATTCTAGGTACTAAATAATGGTATATACCAGCATAAACTCACTTGATATGAGAAGCCGAAATATCAAATGTCAAATGTAAAATATTCAGAGGGGTGAATATTCATCCAATTTCCATTTTCCGTACAACGGTTAAGAAGGTAGGTTCTACGGATTGAGTTAATTCGTCATTCTTTTTTGTCTCCTTGACCGTTGTAGAAGCTTAGTAACAAGTTGGCCTTCTAACAAGTTTGACCGACTCTAACCAGCTATGCTCTCTCTCTATGTTTTCCTGGTTTTTTTTTTTACGGTCTATAATTCAGGTATTAGCGAACTAGTGTGTTTGTATTTTGAGATGAACGAAGGGGAGGGGGAGCATTTGGATGGTGTTGTTTGGGCGTAACGTAAGATGTGGTTTTAAAAAAATAAAAATAAAAATGTTGTCATTCTCAACGGTCCACTATGAGTTTGGACACTGAAGAGAGAGAGCAACCTTCCAAGGATTCAGTCCTTCCCCCCCTTGTCCCTTGTCCCTTTTTTTTTTTTTTTTTTTTTTTTCTTTGTAATGTCGGTGTATAAGTTGATCTTTAAAAAAAAATAAAAAAAATAAAAAAAAACAAAAAACAAAAAACCAAGATATAAACTGCGATTATCCAATAGGTGTAGTTGGGATAGATTCTTTGTTAGGAGCTCTTAGTTAATATCTTATATCAAGACGGGGAGAGAAGGGGGAGGGAGTGGGAGTGGGAGTGGGAGTGGGAAAGGTGAATTGAAGGGAACTACTGACTGTTAAGAATGAATGAAAGTAAAAAAAAAAAAAAAAAAAAAAAGGAACCGTTTTTGGGGGGTTTGAGGGGTGGACAGAAGTTAGCAAAAAAATAAAATAAAAAGAAGTTTCTTAAAAAAAAAATAAAAAAAAAAAAAATGATGCTGCGCTTTTAAGGAAAAAGAAAAAAAAAAAAAAAAAAAAAAAAAAGACGTTGACGATCTCAAACTGAAGCGTGTATCTCGGACATGATCAGATGTTGAAAATCATTCAGGCGTAAATGCTCGTTGAAGAGAGACGAGATGATATTCGTCTCTTCTCTCATGACGTAAATACTTGCGAGGATACGAAGCAGTAAAAAAAAAAAAAAAAAGGCAGAAGGCGGTGGTACTACAGAGCCACAACAAGACGCGTCTGAAAAACTCACCAGATTGTCCGTGCATAGTCGAAGAACAAATAAAGTTTAATGAGACCTATCCTCACCTCTATCTCTTGGCGGCATCTGATTACTTTCGAGTTGACCAACTTGGCTCGTGTTCAACATCATAAATCCGCAACAGGTTACGCGCGGCCGTTGTTCCACCACATCGCCGTTGGTTGGTTCATGCCTGGCCCCTATTGTTCACCCAAAGGCATATTGTGCCATTTGAAATGTATAAGGTCTCCGTTTTTTTTTTTAAAAAAAAGTAATGAAGCTATGGATGATTTTTGGTAAAGATAGCGCCTCAAATACACGTCAATGCCATAAAGATTACTATTGTTGGCTTTTTTCTGTATCGGATCTGACATCAATTTGGACATCTATAGAATATAATGAATGGTTCGCACAGGCCTTGTTGGCGTTCCTTCGCTAGCCTTTTTTTTTTTTTTTTTGTTTTCACTGGCCTATTCTAGCATATTTCTAGCAGGTTCTCGGACTTAGCAGTTTGCTAAACCTGCTTTAGGCTAATTTAAGGAGACGTAGTTGAGAATAAGTTTCCCAAGCCTATGGGCCAGGAGATATTAATGAATTCATTCGTGCAATCCCTTTTATTCGTTGTGGAAATTTTATACTCCTCTGATCTGCCAAGAGACAGCAGTGGAAACTTGAAGCCTCCTGGTCGATGTTAACTTTTCAGATAGGAGAAAATGTCAAGAGCTTTTTTTTTTTTTTTTTTTTTTTTTTTGACGGCATATTCCGCCATGCTTTTAGACTCCTCATTGTGGGTCCGAGGAAATAAGGGGTGATTAAACAGCTCATAAATTGGAAGATGAGATATTGGCAAAGTTGAATTGTACTTTATTCAATCAGTCTGTTCTTTCAGTACTTTGAGTGTATTCATTCATACATGTACAGAGAAAGATGCAGACAGTTCATGCTTCCGACCTTTAAGTTGATACCAAAATTCCTGCCTTAGCAATAATGCAAAAAAAAAAAAAAAAAAAAAACTGAATAACCAATATTTAATATAATCATAATCAATATAAGGCATTAAAATAAAATAGAATAGTAATGGTAATGGTAATTCAGTTATTCTTTATTTATTTTGTATTCCTTGTTGGTTACTCATGAGATCCTCAAGTTTGTCTCATTCAATTGTCTGCAAGATTTTTTTAGATTACCACCGGCGCAAAACCAATAAAGCAAAGGAAATAGTAAAAAGCATTGACAACGATTATATATACTCTGTTCCTTGACCCCGATATTCGATCCGTGGTTTCGAAGTATAAAAAGGTACCGATCATCACATCAACTTCTCTTCTATTGTCCGCTTGACATTTATCCTATCCTATCTGATATTGATCTCGATTTCAGTCTCAGTTCTTCACCTTCTCAAATCTTTGTTCAGTAGAACCAATTGTTTGCCCTGTTCCTGGACCCTCTATTTCTTTCTTCTGCACGTGCCGCAGTTTGAGGTACATTCCCTGTTTATATACCTTTATGGGTGTCGTGCTTTGTATTTTCCTCCACTCCAGATACGCCCATTGATTGAATGTTATTACAGTGTGGGAACATGCATGTGGATTTGACAGTCATCTCGAGAGAAAAAAAAAAAAAACTCTTTCCTTGATATCAACATGCAGAATATAATTACAGATGACTTCTGTTCACCATTCCTAATCTATCCTCATGTCTACTTCTTTATGGTCTGATGTCTTTGCACACGTTGTTTGTTTTCAATGTTATGCAGCTGAACACAAATACCCCACACCCTGATCAGAGCCTCCGTGCATAGCTATTGAAGGTAAAGGAGTGATGTGCTCAGAAGTGAACCCATGGCGTAACCATACTATGCAAAAGAGCGGGAGTGGTAATCATGGGTATGAGGCTCTCCCTTACAGAAAGTCATTTCCACAACCCTTGGAGGAAGCAAAGTGTGAGATTTCATTTTGTTCTATTTCAAATTTTATTTTTTTTATTCATCTCTTAAAACGTTCGCTGCGCTACCTTAATGAAACAATGAAAACATTAAAAAAAAAATTAGTCCGACAACTTTGTAAAAGTAACAGTTGCGCACCTTCCTGTGATGTGAACCACGAATTGGGTTTTCGACATCTCAGGTAATCCTCGCACTGGCCTCGAACTCCATTTTTGTGCACTATGACACATATCATCTTCTGGTACATCACTTGGAATCCACGCTTCTCCACACGCATCAAAGCCTGTCCAATATATCTTCACTATTATTCTAGGAGTTTGAAGGTGTCCTTCTATGGCGTTCGACACTGCTGCACTTGGCACCTTTAGTCACACTGAATTTCCCTTCCATTTCAGCAAAGCTGGATATCGCCATTAATATCTGTCGCGAGCACTCAAGCTCGTGTTAATCAAATATGTAAAGTCTATCCGTTAGGCAAAAAGGGAAGGGGAGAAGGGGAGAAGGAGAATTGTGTGAATGCGTGCATGGTAGACAGCTGTGTGTCTGATCTCTGTATTCCAAACATTCCACTTTTCTTGCCTTTTTTTTTTTTTTTTTTTAATACAAGGCATATAAAGTATTGTTCATAAAAGGCAAAATACTAAAGGATGGAAGGCATTCAGCAACTTCAACCCCTCACAGTCTTTTTCCTTTCTCTGTTGATACTACGCCCTTGAAAATCCTCTCTCCCCTTGATTTTCAACAACAAAGAAATAGCTATACCTTTTCTACAATAAGCATTTTCTAGTTTCTTGCATCGGCGTGGTGACCCTGGCCATTTGAGACAAATCATCCATTCCCAATGCTTTTGCAGTTTCTTGTTATGCTTACGATCCGTGGTTGATACCTTTTTTTCTAATCTGCCTTTCTCATCCTTATTGTTTTTTTTTTAAGCATAGCAGACACAAACAGACTGGGATTTATTTGTCCTAGCCCTTTGTTCACACGAACGGATACAAGCCTTTCTTTTTTTTAGTCTAAGTTGATATCACCCAGCAGTAAACGAACTTTTTGCTTGCAGGCAGCAAACTAGTCCAAGTTCGATATAGACATTCAATTGGATCATCCATCTTTCCTAGTGATCACATACACAAACATCCAAGAACGCGTTATAGTCTTAAAAAAAAAATAATAATAATAATAAGAACCGCGGGAATCGATTTGCTCACAACTCGCGCTGATTCATTTTCCCTCACCTCACCCCAGCTACAAAAGAACGATAACAAACAAAGCACAAAGCACAATAGTGAAAAGCACAAAAGCAAACAAACAAACAAACAAAGCACAAGGCGCCCACCTTTTACAATCTTCAACACCTCCCGTCTTCTCTGTGGTCATTCAGTTTCTATTCAAAAACACTACATTGCCTAACCAAAGACATGTAAGTAACAGTAATATGTATATATATATATATATATATAAATATATATATATAAAACAAAGCTTTTATATACCACAGAGTATGAGCAGAGGACCCTTCCGACAAAACCTTCTTTCTCTTTCTTTTCGTCTGCAAAGACTCCCTTGACACATACTAATACATACATACAGTACATACACTCTATACCCACATACACACCTATCAAAAGAGATTCTCACCACCAAATGTTTACACGTTCAAACAGCATAAAATATTCAACACTCAATTCAATCCATTCATACATAGAAGCACGTACACATCGCTTTTCTTGTCACCATTTCATCAACGACTATATAGATCCAGCTTTTAAACCCTCATTTCTTTTTCTCTTTTCTTTCCTCTCTCCTTTCAGTTGAAGACAGCCTATCTATCGATCTATCCCTCTTTGCTCTCTCTCTCTTTTTTTTATTTTTTTTATTTTTTTTATTTTTTTTTTTATTTTTTTTTATTGAAGAACTTAATATACCCTCTTCTTGTTAACATAACACGACTCTCATTTCTTTACTCAACTCCTTCCTCAGTTAAAGCAGAAGTAGCACTAAGTCACAGCCTCCCTCCATTGTCATTGAACTTTATTAACTTGCCTATCGCCAACCACCGACAATTGCAACAACTACACACGGGCGCTACAACGTTCACAGCGAATCAAAATACTGTTAATATTTGAGTGTTTCTCGCACACTCTTCTCCCCTCAACCAATTCCAGCATATCCATGCTTGGTGAAATCAACGCCTCAGCAACATCTTCCCCATTGACCCAACAACTTTTTCATTATCAACTGATGAGTCCCTTACAACAAGCCTGTGTTACCATCCCACAGCTACCTCAGGCTATCGACGGTGGTCGATTGATCTTACAGGACATGCTCGGTGTTGGTGCCTATGGTTCTGTATACAGAGCTGTCGACACCCAATCAGGCCAGAGTTATGCTGTTAAGAGTCTAAACAAGACGGGGCTGGACTCGAGGCAACGTGCATTCCAGAGCCACGAGGCAAAACTTCATGCCCTCGTCTCCGGTCACCCAAATATTGTCACACTCCACAGGATTATTGAAGAGAATGATCATCTCTATATGGTGCTTGACTGTGGAGTAGAAGGTGACCTGTTTTATACCATCACAGAACGTGGAGGTTTTATTGGGAACACTTCAGTTATCAAGGCAATCTTTGTCCAAATTGCTAGTGCTGTCATGCATTGCCATGAAAACGGTGTTTATCATCGCGATCTAAAGGTAAAAAAAAAAAAAAAAAAAAAAAAAAAAGAGAACTCTGTTACATACCCAAGAATGCTCCCTCTACCTATGCCCCTTCCCAACTTTTACTTCCCTACCCTCTGTATCCAGGCAACTCTTTTTGGGTCGCCCCTTCCCTTGGCCTAGCCCACGCTCTCCCTTCTGGGTTATTCAGCACACGCGTAATTGGACTGCTTCACTCCCACCTACTAAAACCGGCCAATGAGATGAAGACTCACACCATAATTAACTTACAATCAGCATAAAAAAAAAAAAAAAAAAAAAAATCTGATTGAAGACTAATTTTTTTTTTTTTTAAATATTTTATTTTTAAATGTACAAACTCTAGCCTGAAAATATTATTATGTTTGGTCAATGTACGAAATTGATTGACTTTGGTCTAGCAACGACAGAAAAGACCTCAAATGAATTTGGATGTGGCTCCACATTCTATTTGTCCCCAGGTAAGATAAAGAGACCAGGGGTTGTGACCTGTGTACTACGTGGATATTTCGGATATGTTTCACGGGGACATTTAAAATGAACAAAAGAGAACGATGGATTTAGCATTGGGAAGATTAGCATTAACGAAAAAAAAAAAAAAAAAAAAAAAATGTCTTGCATTTAAAAAATCTGTGTCCTATTAGAATGTCAAGGGGGTTATGTTGAGACGGTCAAATCTTATGATAGTGCAGCCAACGATGTATGGTCCCTTGGCGTGATCTTGATTAACCTAGTCTTTGGCAGGAACCCATGGAAGCAAGCCTGTCCTAGGGATGAGACATTCTCGGCTTATGTCCTCAATAATGACTTTTTGCAAACTATTCTACCCATGTCGCCCGAGCTGAATGAGATCATCAAGTCCGTATTTTGTCTCAATCCAAAGAAGCGTATCACTTTGTCTGAGCTAGTCAAGCGCGTACAAGCCTGCAGTACTTTCACGACGCCTGAATTCCTTGCCTTCTCCAGCGCCTCTGCAGATGCTTCTGAAACAATGGATGAAGCTGCTGTAAGAGGAGTAGCGGGTTCAGATATAAGACAGGCTGCAAGGCAGAATGACAAGCTCTATAACAATGGTGATAAAGAAGATTCTGGAGTTGATTTGCGATCACTGGCATAGGATGTTGATGCGTACTTTTATTTTTTATTTTTTTTTTCCTCCTTTGTCCCTTGGCTTTTGGCCTGAGCGAGATAATTGGAAAAAAAAAAAAAAAAAAAAAAAAAGACAACAACAAGAATGAACCTGGATTGTCAAAGCGGAACATGCACACATCTGTGCAACAGGCGAAAAAAAAAAAAAAAAAAAAAGGTTCAAATTCTTAACTATTCTATCATGTCGAAGGTACCCAGACCAGGTATCCTCCCATTCCTATCCTATCATTTTGCATTCGCTTGTTCCATACACCATTCGTTGTATTCATACCCTTTTTTTTTTTTTTTTTTTTCTCCTTTTAAGTTTTACTGCGATATTGTCCTACTGTATTGTTACATTTATATATATATATCTTCATACTTTTTATCTTTTTTTTTTTCTTTCTTTTTTTTTTTTCTCTATTCTATTCACTTCAAGGAAGGAGAAAAAAAAAAAAAAAAAAAAAACACTTGTACAAATACATTTTTATTAAAACAAAACATTTATTTCATAAATGTATATATATACATAACATAACATACATACATTTTTAATGACTCTTTCTATGGCTCGTGCCACAATATTATCGATCGTCAAACAATGAAGGCCAGGAAAGTAATATGTGGGAGGGAAAAAAAAAAAAAAAAAAAAAAAAAAAAAAAAAACTTTTGTGAAAAATAAATTTACGACTGGGTCTACAATCCAGGATAAACAATTTTTTTTTAATTGTATAGATATTATTTGTTATTGTTCCTTAATAAAAAAAAAAAAAAATGTTTCTCTAAGATTTACAGATCCATAGATCAAGTTAAAAAAAAAAAATATTGAACATGTATCAATAGGTTCAAAAAGAAAAAAAAAAAAAAAAAAAAAAAGTCCGAGCGTCCGGGCTGGGAGAACTGACCCAAACCTTGACACATTGGGCACATTGGGCACATTGGAGGACTCTTTAGCCCAAATCGCTCGCCCCGCATAAATAAAGAAAAAAAAAAAAAAAAAAGGAGGAGGATGACTTTATGTGTTACTGGATACAGCTTTGTTCTCAAAGGTCTGGGAGCTCGTGATTCACGCTTTTTTTTTTTTTTTTTTTTTTTTTTAAAAAAAAAAAAAAAAAAGCAGGAACTGTAGGAGCTGCTCGCTTAACACTTTTAACCTTTTGTATCAATCACAACTTATGCATCAATACCCTCATTTCTGAACAGTTTGGAAAGGATCAGGAGAAAAAGCAAGCTTTAGACCAGGAAAAGCAAGCTTCAGATGAGGAAACAAGAAAAAAAAAACTGCGATGTTGATGAGTTTTCTCTGTCATTCTCTCAGGGGAGAAAGATTTCCTTCCTTGAACGCCTTTAGTACTTAAACAAGGCACTAGTGGTGGTGAATCAACTATTTGAGCTCTACGCATGATAGGTAATAATATGCACTATACAGATATATATATATATATATATATATATATTTGGTATATATATATATACTTGATGGACACAATGCTCTTTCTGGTCTAGTCTAGATCAAATTGATAGAAATGATACGATGTGGTCTTTTTCTTTTTTTTTTTTCTTTTTTTCTTTGACCACTGGGTGGTGCAGAGATGATAAACTTGTTGATCTATGAGATTCACGTAATTTTCGTTACTTTATTCAGTTTCATTCATAAGATTTTAATGTATTTCATTACAAGTCGTTAAAAAAGCAATCATCTCGAGCAGTTCTGTTACCCAGTCTGCAAAACTCATAAAAAAGTAGGGGTTCTTTTTTTTTTTTTTTTTTTTTTTTTTCCTCGTTGCTGTTGTTGTGTTTTCCGCGGCAGTATCGTATTGGTTGTGTTTGTCTTTTTTTTATTCCAGTCGCGTTTTTTTTTTTTTTTTTTTTTTTGTGTGCGTGTTGCTTCTCGTTCGTACCCTTCATACTAGGGCTCCACCATGGATGAATCTTCATCGCCGTTTACCTGTTGATCTAGGTGTGATTGCTGCCTAGGCTTTTGCTGCTGATGCTGCTCTTGTTCATGCTGCTGAAGGCTCGGCAGCATAGACACCTCCGCTGTCGTTATCGGATCATCATTAGAGTTTGTAAGGGGTTCGTTCACTATTATGCCCTTCTGTGACAGGGACGACTGCAAGCTCTTGATTCCCATTCGAACTTCTTCTACCCTATCATGATCTTCAGCTCGGCCCATACCATCGACATCGTCACTATTCGTATAGACACCACCTCTAGGCCTCTCGCCTCGACTCTCCCTACGAAATGCACGGGGTCTGGGGACTGGGTACTCATATATAGCATCATTCACCTCGTACGATGGATTCCTAGGCCTAAAATGACGCGCATCTGGCTCCATATGACGTGTTTCACCTGTTAGAGGCCCTCTTTCCTTTAATATCCTTGATCCTTCAGATGCCAAGGATGCTCTCTGTCCGTCATCTTCCAGTTCGTCTTGTTCAGCAAGTGTGAAGGTTCCATGTGCGCGCTGCTGCTTGTGCTGGAACGAGACTTGCTGTCTTAGATCATGCACATGCTCATTTTCCTCTTCTTCCATAGCCGCGGTATCTGCCTCGCGATCACAACTATTGCCTTTATGCTCCTGATGTCCAGCATCATGGCTTTGGGCAGGTGCTCTAGAGGTACGCTCCCGCACACCTCGATCTTCATCCCCAGACATCTCCATGTCTTCTTCCGATGGAGAGAATGGCTCGACAGAGTTAAACAGCAGAGCTGAGCCTGCTCCTCCGAGGCGACTCTTTCCGGGATCAGGCAAAGGGGGTGCTTGAAGGTCGGATGCATAGGTGGTTTCTTGCTCAGACTGACAATGCAAGGAGTATTGACCTAGACTAGGGCTACTAACTATTTTACGTGATTGGGCTCGACTATCAGAGCTAGGGAGGGGCGAAGGAGGATTCGCGCCTGCCCCTTGGCGAGAATCTGACGATCCATTACCAGCACTACTATTGATACTAATAGTGAGCGGCTGCTTGGAGGCAAGGGGCGATAGCATCGAGTGCTGGGGTGGGGGGCTACCGATACGACTCATTAGACTATCGCTGATATGTCCCTCTCTCTTGGGACTCTGGCCGAAGATGGGAGGGGGAGATGAAGAAGGTGAATGATGTCTCTGCTGCTGGGGTGAAGAGCTCATCCGCCCAAAAGTGAACTGCTCTTCGCTCTTAAGAGGTGGGGACGTAGGCTGCTGATGTAGCAGAGAAAATGACCCAAACGACGCCGTAAGTGGAGTGGATGTCATTCGCTTCAGGGTACCACTGGCTACAGTGGACTGCCCAGGTGTAGGCGAAATGGGCGAAGATGATGCCTCATCGCCCCCGATGCCTCCAATGTCGTTCGGTCGTCTGAATTCTGGTAGGTCAGGAACCTCATCCATTGAAAGACGACCACTTGCCTAAATTTCAAGATTTTGCCACATCAAAAAAGTCGTGTTAATATAAAAATATTGGACAAGAAGCATGTTCGTGCACACTTGGATGATATTCCATCTACTTACGACTAGGCCAGCCCAGTCCATATACATTTTGATCGTCAGCTCCAGATGATAGTCCTCCGCCAATACTACACAACCCCACGGGTGTTTACGGCACCTACTTCCATACTTGGTCTGCAACTGCTGTGCATACTCGACTACTTCCGAGAACTGGACAGTAGTCTTGTTATTGCCATTGCCGCTATTTGAAATATGTTGTGGCACCGGAGGAATAGTGCCTGAGACAGCTGGGCTAGTTATAGGCGACGACACCACTCCGTTTGCCCTCCGGTGACGCTGGCTAGTTACAGAGGAGTTTCCTGTCGCTCCTCGGCTAGCAGGAGAGGTTGAACCTATTGATGAAATGGATCCTGGAGGCGAAAGTCGGCTCTGAAGATATGCGTCTGAGCTACCCCAGCGGAAATGGCCACCAGCCTCATTCTCACGAGGGCCGGGAGATGGTGTTGTGACAGGATACTCTCGATGGCTCGATTCGCTTTGTCGTTGATACAAATGGGCATCAGAAGGCATAGGATCCAACTTTTTCAAGCAAAGAGTATAAAAAAAAAAAAAAAATTAGTAATAATAATAGTTTTGTTCGCCTTTCGTCAACAGCATATTCCTTCTGTCCGTACCCTATATTTCGAAATAAGCTTTTTTTTTTTTTTTTTTTTTTTTTTTTTTTGGACGTGTGCTTATGCGTGTGTGTGGTAGCTTAAGCGTTGACTTACCGCTGATCCTTTGACTTGAATACGCAAGGTACCTGTGGAAGCATGTCGCTTCAACGCTACGCGCTCTCGGTGATCCTCATCCATATCTTCAAGGGTATCGACATCCAGCTCATCAGCGTCTCTTGTGCCACGTTCATGGTCTTCAAGTCCATCGCCTTCGAGGCTCGTTGGGGATACGAGTCGAGCTAAGCTCGTAGGAATATTTATAAAAGATTAGCATTAGAAAAAAAAAAAATCCAAGTCCAACAATATGTTTCCTACCTGCTCGTTCAGAATTAAGCTCATATCTCTTCCGTTTGACATTGGACCCATTCGACATTGATGGTGGTGATTGCTGTGCAAGCTGAATCTCTGAGCTTGACATTGGCGAGCTTGTTGTACTTGTAGAGGTGACTGGAGAAACCTCGCTTAGGGTATGGGAATGGCCTTTGTATCGTGTTTGAGGTGTATCAACAATTGAACGATCCTCCTGCATGTGGTGCGATGGTAGCTGTACAGGGGCTGAGTGAAAAGACGAGGCCCTACTGGACTCGTGAGGAGCTTGAGGTTGAGGCCGCTCAGAATATAAATGGTGCTGTTGCCTCTGGCTGTGTGATGGGGGTGGAGGGTCTTCATATTGGTTTTGATGTTTCTTCGATCCGACAGTGAACGAGGCAGAGTAGCTCTGTTGTTGTTGGTAGTGGTGGTGGTGGTGGTGCTGCTGCTGCTGAGAGTAGTGTGGCGATGGATTCGAGCTGCTGGTGATTGATAAGCTTGCAATCTTGGATGTATCGATAGGCGCGGATGTAGAGGGACGGATATGATGGCTTGGATGGTATCCAAAATTGCCACCAGCACCACCATTGCTCTCAATAGGAACTGGATGCAGTGTGAGTTCTTTCAACAACGCCACGACTTGTTCGTCATACCGGACATCGTCCCATGCAAAGCCCAGGTTTTCTTGATGCTTCTTGAGTCCATTAACGTACCAATGAAGATTGCTGGATTTGATCCTCTTGGACTGGTGATGTAAATACTTTAGAATGGCTTCCTTTGAGATTGGGTACAGCGTTCCATCTGGATTCAGCAAGTTAAGCTCCTCTGCAATTTTAGAATATGTTCGCCAGGCAGTTGCGTATGGATCTTTCCTCTTTGGAGGAGCCGTTCCTGCTGCATTTCCTGTTTGCTTCATTCCTGGGGCTGCACTTACAGTAACGGGAGCGGAGCGATGTCCCGCTGCTGGAAGATGACCTGCAGAAGCACTATGGTGTAAGCGTGGTTGATACGACTGCTGATAGTGTGAAGATGAGCCAGGCGTCGTGTATTGTGGATATGGATGGGAGGGTGAGTTGGAAGAAAAGGAACGCGAGTGAGGGCGTCGTGTGAAGGATGGATCAGAGGATTGAATAACAGGTATATTAGCAGGGTAGCGGCCTGGAAGATGCTGTGATTGATCATCAGTCTTGGATGAAGGTGAATGTAGATGATGATGCTGAGATGTATGGGACCGAGACTGGGATGATTGGTATGGTGGTTGCGAATGGTTCTGCTGTCGCTCTTGATCATGCCCATGATGTGGCTGCTGCTGCTGAGAACGCATGCTTTGTTGATGAGAACTGGATGGCCGGTACTGAATGCTTTGTCCGTCTTGTGGAGGGTTCATCGGTCTTTGATATGAAGAGGGTGCTTCTTGATCCATGTACTCGCGCTGGTACTGTTGTTGCTGGTTTTGATATTGATGATGCTGCTGTTGGTGATGTTGATGTTGCTGTGGTGATGACTGCTGTTCATGATATGAGTGTGGATGAGCATGCATCGTTGAGGCGTGACTATTGGATCGATTCATTTTGCAGACTTTTGTTTTTTTTCTTTTTGTGTTGATGTGTTGATCAAGTAGATAATAAGCAATAAGTTGAATGTTTTGTTCATGGCAACATGTAAACACATGTACAAAGTGAAGGTTAATGCAAGTGTGTCAATGATGGGTTCGTGTTTCAGGGGTTCTCAAAAAAAAAAAAAAAAAAAAGATGGATGGATATGGATGGATATGGATGGCGAATACAAAAATGTATAAATAATTTACACAAAAGAGTGGTCTGGACAAAATTTGTTTACAATTATTTCATCAATTTAATGAGCCAGTATCAATGAGATGCGCCATATAAAAAACCATTACAAGTAACGTTGAGAATAAGGCGATGGAAGATTAGAGGGAGAGAGCAAGACGAGCAGGAATGTGACAAGTTGTGTGAAGAGAAGGTATAGACATGAGGCTCTCTGCATTTTGTTTGGTGACAGGACTAGATTGGTCATTTCATTTACCTGGAATTGGGAGGAGAGTACTCAAATGGACGTGGACTCTGGTGAGCGGGTATAATGCGAATGTTTCTATTGAGAGAGAGAAAGAAAAGAGGAACAATCCAATCGATCGTTAGATAGGACTAAAAAGGAAGCAATAATAAAAAGAGAAATGGATGTCAAATGAATGAATGGGCAAAGTGTGGGAGAGGTAGAGAAATGAAGAGAGAGGAAGAGGGAGGGGAGAGCTGTTGGCGTAGGATATTACAATAAAAAAAAAGTAGATCTGTTGTACTCCTAAAATGTGACAAATGATGGTAATGAACCATCGCAATTGAGCTGCTTAAGAAATGCACAAAGCGCTATGGCTCTGTAAGGAACATCATAATGCAATTAATATAATCGCTGATTACAATTTTTCCGTTGAACCCTGATCTGAGATCCCAGACTCAAAAATTATGGTTGTCTGGTTTTTCTCTCCTCTCTCTCTGGTGTTCAAGCATTTTTTTTTTTTTTCCTTTTGCACCCCTGCATGTTACTTTTTTCCTTTTTTTATAGGCAGACTTTCATGATCAGAGAATAAACAACGAAGAAAGGGGCCTTGTCCTTTTTTTTATATTTATCTCATTGTTGCATCAGATCAAAGTATCAACAGACAAAAGCATCATGCATCATTCTCCTAAATTAATTCTTCACGTATAGCACAAAAGATAACAAAAGAATGAATGAATGATGGAGATGAAGATGGATACCTTCTCTCTGACGACAACATTTGAAAATGAGAAAAGATAGAGAAGGTTGATTTACACGCCTATTCATTGGATTGTCGTACACCAACATTTTAAAATGCATAAGCACAGAATCGGTTTTTTTTTTTTTTTTTTCCTTTTTTCTTTAAGCATGAAGCTTTGAGTATCCCATTGTCTGGACCAATGCTCACGAGTAGGCAATCAATGGTTACCATTTAGATAAATTGCAATTATCTGATCCTTTTCATCAAGCATATATATATATATTAAAGCACCTTTTTTTTTTTTTTTTTTTTTTTCTTTCAAATTCGGAAGAAGGTTAATTGTTTCAAGGTAATAATTTCAATGCCAATAATAATTAGATTCTGTTTGTTGGGCAAACAAAAAAAAAACATTGCATTTAACGTTTTTGTCACTTCCCCATTCTATCCACTCTATTTCCCATTATCTTTTCACTCCACAAAAAAAAAAAAAAAAAAAAAATGAAAACAGAGGGGAAATGGATAATCAACATGACCCGCTCTTTCTTTTTTTTTTTTTCTGATCTCGAGATAAATGGTGCCCCTCTTTGTACTCATCCAGAATCATATGAATGAAGATGTACTGATATTCATTCCTACCTGGATTGATCGATTTCCCTCCAGTCGATTGCTGTTGTGTAGTCCAGTAAGAGGTCAATGATTATAGTGTCAAAAAGAAAAAAAAAAGACAGTTGTACCAGAGGGGAATGGATTAAAAAGAACCGAACAAGTGCTGAGTGAAGAACTACTGTAGAGGGATTCTATTAAGTATTAAAACATCTAGGAATTAATATTGGGGGGGGGGGGGGGAGAGGCTAGGATAGATTATTAGTTCTGATGGATTTGGAGTTGAGGATTAGATGGTCTTCCTGAAGCCGAGGAGGATAGGAGGATAGGAGGATAGGAAGGTGGAGCGTGTATCGGAGGAAGAGGAGGTAAGAAACTCGAGTCCAAAGAGGAGTCAGAGAAGAGATAATGTGTGAGATGGATGAATATAGTGGACGTTGATTGAATAGGGAAAAGAAATAGGAGGAAAAGGTAGAAAAGGTTAGCGAAGAAAAGAAGGGAAAAAAGAGCAGAAAAGACCAGAGCGCAAAGACAGAGGAAAAGAACGATTCAAAGAGCAATCTCCAGTGCTCATTTACAGCCCGTCAGTTAAAAAAGCTCCTTTTCGTGTGTGTAAATGTGTATGTGTGTGTATTTCTTTTTACAGTGCCCCACTCCCAAATAATAATAATAATAATAATAATAATGACAACGATAATGATAATGACAATGATAATGATAATGATAATGATAAAAACAATAGTATAAAATAATAAAATTACAATAATAATAATTAGATACATTTTAACATCTTTAATTCAATACTTTAATTTGATTCTCAGAGGTGACGTGCAAAACCGCGTCTCCCTCTTGCAACTCAATTATTCACAACAACATTTAAGACAACATGGTCGTGCACCTTCCCAAAAAATGGCTTCATAAACAAAAGGTAGCAAACCAAACATTATTCAATAATTATATATTTATCTGTATGTATATGTTGTATAAGTGTAAAAGTATATGCCAAGGTTATACTTTTTTTTTTTTTTGATGGGAGCATATCGATCATTGATGCGCTTTCTTCAAAGTACAACTTTATGTCGTACATGTGTGGCAGGACGAGGCAAAATGAATAAGCCTGTATAAATGGATGAATGCCCCAATGGGCAAGTGGAGCATGTCTATACAAACTGATACAAACACAAACAAAAGTTTCGATCGCAACATCTATTTGATGGTCTATCAAGAGAATAGAAGAAAGTGAGGGGAATAGGTTACTATCTCTCCTCTGTAATGCACGCCGTTAATATTTTGTTCATACCGTGGATCATGCCTATTGTTTACTGGGTGCTTCAGCAAGAAGACATTCATGAGAGAGTTTTATCAACAACAGAACTCTGTGTTTGTAATGAAAAAGATTTATAGGTCGTATATACACTGTGAGAGCAAGGCCAAATGTTTAAACAAATGCAATGGTGCAGTAAGTTTCCTCCGAAGAAAATAAAGAAAAAGTTTAATCGCAATTTAGGTAAGGCAGTTCCTTTCATCCACCATGTTTTTATATAATATTATACATATATATATATATATTAAAAAAATAAAATAAAATAAAAAATAAAAAAAGGACCCTCACTTGAAATGTATACATGCCGTAGTATATCCATGTACCTAAATGTTTCCATCTGTCGTTGAGTTGAGGTATTCCATATTCTCCCACATTTTGAAGACAGAGATTGTGTACTATAAAAAAAAAAAAAAAAGATCATTTTTTATTTTTTACTCAATATTTTATAATTTTTTACACTTGGGAGGTTCAACATTAGTAGCACAGCAAGAGCCAATTGATTGAGTTTTGGAGGCGAATTTTTTTTTTTTTTTTTACAATTGTCAGTTGTATACGAACATGTGTGTTGAAAATGAAAAAGGCAATGGAAAACAAGGGATGTGGCCTGATATTGTGTTTTTTAAAGTAAGAGTTGATTGAGTAGGTCCTGAGAGCCGGTGCTCAATTCATTTGCTGATCGAGAGAGGGGAAGAGAAAAATGCATGAAAACATTAACATTTATTGTTCATAATATTGTACACAAAAAAAAAAAATAAATAATAAAAACCTACTGTTTACTATAAATCCTTATTGTTGATAGCGCCCAATTTCACGTCTACATCCGTTTATTGGAAAACGTTTTACAAATGTCTACATGTGTTTTTCTTTTTCCTTTCTTTTTTTTTTTTTTTTTTTTTTTGTGATGAGAACAGAAAGCTTTGGCGCGCTTTCTTTGGCAGATCAAAAGGTACTTTTAGGTGCCTTGAGAGGAGCAAAAATATTAAATTCTGATCTTTCTTTTTTTTAATTTATCTTGGTACCCAAGTACGAGCTCCAAGACTGATATATACATGTGCAGCCTTGTCAATAAGGGATTGTGCGCGCTACATGATCGAATCTATCTATCTCATGATTACAAAGACTGCGGGATAAACTATTAATAACAAAAAAATATGTGAAAAGAATCCAAGGTTGTCCACAAATGTTCTGATTTGTATCCTCAAGCCGATGTCTCTTGCGAAATGGAAAAAAAGACAAAGAGAGAAGCGTGTGTGTGCATGTGTGTGAAAAACGAGAGGGAGAGAGAAAGACACAAAGGAAATCGAATAATCGAATACAGAACTTTTTTTTTTTTAATTTTTTTTATTGTATTTATTGTATTTGAGCATTAATTAAAAAAGATTTTGTTGTTTAAAGCATTAGCTAATATTTAATTTTGGTGTATTATTCATCAATCGAAGCCACACTGAAAAGAAAACGCGCGCCACAACAAAAAGGTTTTCTGGACGCGTGCGTGGGATTCTTGCTAGGATGCATAGAATTGTGGCTCACATGCATATCCGAACATTTACACTTCATTTTCTTCTTTTAACCAAATAAGCACAAAGGAACGGAGAGAGAAAACAAGGAAAGAGACAAAAGTTTTTCATAAAATAATGTCCGGAACATGAAGTATCGGGATGCTCTATAACCCTTGTAAAAATCCCCATAACATCAATCATATTAAATAAACGAAGTCGTTAGAGCATGAAAGGAGATGATTCCATGCCCCTGTGCCATATTTCTCTAAAGTATACGCGATTACACCACACGGACCAAACGTACATTTCCGATGACATGTATTCATCAACAATAACAACAATGCTGTTTGTTTGTCACTATCAATAATACACATTTATACAAATAAGAAACCAGTGTTTTCAAGCATATATCCCGCCATTGAACCTTGGGTAGGATAGATGATGGCAAGGGAGAATTAAGCTAAAAAAGCAAATGTAAAATGTAAAATAAACTTAATAGAAAGAAAGAAGACCATTAACTCTGGTTCGGAGCCTTGATGCTCAAGTCTCTCTCTCTCAAAAAAAAAACCGGTGCACAACACAATACTTTATTTTATTCTTTTTTTTTTTTTATCTCGCAAAACAAACATTCTTGCCTATGTCTGCGGCATACTATCCATAGGATGTAGTAAATATATCCCATGACTTTGAGAGTCCTTTTGTCATCAAAAAAATAAAATAAAAAATAAAATCTTTATTCTTGCTTAGTGATCGTGTTACCATTATGGCTCAAGAACTACAAACAAGCAAAATACCCATTCCTCCACATGCAGCAACTGCGCTTATGAATGAGTGCTCTGTTCAGTATAGATATATATGTCTATACATTCTCAGAAACACAACTTTTAAAAAAAAAAAAAAAAAAAAAAAACATTATCCTGTATATATCCAAATATTTGCATTATCTAAATATACCAACAGAAGTTTGTTCTGCACTTTTTGAAGTCTTCTTTTTCTTTCGCGCTCTCTCACATGCAAACAGCTCAAAAGAAAACAAAATGAACAGAATAAATTCTGCTGTACTTACAGATCAGCAATGAATATGTTATACATTTATTATTTTTAACCTATTCAGTATACCGTACATGTACTGAACATGTAGACCACCATTGTTTTTGGCAAATCAGCAAGGAAAAAGTGTGGCTCAAGATGCAAACCACTAAATGGGGTCGCTTACTGTTGGCTCCAAACAACATCTCACTTAGGGATTGTTAGTATAGGATATATTATATATGTATTATACCTGCTTGCCACGATTTCGAGGGCAGGCCTGTAGATCAACGAAGAGCCCTTGATTAGACATCAATTAGTGAATACTATGGAATTTTTCAGTTCTGCGATCACTGTCTAAATGCATATATAAAATACCATTGCTTTCTCCTCCCTTCTTCATGGAGTGTCACTCTGTCGCAAAATGAAAATAAGGATGATGGTAATAACAACAGTAAAAGACAAACTGTGTACATTGCTCTTCTTTGTTATTTTTTTTTTTTTTTGGTTATAACAAGCTGCTTTGTTTAATAATATTGTCAAAAACATCTTTCTTCTTTATGTCTAGGCGTTTACTTGGAGCCAAGGCTAGGGAAGACCTCCTGGTCGTCAACATTGACGGCAGTACCACGGGAACCACCACGACGAGGAACCGGAGAGTTGTTGCCGCCACGGGCACCACGAGAACCACGGGCACCGCGGTCACCACCACGGCCACCACGGAAGCCGCCGCGGGGGGAAGAGGACTGTTCACGAGAAGGCTCAGTGTAGCGGATGTCAATGTCAGTGAACAAAACCTTGCCCTCCTTCTTACCCTTACGGGTCTTGGGTTCAGAGCCCTTGCCCATCTTGATAAAGTCTTCAGCCTCCTCGACCTCAAGGACACGGGCATCTTTCCATTGAGAGTCATCAGCACCGGCATTGGCGGCACGGGTCTGGGGAAGGGAGAGCTTGACAGACTTAGCAGCCTTCTCGGCCAAGTAGTCATCAAGAGTCTTGACAACGACCTCTGGCTCAACGGGCTCGGGCTCAGCAACAGGAGTCTCGGCGACCCTTGTTGCATAAAAGAGAAGAAAAAAAAAATCAAAAATTAGACAATATCCTAAAAGAAAATGATGATTTTGAAAACTTTCCAAGATTCGTCTTCAAACGTTCGTAATTGCATTGACGAATAATTGTTAGGAAGCGTGATCCTGAACTTCCCCTAATCAGTGAACTTACAAAGCGGCGTCCTTCTCAGCCTCGAGGGAGGACTCAGTGGGATCACCTAAGCGGTTGTTCTCCTTGTTCTCGCTATCGACGATACCGGTACCGGAGTGGCGGTCAAAACCACCGTGGCGACCGCCGCGGGAAGGACGTGGGCCGCGGTTACGGGGAGTGGTGCCATCGCGAGGTGCACGGTCAACGCGGTCGAAGCGGGGTCCGCGAGGAGCTTAATGGGCGGTTTTAAAAAATACAATAAAAAAAGCGGATCAATATTAATCACTTATAGCTCTGGTGTGGTTAATACGAATATCAACCGGAAACCAGCTGAAAAGCCCACTACTATGCCATTCCTGAATTCCTGGTTATATACTCAGGTAAGCATCAATTGACGAGACATCTTTAAAAGAAAGTGCTTGATAGCAATTGAGCAAATCTATCTCATCCTGATATCCATGCGCTGAAATGATTGGAGTTGATGCATTAATGTCCTGCTTGCCTCAAAATACAACCAAAAGGGCACTAAGTATCAACTGATAATGACTACTTTATAGATGAAGCGCTGTTAAGGGAACGACAACTCTTCTCTTTATACACCCTTTAGTGCTCCGGATTTTTTTTTTGCATCGCAAATAAGCTGATCCTAAATGAATGGAGACACAAACTTCTGTCCAGACGGATCGACAGCTAGAGATCAAAGGTTCCACCTAAGATGTTTATACATCTGTTGTATTTTTCAGCTGTCCCGGGTTGATGGTGTCGATTAAGGCCCGAAGTACTTTGTTCGTAGGTGCAATGGTGAATAACGTGTTTCTTTTTTCCTCAGTAACTTTGCATCCATCAATTCCTGAAAGTTGGACTGATGGAGCCCTCCTGAAACACGAGCTGAAAACTTTCCTGACAATTGCGTTTGCTTACCACGGTCATCGCCGTCTCTGGGCTTGCCACCACGGGCACCATCCTTGCGAGGAGCCTTGTTGTCAGCAGTCCTGGCGGCGCCAGCAGCGGGCTTGGCAGCGGGCTTGGCAGCAGACTTGACTTCCTTCTTGACGGCGGGGACCTGGATCTCCTGATCCTGAGCGTCGTCGTTGAGAAGGTCAAAGATATTTGTAGACGCCATTGCCTGTTGAAAAGGTCGTAAGCGAGAGTGGATGTAGAGCAATCGAGATTCGAGATGTTAATTACTAACTGTTCATTTCCCTTTAGTTCCCTTTCCTCAAAAAATAATAAATATAAAAAATAAAAAATAAAAAGGTGCTCCAGTCAGCCACTGTGTCCCAATAATAGCTAATTCAGTATCCATGGATCCAAATGGATGATGATTTGCGTGCCATATTTAAATACTGGCTCAGGATGTCTCCTAGGAATAATGGATGAATCCCGTAATGATGATGGATGCCTGAATGATAGCAATGGATGTATTGGGTCAGCAGCCACTAGCTTGGTGGATGTGATTGGCTGGAATACTGTTACAGTCGCTAAATGAATAGTCCACGCCTATTCAATCGGTGGACATACAGTTTGGGCGCGCACCTTTAATGAAAATTTCGAGAGGGAAAAGCACACATTTCTCAAAGAAACCGGGATCAAATACTGTGAATATAGTTTCGTCACATGATCTTAAATCATGCAACCAAAAAGGTCCTTTTTTTAAATAAATAATTTATTATACGATCGTTATTATAAATGATGAGGTGGTGTGAATGAATGAATGAATAATGAAGAAAGACTGATGGAATGAACAAGTTGCCAAAGATATATATTAAATGCGTACTGGTCATAAGGATAATGCAAAGTTATTTTAGATATGGCCGTCAATACGAATGGTAGGAACATACTCAGGGCTCCACATGGACTCTTCAATCACTCCCTTCAGACTGACGCCCTGACGCAAGTGAGCACGAGCCAGTCCTTGCTCATATGCAACTTCGCAAACTTTAGCAGCAACTTCCTTTGAGACCTCTCGAAGGGCCCCAACACCAGGGAAGAGGACTCCGCTCTTAAGCTGGTCCTCCGAAGCCATGTTGGCAATCGTAATTGCAGTCTCCAAGAACATCTTACTTGTGACACGACTGGCGCGCGAGACAGTAATTCCAAGACCGAGACCGGGGAAAGACATGGCATTGTTGATTTGGTTAACCTTGCGAATCTTGCCCTTATATTCAACATCCTTGAAGGGACTTCCACTGGCGAAGATGGCGCGACCGTCTGTCCACTTGAATGCTTCCTCAGCAGAACACTCAGATTGGTGAGTTGGGTTCGAGAGAGGGAAGACAACGGGCTTTTCAACGCCCTCAGCCATAGCACGGATAGCGCCCTCAGTGAAAACACCACGAGCTCCGCTAAGGCCGAGGATAACTGTGGGTTTGATTGCCTTGACAACATCCTCAAGACCCATGCGATCCTTCATATCCCTCTTAAGATAGCACAGCTGACGTTCATCCAGATTAGCACGATCACCCAATCCAAATGGAAGAGGCGTCGTGCCGTCTGTGGAGCCAATATGAGGATTACCAAGGAGACCGTGCTGATCCAGCATCCAGATCCTACTGTAAGCTTCTTCACGGGATTTTACTTTGCCTTGTTCGACCATACAGTCGATGATACCCTCGCAGACACCAACACCAGCGCTACCAGCACCAACACAGATAATTCGCTCTTCGTTCAAGGCATTGATGGGCTTTCCACGAGCCTTCAATGCCGCCAAGACGCCAGCCAGGGCGACAGCAGAGGTTGACTGAATGTCATCGTTGAAGCAGCAGATGTGGTTCTGGTATTTATGGAGAAGGTTGTAAGCGTGAGGATACTTGAAATCCTCAAATTGAATAAGAGCATCTAAGTTTTTCGTAATATCAGTTTACAATGATTAGCCGAGACTGATGAGGAAAGAGCGCTTCAAATGAATGACAATGAGTTCCAAATTAATTTGTATATATGCTAAGAGCCGATCACTTACTAGGATATCTGTTCTGGATGGCATGGACCCACTCGTCAACAAAGGAATAGTATTCTTCTCCTTCCAAACGGCGGTGGCCCATTCCAAGATAGAGTGGATCGTTCAGGAGCTCTTCATTATTCGTTCCAACATCAAGAACAACAGGTAGAATTGATGTAGGACGAATACCACCACCAGCGACATACTATTGAGAACAAAAATCACAAAACAGAAACAGACTTCAAGTCAGATAAAAGCAAATGAACAATAGCTATCGCAGATCCCGGTAGCCCGCTTCGCGCACAAATAGCTTTACAAATGAAGAATCATTACCAATGAAAGTTTTCCGATGGGGATCTGCATGCCATTGGCACCCAAATCACCCAAGCCCAACACGCGAGATCCATCTGTAACAACAATCACATCGACCTGGAACATCATGGAGTAAATAGAGGGTGAGATGTTAGCCATTAAATTGATCAGTGCTCTTTAATTTTTTTTTTTTTTTTTTTTTTTTTTTTTCATTTTTGAGCACAGGGCACAAAACAGAAGTCGTCAAGATGCTTTGATCGATTAAACACATGTCATGTTGCAAATATTCATACCTGATCGTGAGGCCAGTTGTGAACCATAGCAGCCATCTGGCCACGGTCAAGAGTACTAAAGTACATTCCTCTTGCGCGACGATAAATGGAATGGAATCGCTGGCAAGCCTCTCCAACTAGTTTTCAAGAGTTAACCATACCATGAATAAGTAAATGAGTCTTTTTTTTTTATTTTATTGGCGTGATCATATCGAGGAAAAAAAGAAACCAAGATGCGGCATTAAAAAAAAAAAAAAAAAAGTTGCTCTAAATGTCATGTTTACTCTTGTCCATGCGCTTTTTTATTTATTTATTATTTTTTTTTCACTCCAACACTCTTGCTAACAGATCAAACACCTACCCTCCATTCCATTCATATTTGCTTACCTGTTGGTGTATAAATAACTTGAGAAAGTTCCTCCAGATTATCGATCAAGAGACGGTAATAAAGTGTTTCATTACGATCCTGTTTAACCAAGGGAAAGGGGGACAGGTGAATCAGATTTGTGTCATGACTCCTATGCGTCCATTAGTAATTAACGGCCAGTGTCATCTGATCTGCCTACCTGAAGTGCCGTCATGAAAATGAACTTTTCAAGCGGTGTCCGGCACTCACGCAAATTACGGATGATACGTTGAAGTTGCTTGTCCATCTCCTGTGTCCTTGGAGGAACAAGGCCACGAATGCCGAGACGCTCACGTTCTGAGAGAGAGAAAGCAGTGCCCTTGGAGAGCAATGGATCGTGGATGACATCCATGCCATGTTTTGTCGTGGTTTGAACCATAGTCTCCATGCGCAAATCAGGAAAAGCCAAGGTCGTAAGGGCACGTCTGCTATAATCCCTTACTTGTCTAGTGACATATCGTTGTGTCGTGGTGTGAACAGTCTTGAGAACAGGATTCCTCAACATTGTGATAAACTTATTGTTTGCTGTGAACGAAGGCGAGAGATTTCGGAATGGAGCAGAAGAATTGAAAAGAATGAGAAGAGCCGAGAGGAATGAGATGGAGATGAGGGCCTAAGAAGAAATAGTTGATGAAGGAATGAAAGAGAGAGAAAAAGAGCGAGGGACATTGGTGTGGAGCGATATTTATTTGAATAGATCGAGCCTCCCCAACGTTGTTTGGCTCAGCATTTGCGCTATTGAATAGATTGAATAAACAATAGCCAGCATCACATTATCATCGCAATTAAAGCTCTTTCTCATCGTCGGAAGGATCAGGGCGAGATGGCCGCTTTGAACAGAAAAGAGAGGGCATGTACCCAGGTTCGCTGAAGCTTATATCAATCGCGGTCTACTGTTCAATGCCCGATCTCCGCTAGCAATATTCGCTTTTATCTTGTTTCCCAACTTTCAACGATGATAACGCCTCGTTTCATCTTGCAAAAAGTAATCATGTCTGAGTGCTATTTTAGCATCAACTCATCTTTGCCCGACAATAGACAACAGTTGACATGATGCAGTAAGACGTTAATCATTATATATACTATCGGGTTACAGTCCAGTCAATTCACCACTATGTCATCTATAAAGAAATACCATCCTTTTAACTGGTTCCTGAACAACACTTGCTATTGGTCTACCAATATGGATTTGATAAGTCTGAGGACTATTTTGAACGAATAGCTCTCTCGTTTTCTCTTGCTATAACCGAGCTATTGGCCAGTGCTTATTATGAAGTAGCTTGGTTCTACCCCACATTGACGCGTGTGTTGCTAATTTCCCCACGTTCTCGCACATCAAAACAATAAACATCACGTATGGCTCGTAGTGATTGATCCAAACACATGAATGTCAGTATCGGAGCCACGCGAGATCCGCTTCCCAGCCTTCCCCCACATTCCAAAATCGCTAAAAGAGGCAAATCGTTCCTGAAAAGAAAGGAGGATGCCGTTGTCTTGTCTTTGGTAGGCTGGTAGGCCTCATAGTGCTCCTTTCCACTTGAACGGACGGAAAAGCTTATCATCTTGCGATGAGGAGTTGTTGTGGCAGAGGCTCTCTTTTTTTTTTTTTTTTTTTTTTTTTCGTCTTCCCCGGTTGACCGCAGTGGATCGCCGTTCAATTATCGTAATCTAGTCGATACTCGGACCATCCAGCCATTGCCTCAATCATAATACATGAAGTGCAGCCAAGTGATGGGTCGGAAATTCCACTATGCTTTGAGCTATTTATTTACAGTATAAACATAATGACAATCTGTGGAGAAAGACGGAAGCTTCTATTCCACACCCACATTGCAACCTTTGTCAGCGACTGTGCTCACCTACAGACAAGTACATGCCGTTTCTGTGTCAATTTTGTTCATTCTCATAAACTTTGCCCGTCCTATTTGAAAGACAAAAAAGCCCGCACCCCGAACACACTATACTTGGCCGCTCTTTTAAATTTGATAACGCGGGAGACATCCATACTAAATCTAAAGTTTGAACTCCATAACATATACATGTACTGTATATAAATATATATAAATATAAAAAGTATATACAGTGGAATCTCGATAATTGTACACTTTTGTACAATTTTCGAATTTGCTATATTTCTCGGTTATTGATTGGCTAAGAAGCCCACAATTCATGAAAAACTATTCTAAAAATCCTCTGCTGATTCCTCTACTCCAGTTGAGTGTGGGTTTTTTTGAATACTTTTTTTTAAAAGAGTAAGGCTCTTAGCCAACCAATGGCCTAGAAATATATCAAATTTGAAATTTGTACAAAAGTGTACAATTATCGAGATTCCACTGTATGATGCTTTCTCAGCGGACAGCAAGTGCAAATGAAAGAGATAAAAAGCAAGACGACCAAATGAAATTCTCCATCGATTTCCGTTGTAGACTTCTGAAGGATCGTGGACCAACATGAAAGCCATTGCCACATTAGACCAGACTATAGTAAAATTCATAGATGGAATTCATGGATACGATCCAGCATCATCAGGCTCTAGGTTATTAGAACTTGAGGTAGCTCTTTACTTTCGTCAATGTATCAGTGTGAAAGATGTTACTTCGTTAACATGTAGATATCGTTTATACGGCCATGATCTTGGTATGAGAGAAGTTCATGTACATGTACTGTTCAAAACATTTATAATCTCTCGAGAGTCTGCCTACTTAACCTTCCTGATTTTTGTTGCCCTGATTTGTTGGCTAATTTTACCTTCTTCGTCTGTTTTCGGAACACTTTTGATAACCAACAAACTAACGCTCAATATCAAATTTAGGGAATAGTTTAAGGAAAAAAAAAAAAAATGGACTGGAGAGCCTGAGAGAGGGCTTTAGCGTCAACTGAAGATAGATATACATAGTATGCTTACCAATAGCCCGCTAAAAACTTTGTAGTTTGATAGTTCTCAGCTAGGAACACATGAATGCCAAATAGGTCATAACTTTGCCATCCTTGGTAAACGGCACCAGAAGGTTTAAAAAAAGAAAAAGAAAAGTATATATTGAATAGGTTCAATCACTTCATACATGTTGCGGCCAATCTACCAGTGACGATTGTGTAGAACAAGTTCAATAAAGTGCAGCATGGCTTGGATCTCGGTTTGTATTATCCTTGCCTTTTTATTATAGCAGTCATCTTTTATGTCCACGTTATAGAACAACTTCCGGACTAGTGGCCCTTTTCGCCCTAATACGGCGCGCTTCGCCTGTATATTCAAGACGTTTGTCAGATTACAATATTTCGGGCATCCAAGTTCGAATGAGAACATCGATCGTGGCAACTAGCGTCAGAACAGGGAATGCGTATATTTCCTCTCCAGTTCATTGTATTCACTGAAGTGCTCGTTCAACTGTGCCTTTTTCTATCCTAGCCATTTTGGACATTAAAGTCTAAAAAAAAAAAAAAAAAAAAAATAAGAAAGAAAGAAAGGTCAGAGCAGTGCTATTTACAAGGGCATGGGCCACTGCGGTATAAGAAGTTTTGTGCGGGTTATGTCTCAATGTCTCCAAGAGGATTGCGTAAGGCTTCATCGAGATGCTGGGATATCTGAAAGGTTCTGCACCACCACTAATCATGATTTTTGATACTTCTTGATATGCACCTTGATACATGTGTATGACTCTTAGAAATCACGTAGATATTCTGTAGCCCTTTGTTTATGTGTCGCATAACTAGACAGGACACCCATACACCTTTGGTGGATCTACACTCCACGATCATCAGATCAATGTCCTTTCTTTATATAGGCTTGGTCCATTTGCTCTGATCTTTGATGTCGAGCCCTCGCTTTTTCTTCGCTCAATGATCCGTCCTCGTGTGTTGTCATGAGGCTGTTGCCAAAAAGATCCTTCATCTCAATGGCTAGACGCCTCTGACGTCTTGGATACTTGCTCATTTTCCTTAGTTTCTGCAATGCTAGTGCTAACACCGTACAAGCGTGTCCAGTAAACTAATGTGAACAAGCACCTTGGGACCACTCTGCGAAAATGTTGAGATGTCGATGAGCTCTGATGCGACTCTTCGATCAAACGTTGTATCGTGAAAACTATTGAGGCCCATCCTCTAAGCGTGGTACACATTCAAGGGTACAGGTGGGTAAATTACCCATTACTTTTATGCCTCATGGACTTTAGTAAACAGAGCAATGCTCACCCACTGAACCCAGGCTGCATTTTGAATCCAAAAGGGTTTGGTTCTGCCGAGAACCGATGACTATAAAGCGAGGGATGGATGGTTAAGGAAAGCAGTGGATGGGCTTTTAAGTGATTGTACTCAACCTATTTGTACGAACAGCATTGTGATGGCTTTATTAGCATATGCCGCTACCAAGACGAGGCGGAGCGGAAGGGCTGCCGGCGGCAAAGAATATATAGTCCTCATCTTTTGCCCAGTAGGGGGCTATAGTAGGACCTTGAATTGGACAAATTTTCATTGGGAAAGCTGCCATGAAGAACGAAGACACGTAACAAACGAAGCAGGAAAACAGAGCTTTCAATCTAAGCGTGTTATGAAATGCTGAGGTTAAGTTCGATAGATCAGAAAGTACCGTCCTGTAGCGACGACGATCATAACCGGCTCTGGCTTGGTCAACGTGTAAGTGAACCGGCCTCCTATCAAGATATCCAATAGGAAAGGGACATTATTTCCCAGAAGACGGAAAGCTTTATTTCCAAAAGCTTGGGAATATGTAACAATTGGAGGCTCAAACCCATTTAAACAAGGTTTCGAGAGGGCTCCAAAAAACATTATCACAATCAAAATTTACATGCCATCGGTATAATATCACACTTCTATGTTTCCGCCTTTACACCACACGATTGCAGTGATAGATATTAGGTGAGTTGGATGGGGTTTTAATGGAAAGTATATTTCGATAGGTACGGAGTGCCTGACTTTCTTCCACCCTTTCAAAGCTATATCACATTGTGCATGGTAACTTTTTTCTTTTTTTTTTGTGTTCGCTTCAAATATTGCAAGAAACAGCCAAGAAACTAGTCGACATTTCATTCTTATTGATTAATTGTTAATTGTTAGTAGTCTAGTTATTCCCTGTCTAAAAATGTCTAAATAGGCACAGACTAACAGACAAAGAGACATTAGAATAAATGAGCACGGCAAACTAAAACATTAAAAGATAAATAAAATGTGATAATCTTTGTCTGGCATGAAATGGAGAGAGAAACTTTTGTTCACTATTGGAAGAGATGGTTGTGGTAAAATGATCAAGATGAAAAAGGTCTGAATGATATACATGTATCCATGTTTGAGCGAATAAGAACAACAACGAAGTCCTGAGGTGTTGTTTATGTGTGTGTGACGGATTTCAAGGTGAGGGAAAAAACTTATTAAAGGCTCTCATGAATGATTAGAAAAATAAAAGTAAAAATAAAAATAAAATGAGAAGCACTAATTTGATTTGTGTTCAAGTTATATTCATGTACAACTTCGGGGGTGCTTTTGCTTTTGGCACCCACGAACACTTGACAGTCAGGGCGAAAGTGGGAAAAAAGAAAGAGAGCAAGGTAAGAGAGAGAAGAAAGAGTACCGTACTGTTCTGTAGTAAGTACATGGAATCCATGCCTATGGCCATCTGGTAAATGGTAGTGGGTCAGACGAAGCGTGCCTGATTTTTGCATGACATGCCTTGACTGTTGTGTTGATTTTTTTTTTTTTTTTTTTTAGGTCGCCAGCATTGCTGAAGTTGTTTCTTTGTGCCTTCCTTCTTTTCTGGTTCCCCTCACCCCCTTCCCAGCTAACTGCCCCGTCCGTTGCGAACCCACGCATCCCCTTCCTCTCCGCTGTCTACCCTCCCCCACCTTTCCCTCCCTTCCTATCCTCCATCCTCCATCCTCCATCCTCCATCCTCCATCCTCCATCCTCCATCCTCCATCCTCCATCCTTCATCCTCCATCCTCCATCCGTTCATCTCCATCAGCTCATTTCTCTTCCTAATTTCCATTAATCCACCACTTAGTCTTCGGCATTCCCCCCAATGCATAGTGAAAACTCCAACCATAACAACCAACATCAATCCATTACACGTCCTTAACATAAATAATCTAGCAGAAAGAAAAAAAAGAGAAGAAAAGACGGAATCAAAGCACACTAACATACCCATCCTACAACATGTAAGCAGCTTACATGCAATTTACTTGCTTGAATGTCTTTTAAGCTTCAGAATCCCAACAACGATTTGAATCCATAAACAATTTTCTTCTCTCTGCACCATTACATTTGTTCAGCTTCCTCTCTCTCTCCCTCTCTCTCTCTTTCTTTCTGCAACAGTCAGTTCAGGAACCTTTATTAAAACTAACGAGATCACACTTGAATTTTGTTTGTATTCTGTCGCGATTAGATAATATTCAAATATTCAAACTAAAAAAAAAAAACGCCTACTGCCCGATAAAAGTAATCATCAATTTTACAATGAGAATTTCTTGGGCAATCCAGACAGTGGCCCTGTTTTACCTGGCTACATCCCACGGAGGTAAGCATTGATATACAATTACAAAATATATTAATATAAAAATTAGCACATCTTCCCAGCTGGCTCTCTTCTTATTCCGTGCAAACCGAAAGGTGATGCTATTTATTCGTCTACAAAGTCAGCCATGCGTGCAGGAACTTTGTCGCTGGGAATAGCTTATGCGACATAACATCCTCCAGAGGGAATGTTCCTGTTTAACATTAACTTTTCGTGCAGAGGAAAAAAAAAAAAACGGTTTTTAAGGGGTCATGCATCAATCTATGCATAACATTAAAAATGGTCATGGTTATTTTGAAAGCTAAAAGGGAGGCTAGTTCTTTTTTTGTTTCGCTCTAATTAACTCTTCATAATGCATACTATTGAAATTCATAGCTTCGGCCGACCGTTCTATCAATATCATCAAGAAAGACTTGACAATTAAACCTCAGCAACCCAACTATCAATCCGATGTCTATTTTTTCAAGAGAGTTCTCGACGTGACAGAGGAGCAGGACCGTTACTCATCACATTCCAACAATGTTAAGCTCTTTGCGCGAGCCGTCGGCGATGATGAGGTTGGGGTCCAGCACCGTCAGCCTAGCCGCCCTAACCATGGCAGACACCGTGGTAGAAATCCCCACCGCGGCAGAAATCCCCATCGCGGCAGGAATCCTCATCGCGGTAGGAATCCCCATCGCGGTAGGAATCCCCATCACGGTAGGAACCCCAGGCCCAAGCCCAAGCCCAAGCCCAAGCCCACGAGACCCAGTGATCCGAAACCCAGACCAACACAGAGGCCTAAACCCAGTCCCAAACCCAGTCCTTCGCCTACGCTCAGACCCAGACCACCTACTCGAAGACCCACCACCGTGCGCACAACGACGACAACTGCTACTGTCCCTACCTCCACCTCTGCTCCAGTTGCTCCAGTTGCTCCAGTCGCCCCAGTCGCCCCAGTTCCCCCAGTTGCTCCAACCGTTCCATTTGCCCCTCCTAGCAACAACAACCCTGATAACGTGCAGGGTAATCCACCAGGTGTTGTTGATCCTACGACTTCTCCTCAGCCAAATTCTGACCTGGCTGCGGGAGTTACTAGCACTACAATGTCTGGTGATTCTGGCTCCTCGCTGGGCGCCATCCTTGGTGCTGTCGTTGCTTCTGTAGCTCTTGCAGGCCTCGTTGCTCTTGGTGTTTACCGACGCCGTGAGAAACGTCGCACCATTGAGGAGCAGCCCATGTCTGGCGCTCCCGAATTGGATGAGGCCCCTCGTACAGCGTTTAGGCATGAGTCCTTCATGGCACTGGTGAAGGATGCTGCTCAGGGCTTCTATGCTCCTGGAACAGCCGCTCCTAGCGCTGGTTCTGGTCCTTCGCCTCTTGCAACCGTCAGTGCTGGCGCTGGCGCTGCAGCCTTGTCACGCCAGTCTAGTACCAGCTCTCAGAACAGTCAACACTTGGGCACAACCAAGAATTCTTTGAATGGTGCTATGCCCCCTTCGTCTGTCCTCCCTCCTTTGGCTCATCTCGCAGATGGACGTCCCTCAGAGTTTAGCAATGTTCCCCTTTAGCTGCGCTCCTATCATGCCATAGTCCATCTATCATCTTGCTGCTCTTTGCTCTCTTTCAGAGAAAGGGTCTCTTAAATAATGCAGTAAAAAAAAAAAAAAAAAAAAAAAAAAAGAATCCATTTTTGATATCTCACTACAATCAGATTTATAAAACAATAACTCTTTGGCCAATTGGACTAAACATTTATTCTTGTAAAAAAGCTGCGATTGATGCTTGACATCAATGCTCTGCGCATAATCCTGAAAATCCAAAATAGCCTTATGATCTTGCGTGGTTTGTGGTTTTGTGGTTTTGTTATGTATCAAGCTCTCCCTTTATTGTGTGGGAATAATATGCGCTCCTAAACGATGTCTAAATCTACATCTTGCTACTCTTTTTTTTTTTTTTTTTTTTTTTTTTCTTTATTTAATTGTTGATAAAGCTTGGTTGTTTTGTTTTGAAAAATTTTGAACCCTGATAACCCTGAACCCTGATAAAAGCAAAAACGACATTCCATGCCCATGTTTAAAAAATATGCCTCCTTTTTACTTTCTTGATCGTTACTTCGCCCTTCATAGCTATTGTGCAGAGAAGAGCGCCTTCTGAGAGAAAAAGCGGACATCGTTGTCAGGATCCTCGCTGAGTTTAACCAAGGCTGGTTTGAGTTGCTGTTCAACCAGAGGTTTCGTGTCTGGATTCTGCGAAAGCACAGGGATAAGGGCCTCTATGGATTTAGCAACGTTGAAGCGAATGTTGGGAATAGGATCTGACACCAAATTCGTAACAGTTGGCAAGATATAGTCGCGGATCACTTCTGGTGTTACGGCTGATGCCATCGCCTAATTTAATCAAGAAAAAAATAAAAATAAAAATAAAATGAGAAAGTGGCCATGGAAAATAGCAAAATAATGAAGTGGTTGGGTTGCAAGCCTACCGTAATAGCAAAGATGGTGGTCATTCTATATAAGTAATTGGGATGCGTCCCCATTGCAAGGACTTTAGGAATGATGGCATGTTCTGCCCACTCTACGCCAAAAACCTCTGTGAGCTTCCTCAGGTTAACTGTAGCAGCATCTCGGATTGAAAAGACACTGTCGCCCAGCCATGACATGCATAGTGCTCCCAGCTTCTCGTCAAAAAATTGGACGCCCAATTGCGTGGCCAAAAGTGGTATGTAGTCAATGATTGCCAGACGCACGCGCCATTGTTTGTCCTCTGCCAACTCCACAATAGCGGGTAAAAGAGATTGAGATAAGAGCTCGATTCCAATGACCTGGTTCACGGTCTCAAGCTTGGAAATGATGTTGAGTCGTACATCCGGGAATTCATCCTTTAGTAACTGAAGGAACAAGGGCAACAAATGCTCTGTCGTCGCCTCTTTGCCGAGAATGGGCGCCAAACCGCTAATCTGCATCGCCAAGGCTGCACGGACATGTTGTGAGGTGTCTGTCACAAGGTCCTTGACGCAAGGCAAGATATAGTTCAAAATAGTGTCCTGGTCCACCAATTTAGCGAATCCTGAAAACACGGCATCAAATCATGAATTAGAGACATTTTCTAGTTTTCCATAGTACTGAGCAAACAAATAGTCTGATTCTTTATATTTTTTATAAACTCACCAGGGACTTGTCCAGAAGCAGCTGTGCGGACCTCTGCCTCATTATCCTTTAATAAACGGACGAAAGCCACAACCAAGTCTTCACGTGTAATCTCCTGTCCTACAGCAGTACTCAGCTATAGGCAGCATTCCAACATGTAGGATAAATACTTTGGTGTTAGCATGACCGTTGAGCGCCAATATTCACATCACTACCCATGGTTATCAGCAGCCGTCCATGTCGATACAAGAGTGTGATCAAGCCATTCTTTTTACCTTGACAAAGTTGTCAGCGATCATGTAGCGAACTCTCCACGATTTATCTGCAACCATAGTCTTGAGCGTTTGCAGAAAGTAGACCTTGCATTCTTCAGGCGAGAGTTGCTCTGCAATAGCAACAAGATCGGTCACTGTCAGCAGACGTACTGAGTCCTGTTCGTCCTGTGCCAATTTATTGAAGAGAGGAATGATGTCCGAAATAAGATGTTCCTTGCTGAGTTTTTTGGAGAATGTCTGGAATTTAGGAAGAAATATATGAAAAGAAAAGAAAGAATTAAATACAGTTGATCATAAAGATAAATAGCTAGAAATCGTAGATAAATACATGACCAAAACGATGCCAATTATTTTCGAGAATAGCTCTTACCCCAAGATGTGTGGCCGCCGCTCGACGAACCATGGGTGTATCATCCATGCAAAGCTGGCTGAAAGCCCTGTTTATAAGGAAAGCAAACCATGATAAACAATAGTTGGTGCGTTAGACTTGAAATCGCAATACTATGCTGTGTTACGATAACTAAAACTATGAAGTTTCTTACTTGCGCATCTCTTCTTGGTGGGCTGACGAAACCAATGGATAACCACATGCATAGAGACCAGTTGCAGAGGTGCGACTCGTAAACCAATCACCCGAAGTAAGACGTTTAAGCAAAGGAATATAGTATTGCTCCAACTGGGCCTGGGTTAACAATGGACAGATCTTATTCAGTGACTCAACCGCCTAGCCATACACACGAAAGAAAAGTCATAGCGCATCCAGGTTAACATCGCTTCAATATCTTTATGAACACAGAGCGCTGAGTGTTGGCAATGCAGGGCACTATTAGTACCTTGTCGCGAACCATTGTTTCCTCAACTGCAGCAAGATTCTCCAGGGGCTGCAACAAAATATGAGCATATTGCGCCCCTCCAATGTACTCTACAAAGTCACCAAGCTCCCCAGCCAAAGCTAGCAAAACTTCATCCTCGTCATCGATAGATTCTGAAGGCAAAATTCAAACGAGATGTTAAAAAAAAGGAAGCGTGAGCTTAATTCAAACCAATGCTCTTTTTTAGATCCTCTTTTTTTTTTTGTACCATCTAGGAAAGGGATCAATTCCTCTCGAGCACGCTGTGGACCGAGTGCCAGGGCGATGGTATTCAGTCTTTTGATAGCATTCAAACGAAGATTGACATCGTCGTGACGCAGTTCATCTATCAAGATCGCGATAGGATAGAGTTCTTCGCTTTCAGGATTCATAGATGTAAAGAGTAAGCGAGAAAATACAGATGAGGAAGATTAAATAGGAGCAAAGTAGTAAAAAAAAAAGAGAGACAGAGAAGGGGGGAGGGACAGGAAGAGGTGGATAGAGACAAATGAGATGGTGTCTAGTTGTTTGTACGGTATTTTTCTTGTGGGAGTTAATCAAACGAATGAAATGTGGATGAGTATTTAACAAACAATTTTACAAATGTCAGAACAGACGACTCTGCTGGCGCGTGTAGTTAGGATATAACTTTTTTTTTGATTGTGACGACAGCAGTGCACAGACCAGGAAGGATCTATTTCCCGACATGATTAGAATAGCACTGCTTAAGGCGCTAGCACTCGCGCTTTTGGTAGGTCTCTGAATATCTAGCTGTTCCCAGATGTGGATCCTATCCTTTTCCAGAGCTTGAAGACATTGTAGGTCGCTTTTGTTGAACAGTACCACTGGAGAATACCCTATTGCATGTCTTGGCAGAGATTTGTATTGTTGAAGCTTGGAGATTAAAGCAAGTGCTCATCGGTGAGACATAGCTTAGGCATATAAACTCATTCATGCCGACTACGACAAGCTTAAAGAACATGCCCTGGATATTAGCTTTGATAACCTTTTGCAAGCATCCTATACGATGGAGCTTTGCCTCCAACTTTCAAATAAACTATGGAGTATTCAATCTATTTTCCTACACCCATGTACTTCGGTCATGTAGAAATCCTAGGTAGTAGGCCTCTGACTCTTGTCTGACTTCCGACAGCCGTGAGTAATCCGGAAGCAAAAATTCGGATCCTTTTTTCATGAATCGCCTTGCCACATCTACCAAAGTCCAGTTCGGTTCCTTTGTGTATCTTTGATCCAGGCTTGAGCCTCTCAATCTCTAACTTAAATAGCTTTATTATCGGCGATAGAGCCAGTAGTCTACGCCGGTTTCCGCTGACCCTGTTTAATCAGACAAACTCCACGGTTGTTATGTCCACCCTTGTATTCTTCAACGCCAATGTAACAAGCATTGTAATGATAGCAATGATGAAGTTAACTTTCAATTGCTTCTTGATCTCAGCGAATAGTGGTCTTCATATCTTATCTTTAAAAGCTACGCGTGTCAAAGCTGGGATTCTAATTCTCTTGCTTATCATATGTGTCTTGTTTCTCCAGCACCGCCTTTGTCTGTCGCATGAATGTCAAGGTCAGAGTCATTTAAACTTATGAGCTACTTCTGAAAGACATATGCGGGGGATATCCCCGTAAAGACCATTGCATATCAGTGAAGTGGTTCAATGCTTGGATACCTTTTACTATTCCCATGAGAGGCTGAATGGACACCAAACTCCTTATCTTCTTTCAATCTTCGATATTTTCCAATGATTACCTGTCAAAGTCAACAATGTTGTGTGTATAAATGTTTTTTATTTGATTTTTTTTCTAAATGGAACAGACACAGGAATAGCAGACTAGGAGCGAGTGTAATGACCCATGGAGAGTTGGCTTCGTTTGTCAGGTCTGTCAGTGTTTGAGCTTGTCAAAAGTAAGGATCAGTGGTGCATATGAGGTGCAACAGTAGAAAGAAGAGCGCCCATTTTTTGGTGTATTTATTTCATTTGTCTTTGAGATCCTGTTTTTTCTATTCCACGTCCACCTTCTCCGGAACGAGAAAGAGAAAAAAAGCTCTTTTCATCACCTTTCTTATCTCCTTTGCTTTATACTTCTTAAAAAAAACGCCACTTTTATCCACTACTTCTGCCACTACGACGGTCTTTCTCGTTTCTGTGCCATCCCCCACGTCTACTCACGCACGCATCTGTTATCCCATTAGTGTTTGCAATTAATCCTTTATTTTTTCCGCGCGTTCATACATCGCCTATTCTACACACATCATCATTACCAATATGCCAGATCCGGTCATGAACATAAGAGGCTATCAGAGTGGCTCTGGTGAATCAGATCATCCCCATGACGATGATCATGAACGAAACTATTCTCCATTCTGTACGTTTCTATTTTTCTCAAATCTGGATTGCACTTATTGCAATTCGATCTCGTATATTACTTTTTTGAAGGATAATACACTCGCCACTTTACAATACCATGCATGTATTAACGCCGCTATTTTCAATGTCTCATGCTAGCCGAGTACATTGATCATTCCAAACATGATCCTGAAAAGGTGGTCGAAGAGAGCCCAAACGGAAGATATGCTAAGGTAACATATGAGGAATAAAATAGGATCATGAAAAACTGGAGAGAAGGAGAAAAAAGAAAGAAAAGAAAAAAGAAAGAGAAAAAATATAAAATAGAATAAAAATAAAGAAAAAATAGAGTAAGGAGGGACGGAGACAACATTATCTGTGTGTGAAGTAGGCGCCATTTTGTTGGGATGGTGCCGCGGTTAGCAATAAGTTTATGTCAAAGTCAAAGACTATGGCTTCTATCGACCATGTTTAGCCTTTTTTCTTGGCGAACAGCAGATGGGATGGATGAGGAGAAAATGCCGCACTTGTTAAATATCTTGCAAGCCAACTCCCATGTTGTGAAGAAAAAATCCCTCATGTGAAGCCCAAAAAACAAAGTTTAATTGTCGCACGGCTTGCAAACACCCTCTCACGACACAGACCAAGTTTAATGGACTGGACTCGACCTGGTTGTAAAATCTTTTATTAATTTAACCTTTCTGGTTTTATGCAAATAGCTCAACTCCGTATTGGGCAAAGGAGCTTACAAGATTGTATACAAAGGCATTGATCGTGAAGAGGGCTACGAGGTAGCATGGAACTGCTTCCAGACCACCAGACAAGAATATGCAGAGCTATCACAAGAAGTTGAAATTCTCAAGCGTGTTCGACATCCAAACATTATCAACTTTCATGACTGTTGGTATAGCAATACTGAGTTTATCTTCATCACTGAGCTCATGACTTCGGGCACCCTTAGAGAGTAAGGAAGTCGCTCACAACGCCCTGAAGAAGATGGTCAGTCATTTGAGAGCATTGTTAATGAAATCTTTTGACTCAAATCGTCCATGTCTACTACTTTTCCTAGATATATCCGCAAGCTGCAGCATCCTAATGTCAAAGTTATCAAACGATGGTGTAGACAAATTCTTAAAGGCCTCATTTATCTTCATTCGTACGACCCACCAATTATTCATCGTGATATCAAATGTGACAACATCTTCATCAACGGCGCTCATGGTGAAGTCAAGATTGGTGACATGGGGACGGCGAAAATGAAGATTGGCAAAAAATACACAGTCATTGGTATTGTCGATGTTTCGTTTCTTGCAGCCTGATTATTACTGGGATGCATTATTCGGCTTAACTCTTTTGAACCGTAAATATTGCGATCAAACATAGGCACACCTGAGTTCATGGCGCCAGAGATGTATGAAGAAAAGGGATACAGTGAAAAAGTTGACATCTATGCTTTTGGCATGTGCTTGCTCGAAATGGTCACAGGCGAGTATCCTTATGGCGAATGCAAAAACGCTGCCCAAATTTACAAAAAAGTCATCCAGGTATCGTAAGATGAGCTGCCAGTTTGTCACAGGCGTGTTTTGCATTAGCAGTTGTAGCTAATATGACTAAATGGACAAGTCTTCATATCCAATCTCTTTCCCTGCTCATTTCTAACAGGGCCTTAAACCCGATTGCCTCGCCACTGTTACGGATCTCGAAGTGCTAAGCTTGATCAATCATTGCATAGCTCCTGAACAGGAAAGGTAGATAGACTGTAGAAACACGCACCACACACACTGTGCTGTTAAACTTTTCAAAGTCCTTGGCAAGGTTAATATTATATTGGATTCGACTTCTTAACTTGTTGACCCTTTGCATGCTATGTGTCTAGATATTCTGCGCAGGAAGCTATCGAAGATCCCTTTTTAGCGGTAGAGCCCGAAGTTGTGGTCTTGACAACGAACGAGGCCAAGAACCATTTGACATTGCAGGTTGTATTCAAGGGTATGGACAAGCTATCGGTGAAGTTTGAGTTCAATGCTGACACAGACACGGCAGAGGAAGTGGTCAACGAAATGGTGAGAAACATATATGACATATATGCAACATAGCGAAGCTTGTGATATAGGTCATGCTCTATTTAAGATGGCTCATATGGCCCGTATACTTTTGTTTGGATATTAGATCGAAGAGCAGGTCCTTCCTCAGCAATATCAGAGGCTGATCACTCATGACATCAATAGGATATTACGCGAGCTGGCAGGACCAAATGACAAAAAGGACATTTCAGGGCACCATGTACCGAATTCACCCCTGATGTTACACAATAATCAGTCGCAGGGAGCTATCTCGCCCATCACTCTTGACGCTACCAACCCTATAGTTCAACCAGGCTTGAGTCGTAGGAATTCAAATCCTGACTACAGCGGTGACGTAGAGCTTCCCTTCAAAGGTAAAGTCCTTTTCCTCCTGCATTCTCTCACACATTTTAGTACATTGGTTTTATTTATCTGGTTCGTGTACACTTGTATAATATATATTTATCTTTTTGCTTTTTGCTTTTTGCTTTTTTTTATTTTTATTTTTTTTAGAATATTTACCGGATACACCCATTGAAGAACTTGTCCAAGACACTGCAATGGCATACCACCGTGGGCCAGACAAAGCAAATGAATGGCTCGCCAAGCTGAAGAATCAGGATATCATGACAGTAGGTGACCTTAAGGACTTGCAGGACTCTGACTGGGCTGGATTTGGATTGACGGTTTTTGCGTCTAGAGCACTCAGGAACAGATTATTTGGTAGAAACGTTAAACGTCCTGGTGCAATGACAAGATCTTTAAGCCATGGTCTCGATGATGGAAGCAGTTGAGAATGTGATTAAGCCAGGCGACTTTCGAGTACCGTTTGCTGTGTAGATACGTTTACAATGCCATTTTAGATCCCCTTTGTCACCCACTACTTAGTATTTCATTTTTCCATTTCGAAATGGGAGTTGTTTGGCTGTCTTTCGTTCAGATTAATCTCCACTCCTTAGACACTTATTATATTGTATATGCAGGCCGTAAAACAAAAAAGAAAGGCATGATAGAATGAAGCGTCATAACATTGCACGCAAATTTATCCATGTCAAGAATATCCAGACACTTTGAGCAGTGTGGAATGAGGCTACAGTCGTACACCACCTCATCTTTGTATATTGATTACAGATAATGTGTCGCTGACCTTCCTTGTTCACACTCCATACACCTGTCCCACTCGACACGCTTTTGTAGCGCTACTATCCTCCTGTGAGTGTGAGTTGATCCTCGGATGGTTTCAATAGCATGTTGCGACATCGATCCACAGGTTCGTCGAGTCACAAATTAATTAGAGAACTGAAGAGCCACAATGTCATCTCCGGTATTGTAGCCTCAGCTTTGGGTGAAATGATCACCTATCAGCGTTTATCTTTCATGTCAAAGGATTTGCGTTCAGTTGTCATCACTCTATCGGACTATGACCAATAAGCGTTGGTGGTGGGAATCCAGGAAGGTCAGGAGAGCCTAGCATGACCCTTGTGGGGGGCAGCGGGTCCAGAGAAAGGGGCGTAGTGGTAGACCAAAGTGTTGAGGAGATGCCGCGTCTACTTGAAGTACGCGAGATTGATTGATAAGGATAGAGTAAAGGCACACAACCTGACCCTAATCGGACCAAAGTTGACAATCAAGAGTGACTATGTCCCTTGTTGGTCTATTGCTTTGTCCGAAAGACGCATACAGCAAGTACAAGCATACTACAGTCTGCTCTCAAGAAGCGGGTCAAAATGGCCCGCTTGCCAAAAATAGGGGGTGACATCGGTCAGGTTGGCCACCAACGACTAATGTAGCTTTCTTGGTATTCAAAATTTGGTCATTAAAAATAAGGGGTGAACAAAGGAAGCTTACATTACGTTCAAGCTGTAATTTGGTCATTAAAAAAAAAAAATAGGGGGGTTGGCATCGGTCACGGTCACGGCCGCCATGACATGATGAAGGCCTCTTTCTTTTTTTTTTTTTCAAACACTTCAACACAACTTTTTGTTTTTCCATTTCCTCCTATAGTTTTCATATTTAGAAGTCTGCCTTGACAAAGAAAAAAAGAAAAATAGCATTCATATATCTCTGCATTATATCCCGAAACCATGGTTTCCTTTCGAAACATCTTTCTGAGCGAAACTCAGCGGCAAGTCGAAGCTGAGGCACGAAACATTGGATTGGCTCACACTATCCGGGATCTCATCACTGGTAAAAAAAAATAAAATAAAATAAAAATGACGAGGCTTGAGAATGTAGACTAACTTACTACTCTATCACTTATTCTTGACCTTTTTTATAGGTGCTAATCATGAGATCCACGTTGATAGCTATCAAAAGAAAAAGGCTGTTAAAGCGCTTCAGAAGGCGAAACCAGCCCAAGTGAATGAATTGATTACAATCTTGAAGGCGATGCCAGATCCAACCGTTGGAGAGTTCAAGACAGTACACAATCGGGAGCACAGCAAGCAGCAACAGCATTCTATTCAAGATAATGCTACAAGGATGAAGATAGCTATCGATTCTTCTGATCATGGCGAATCAAGTTTAAACGACAAAGCGAATCAAAAAGTGGACAACACAAATAACGCCAGCTCTGAGTCCGAACTAGCGCCTGATGTGAATCAGCAACCTGCATCAGAACCAGAGTCGGATGTAATAAAGGCACCATCATCTTGGTGGGCGATCTCATTTTCTTCGCTTATGACAGCATTTGCATCATCTACGTCTCCTAAGGAGCAGCCTTCTGTAAGAACGACTACGACAACTATCACAACCATCACCATGGCTGAAGAAGACACAGAGCAAAAAGAGAGAGATGAAGTAAAACCTCCAGTAGAAGGATCATCCACAGATTCTACAACGAAAACAACGGCACAAACTGGAAGTACAGACAGTGCAGAAAGCACAAAAAATACAGAAAACATTGAAAGCAACAGCAAAAAGGGAACGGTGACCAAGACAACAACATCTTCCACTACTATCGCTACCAATGCAACAGCAGACAAGACAACTCTTGTTTCAACCATTAATTCCATTAAGCAGCAAGTTCTAGCATTGACCAAAGCGCCCCCAAACGATGTCATCAGCGCTTATACTTATTGGTGGGGTTACGAGATTTATGTGCCTCACAATTGCATGGCTAAACTACAACGAGTCACCAACACAAGTCAGATCTTTTTCGGGTTCCTAAGTGGAGCCGTATCCGGAATTCCAGGATTGGCCGCTCTAGTTCCCCTTTCGAGAATCATCTCTGCATGGGTTGGGTTTCAATGGGCGTTGATTCAAGCAGAAGATCTTGGAAAGGGCGTTGTATTATCAGCTACATGGTAAAAAAAAAAAAAAAAAAAGGTTATGCTCATCATTGCAAGCAATGGTATTAAACGTTGCTTATCATATTAATATTGTTAGGGTACTCCCGGTGGCATTGGCGCCAAGATCGTGGGATTATCTAGGAACAGAGGATGTCCCAGCACCAGCAGGAAATCCGGTCACTAAGAAGCAGAAGCAGATCAAAGCTGCATAAGATCGATAAACTTGTATATACCACTATTATTCCTAAAGGACTGTATCCCTGAATAAACTAATTGAAAAGACATTTACCTTGCACTGCCAAACTCATTGCTTTTTTTTTTTTCTTTCTGCTTACATGAATACATCCAGTTGATATTTTCCCTTTTTCTTTTTACATGAGCAATATATTCCACCATGAGGCAAGACCACTTTGGAGCGAGGGATCATCAGATATAATCTTGGAAGCGAATCCAACATCACAACCCTGTGGCCTAGCTCGTCATGCCTCACAAGATTCCTTCTCATCAACTCCTTTTCCCCATAATGCAGCAATTCTCACTTCATCCGCCAACACTAATGGAGGGAATGGACAGATTCGATGGGCGATGCTCGCCGCAGCATGTCTCGTCATGTTTGGCAATTATTATGCCTTTGATAATCCGGCCTCATTGAATCAGCCACTACAGGAATACATGCAAATGACAGACGAGATTTATGCCTATTTTCTCAACATCCTTTACACTGCCTATTCCCTACCAAATATTGTCTTGCCTTGGTTGGGTGGCTATGCCGCAGACAAGTTTGGTCATAGGCGGCTTCTTCTCTCACTGTCCGCAACAGTAGCATTCGGCCACTTTGTAGTATGTCTTGGGGTTGAGAAGAGAAATGTTCCCGCCATAATCCTAGGAAGGGTGCTCTTTGGCGCTGGCGAGAGTTTGGCGGTTACACAATCTGCTATCACTGTCAAGTACTTTCGAGGAAAGGAGTTAGCGATGGCGTTGGGATTTAACCTTTGGTATGTTTTTTTTTCTTTATCTAATGAACCATGCGCTTGCCATGCACATTAACATTTATCATAAAAACTAATGGGTTTCCTAGGGGAGGAAAAAAAATGTTTTTTGATGAATCCATAAAAATATTTGAAATAGTGTTGCTCGACTAGGGAGCGTTTTGAATGATGTGCTTACACCATATATTTGGTCAAAGTCTTCAGTCCCTGCAGCATTCTGGGGTGGATTTGTCTCCTGCGTGCTATCGTTCATGACAGCGTGCGTGTTAGTGTTACTTGATTATCGTTTTGAATCGACTATTGCTACAGGATTCATGCGTGTGCCAACAACTTATCCCAGCAATATAAGGCTATCTCATGATTCAGTGCTGCTGACAAGAGAGCGCAGCAGTAACGCCAGTGTAAATCCAATGTCCAGAAGACACTATGATCCTCTAACTCATAGCATTGGAACCAAATCATCCATAGACGAAACAATAAATATGGCAGTATTACATACATCAGGAAGGACAATCAGGGGCAGCTCAGAAGGATATGCTCGAGAGCAGGTTACAGAATATACTATGGTAGATCCAGAAGAACCGGATACCAAGGAATTAGCTTGTAGGGCACGTGAGAGTGTGGAGCTCGGATCTGATAATCAGGATGATTCGGATACAGAGGAAGAAGTAGCAAAACTAGCATCATCCTCTGAAACGGAGGATCCCAATCGGAATGGTAGAGTCTCTCCCTTCTCACAATGCTTAGCAATTATGGTGGCAGCCAGTAACTATACTCAGTCCTTTTGGACATTGTTTGCAATGACATTTTTACTTGTTGGTGTTCAAGTGCCGTTCAACAGTATCCACGCAGGATTTCTGCAGATGCGCTGGTATCACAATGATCCCCAAAAAGGTAGTTCACTATTAAGTTTTTTAATATTCTTATTCTTTTTTAATCCTACAAGGCAAGCAGTGTCCAGTAAGGTCTAACACATGCTTCGTTACTGATTTTCTTAGCCGCTCAAATCATGACAGTCCCAGATCTGTTGTCAGCGATCCTTGTACTTCCTGTTGGCTACTTTGTTGATCACTATGGACAAAAATCATGGTTGTTTATGCTCTGCGGCCTTATCATCGGATTTTCACATTTCGTGCTTGGCATCATTCCCATCGTGACGCCCGTACCAGCGTTGATGGCTTTGGGTATCTCCTCGGCCATTGGTGCCATTTTCACAAGTGCCATCCCTGCCTTGGTTAAGAGCCATCAGATGGCGACAGCTTAGTAAGTAGAGGGGACGATCAGTATAACCAAGGCTTTTTTTAGTTAAAAAAAAAAAAAAAACTATAAATACGGATGAATATTAATATGATAATCCTCTCATCTGGTCATAGTGGGATCTCGGTATCGTCAATGAATCTCGCGTTTTCAGTATTTCCATTGATCGTGGCAAAGCTAATGACCGTGGATCCGTCTATTTACACATACGTTGAGATTTTCTTTTCATGTTGCGGATTCGGTGGGTTTTTCTTGGCCATTCGATTGCGATGCCTTGATATTTACGGGGATCTGGACCGCAGAGAGATTGACAACAAGGCTAACATGTAGAAAGTATATATATTGATAAAGATATCACCTGTTTTGTATTTATTTGAAATATCTAGATGCAGAATTAAAAATCTATAGATCTAGTCAGAGTTGATACTATTGCTTTCTTTCTTTTTGTTTTGTTTTGTTATTGCCTCTTGGCATATAACGCAGATCTCATTATTCTGTAGAGCGAACTTGTATATAAGATTACCAAAAAGCAATATCAAATATGTTATAGTCATTGTCTTATTCATAGTGCCATTAGATTTGGTAACACTGAATCCACTTATCATAAAATATCTTCATAAATGTCTTGTCTAATTGATGAAGCTCAATGTCGGACCCTCAGTTGACAAAAGCATGAACGCCGCCGCATAGTTTATTGGAGGGTCGCCGCCACATGCAGTAATACAAGTATATGGAGACATCTATTCTGTCTGTCTTTTTTTTTTTTTTTTTTTTTTTTTTTTGCAAAAGCACATCCTAGTCTGCTTTTTCGTTGACGAAAATTTATCCATTTCGATGGCGTTACAAGAGATGAAGAATGTATGGAAAGAAAACAAGGTTGACCAGATATCTCCGCACAAAGTGTTGGTTGTTCTTTTTTTTTTTTTTTTTTTTTTTTTGTTTGCTGGATTGAATCCGCGGAGAAGCTGGGCTATAGAAGGATTTTCTGTTTACAAACACATATAAAATATATATATATATATATATATAATACATATATTGAGTTGAAACTTTATTCAGTCTTCGAGTTTATATTTATATGCGCCACAAAATGAGGAATTGAGTTTTTTTTATTTTATTTGACATTGTTTAACTCCGCCACGTCAAGGTTACATTTTTAATTTTATATATAAACTGAACTTTTTTAAACTTCAGTGAATGACGACAATGTTGAGATGGAGATCCAAACACCAGATGATATGAAAAAAAGACAAAAAAAAAAAAAAAAAGAAAAAGAAAAAGAAAAAAGCATCAAATTTTCAAAGGTATACATATATATATATATATATATATATCTCTTTCTAGTTTCCTTATAAAAGCACTTTTTTCTCTAAAAAAAAAAGAAAGACTTCACATGGTATTTGACAACTATTTTATTTCTTATTGTATATTACAAAAAGAAGCTTCAATTCTAGTAGCAAGTAACGAAACAGTAAGCTTCACATGAATATGAGGAGTTGACATCCTGTGCTGTGTCCAATAAATCAAGGAGGGGGGAGGGTTTTTTATTCTTGTGACTGAACAGAAAGTAGGGAAAAAAAAAGAAAAAAAAAAAAAAAAAAAAACTCGGATCCATGATCCTTTTCTCTGTTATTGGACAAAAGAAACATCTGCTCATCGGCTAAATACTTTTCGAAGTTTCCAATTGCTCCGGATTACCTGAAGAAGTGAGTGCTGTATATATGAAGGAACGTGCGCATGGAGAAATTTCTTGATTGACCTTCTTTTTTAAAGAATTGTTGGTTAAAATCAAATCTCCGCCAACGGGAAGACGGGAAAAAAAAAAAAAAAAAAAAAAAAAAAAGCACGATCCATAATCCGTAAACAATGATGCATGATGAACAAGCAATTGTAACACATTGTTCAAGTTTTTTTTTAAAAAATCGTTGCCCAATTCAGTAGGACTGAATTGATTAAAATGAAAGAGATTAATATTCCAATCGCTCGGAACTCCTATTTAGCCATTCAGCCGAATTTTTTGTGTTACAATCAAAAAGGCCTACATTTCTATTGAAAAAGAAAAAAAAATGATACATTGACCTTTTTTGTTCCCCCTTTTCAAAAAGTAAAGAAGGAAAAAAAAAGAGTATCATGTTCTTCTGTCCTAACGACAAGGTAGGAGGAGAGAAAGAAGATGCTGCATGCTTTTGGAGATAGCATACATCTATATGCCTGCATAAACCCGATCTATGCATGGTTGAAGGATGTTTGTATCCTGCACGCTGTCCTCAATCGCTCGTTAGCCCTTGTAAACACAGGCACAAAAAAAAAGAGCTAAAAATCATTTTTGCCAACAGTAATGTTTAAGACGTAAGAAGGAAGGTATGTATAGAGAAGGAAGCAGAATGTTTAGCACATAATTGTTCTGTAAAAAAAAATAAAATAAAATAAAAAATAAAGAAATAAAAAAAACCTCTTTCAGGTCCTTGCACCAAGGTAAAACAAGAGGAAAAAAAAAAAAAAAGTGGGATTTTATACTTTTTCATTGTTTATACGCTTATGGCTTTGAGGGAGGCGATGCAACACCACAAGTCCAAAAGACCAACAATCACATATATATTTCAACTGTACACCAGAATACTTTTTACTTTGCTTATCTCACCTTTCACTGAACTTTCTCCTTTGCTCTTGTCTCACCTGTGTGGAATGTGCACAAGTTGTTACAAACACTGTTATATGTGCAAACTTTGCATTCGAATGAAACTCGTGCCACTGTGGTATGTGGCATGTGGTATGTGGCATGTGGCATGTGGCATGTGGCGCGTGCACTAAATGATTGTTATACCAAATCACAGGGAAACTCTTTCTTTTTTTTTCCTTTTTGCTGAGCCTGCTTTTGTTTATGATCCAAAGCGTTGGTTTGAGTGATTGTCGTTACGGCTTGCGAAGATCAATCAACTCTATAACCAAGAGTATCAGGGTTTATGAAGAGATGGTGGCTCTTATTCTGGTTCTTACCATGGATTCAAGTTACTCCTAAAATATAAACAACGAGAGGGCTAGGCTCCTCTTCCTGCCCTCTCACCTTGAGAGAGGACGAAGGAGCATTGCTCTTCTTTGGATCATGCAGCTCCTCATCAATGATAGCAGTAGCTCTTTTTTTTTTCTGTCAGTAAGATTAGGATATAATATCATCAAATGCTTATTAGCCTTTCCTTCTTCAGTTGATACTCGGCACAAATAGATTGGATTGAAATAGACATACCATTATTTTGCATTACTGCTATCTCTCTTTCTCTCCCTCTATTATGTCACTTTATCAAGCTCCTTTACACATACATATAAAGATCCTGTTACCTAAAAAGCATGCATACATGATATACAACCCCCCTATGGGAACATTAATCCCTGGATCTACAGTCAGATTACAGTATACCAAGTTTAAAAGGCTAATTTGACGTCATGAGCGGATCCACATTGTGAGGATATCTTTATTATATAACATTGCAATCGCAGAAGACTGCATTGCATGCTGCATAACCTGCACATACTTGCAGCACTATGACGCAGAAAAAAAAAGTATCCATTCTCGACTGCATATCCCCTAAAGTTCTTAACGTTTTTTTTTAAAGCTATGTTTATCTAAACATTATCTAACCAAGCTTGCTGTTCATCCCCAAGTAGTCCCGAGTTTTTTTTTTTTTTTACTGTAACGAAAGAATGAGTAAAAATACATGTCAAAGTTAAATGCGATGCCATGAATCCCTTTACCTTCCCTTCCTTTTTTTGAAGATTAGCTATGGAAGAGGGAGAGGGAGAGTTAAGGAAGTGTATTTAAGAGAAATCCAAGAGCTGCTGAGGAATGAGATAGTGCAGGGAGGGAAAGAGAAAAAAAGACAGAGAGATAAAGATTGACACCAGAAGCCGGTCATTAACTGCACACTTTTTTTTTTTTTTTTTTTTAACCCGGATCCATCATAAACAAAAATAAAAAGTACGTGTTTGATGCAATGCCCAGATTAGATCCCCGACTAGCATGCGTCATGCAGCAAGTGTGACAAGGCATATAAATAAAATAGAATAACAGATTCAATTCAAAGTAAAGTTTAAAGTTCAGACCAGTCCAGAATTCCAAAAAAAAAAAAATTTAAGGCACTGACGCGTGGCCGAAATGCCCGCTCAACTTATTTTTAAACCAAAAATCAAATAAACAAAGCGGGAATGCATTGACGCCTGTGACGCATCAAAAGACACTAGCTGAGAATGAAAAAAAAAAAAAAAAAAAAAAAAAAGGCAAGGATTTTTTTTTGTTGTTTGAGCTCAGCTTTGTCTGTGAGATTCAATCCATGTTCATATGAGTGTAACCAAAACAGAAGCAATTGAGCAATTGAGGAAAACTCCACACATGAATGTTAGACCAGGGGATGGAAAGCCTAATGTAAACTGCTCTTCCCTTTCTCTTTTCTCCTTCCTCTCTCCTAACCTCGTCTCACCTTCAGGTATATATGTACAGTCGAGATAACATCAAGTGCTATGGCATACTGTACGACCAAAGAAGAAGCAAATAGGAGAGGGAGAGACCTTACATGATAGAGATGGAAAGATAAGGGCAAGAAGTTATGAGCAGTATATAATATTACTTTCAATTGGATCAAGCTGTATACAATGTTGTTGACGTTTTCTTTTCTTTTTTACTTTGACCAAGGAGAAGTATTCAAGATCTAACAAAGGAATGCTTCTACATGGTTACTTTAGTATGGGAGAAAGAACCCCGAATTTAGATAACGCACACGGCATTATACATATTTAATATAAATAGTTATATAATTATATATAGTTAAAGATCGACTAGTCATCTGTTCAATGCATGGCTGAGAGCAGTGTTAGACCGAAAGTCCAAAACTCTGAAAGTACGGAAATTGGGGCGGATGTGGCTAGTACGTATGCAAATGTATTCTTCATAGGGGGGCTGTGACCCTCTATGCAATATGTGGACCAGGAAATTGTATACTAACCAAATTCTCCTGTCGGACATTCAATTAACATCAGTGCATCAGTAAAAAAAAATTTTCCTTAGTGCTCCTGATCAGTGTTTAACTCCTTTTTTGTGCTGTAGGATCATAACAAAGCCGATTTGAAGGTAACACAAAAAAGAAGCAAACAGATTATTTACACACTTTGTATGAATGGACTAATATGGACGTGTAAAAAAAAAAAAAAAAAAGGGCCAATGTGTGATAGATCTGTAAACATTCCTGACACGATTACTTCCTTTTACCTTGATCAGTGCGCCAATCTTCTCCCGCGGAACTGTGGTATTGTTGCACCCTTCTTTGTGGCACAGAATATCTGGTCCTTATGATTGGATCCACAGACATTTTTCTCTAGACATTTCCGTCCAATGTGATACGGTACATGCATACTCATTTATACACAGAAAAAAAGAACCATTGATACTCTCGTGGACACCCTGTATCTTCCGATCACACGCATACCGATCTTTTTTCCTTATAGATTACTTGATCGATTTTCCCATCTTCATAACTCACATGGATCCATCATGCCCCTCTCAAGGGAGATGCAGGATGTATTCCATGTGATAAGCTAGAAAACCAATGTGCTGATCATACGAAGGGTCTCCTATGGATTTGCCTATCTGCCAACCTTTTTTTTTAAGCTAATCAAGGAACAAGATATGCTCAGCTTTAACCGTCCTCACTTTCCCTTTCTCCTTTCCTCTGAATGCTGTATGTATGACTATCATATGCATTATCTTTCCTCATAGCCATGCTCTATTCTAGATGCAGCAACAGATCAAATAACTTTCGTATTGTGAATAAAAACGAATGAAAAACATGTTGATAAGGCGTGATGCAGCTATGGATCTAGTAGAGGAATCAAAAAAAAAAAAAAAAAAAAAAAAAGAGAAATGAATTTAGATAAAGAATGCATGGAGTTTCTTTGCCATTCCATTAATCATGTTTGTTTTTGTTTAAATGAAAAGACGTTACGCGTCTTCTTCTTTCCCCTTGTGGGTCTCATTCATTTTTTTTTTTTTTTTTTTTTTTTTTTCATGACCATTCCCCTAATCATGCTGCCGAGTTCTTTCCGCTTCCTTTTCATTCGTTCTTTTCATAATGATCTGGGCACCTCAATTTCTTTTTCCTTTCCTTTTCTGTCCCCATGATTCCTTAATTTCTGGGACTTTCTAAAGCCTTCGTGTGGACGTATCGTTTTTTGTGGATCAGGGACAAACTTCGAAAGTAAATGGACCAACGAAAGAGAAATGAAGCATGATCTGCATGCTTGAAATGAACCAAGGTTTCCTAGGGGAAGGAAAAAGGCATTAATCTTCCTTTATCACACATGTCGCCTGCACATGATTGGTGCTTGAGATGCCAACGAAGAATGCTTCTGTTGTTGTGACCCGCCTCCCTTTTTTTTTTTTTTTTTTTTTTTTTTTTTTCTTCCCGCTCGGCGGTAAATTATTATTATTAATATCCAATGCTATTTTTTGTGGCCAAGTCATCATCAACTGATCATTTTCGGATTATTGGAGATTAGAAATTGAACCTGTGAATGAGGCACAGTCTATGCATCAGATGGAATGTTATTTTTTTTATCCTGCAGAATAGTAATTTCTAGATGAATAATAATGACATCTCTTGGCTTTATTTTTTTTAATTATGCTTAATTCATGTGTCCCATGACAAAAAGAATGAAGTAGCTAGCTGTAATGATAAATCGAGCCAAAATACTCGTACATTCGCGACTCATAAGGATAGGGATAGACTAGCATACAACAAGGAAAAGAAATAAAATTGTTTCCGATCATTCGCATGATCTTGTAGTGCTAATAGCAATAGCTATAAGCGGATGAGGTGACACTGGTGTGAATGCCAAGAAAGGAAGCTACTGCCACTAATCTCCTTTTTATGGCATAGTCCAGACGGATTGTTGTACAAAAAAAAAGGGAACCAGTGAAACGTTGGGATGAACGGACGTTGACAGAACAGACTAAAAAAAAAAGTACACGGATTGACCAAAACTACATAAGCGCGGAAGGGCTTGAGAGAAGGAGAGTGCATCCGATCGAGATGATAGTCCCTTTTTTTTAATCTCCATTACCGTAATAACAGAAACACAGCTACTTTGGTAACGACAACCAACCAGCGAGCAACATATGCAAGGTGCAAAACGAATGGCCTTGTGGTTTAATCAGCCACGCAAGGGAGGAGATCAATGTTTTCGCAGTTTTGGTTTGCACACCCTGCTGTTGCACACAAGAGGGGAATTTATTTTTTTACTTTGACCATGATCCTGTCCCGGAATGAATAGGAGTGAATAGGGATGCATTTGAATAGAAATGTTATTGAATCAGAGGAATTTATAATATTGACAAGTCATTGTGTCTCCTTTAAAAATATGTTAGTAATATATCCTTAATAATACAATTTTTGAATAAGTAATTGAAACAAATGCATTCTGACATAGTGGTTTGCTTCTAAAAAAAAAATAAAAAAATAAACAAATAAACAAATAAACAATCCAGTGAGTTTGAAAGTATATTCATCTTGTACAGAAAATTTTTATATATAAACTCAGGATGTGCCCACATTTTTTTATTTCTCTTCAGCATTTCTTTCTACAACAACAACAACTTTTTTACTAACTAACTAACAAACTACAGCTTACTAGTGCAGCCAAGCAAAATACATTCAAACCAACTCTACATCCAACATTGAAATCCATCCACTCCTTATTCTCTTCCGCTCTCTCTCTCTTGCACCTCCCATTACTCTACCGCGCTTCAAACTTTTTTTTTTTTTTTTTTTTTTTGTGATCTATTTGTTTCAAGATACAAGGTACAGATGGAAGACTCTGCCACCGTCTAATTTGAAGTCACTTCTTCCCGAGCTGTGCCTGATTTTCCTTTTTCGGGCCAATGTCTTACTCAGCCATTCACTTCAACTCACTCAACTTCACCTTTCCTCTTTTGAATACATGATTATTAGCAACATAACGCATTAGGTCTTAAACTCTTCGTCTATTATACCCCTTTTATTGTACCACAGTCTGGATAAGAAGCACAAAGTCATGCTACAGAGTGTTATGGTGTACCAGAACAACAACGATTTCTTCCACATGCAGCCCTCGATGCTCGACGACAACATGACCAAGCTCATCAACTCTGATCAAGTCGAGAACTACATCGCCTCCGCATCAACATCCCCTGTCCAAGGCTACGTCATGGCCCCTTCATTCCCTCAACAGCAGCACCAGAACCAGCGCCAGCATCAGCTCCAGCAATACCCTGTATCTTCTATCGTTTCTCATAGCGCTCCTTCTTCGCCACCCTATGCCATCATCAAGACAGAAGAGATTCCACAGCAACCCAACATGGACTATCTCCAATTATTCCCAAACACATTCGATCTCTCATCTCCATCATCGTCCTCGGTACAGCAGGACCAACATATTCTTCCTTCACAGCGCTCTCAAACGATGCATTATGCAGATACGACTCTCTTTCAACAACAACGCCAGCGCCACCAACGCCAACAACAGAAGCATCACGAGCAATTGAGGATGCAACAGTTGCAGCAGCAGATGTTGTATGAGACCAGCCATTCCACAACTACCAGCATGGCCATTCCAGCCACATCTTCAATGATGTCCTCTATCATCTCTGCCGACACCTCTAGCTCTTCTCTCTTTGCACCCTCTGCCATCACCACTTCCTCACCCTTCTTCAACCCTTCTACCCTTGCACATGACGACTCCTTCTCACGTCAAAACACATATACTCCTTCTGCACACCCTGCAGCACCCAAGCGTAAGCTCGAGCGTCAACCCTCGCCGCAACACTCGGTCGACGCTGCAGCTGCCGTCGTCAACAGCAGCGCCATCTCCTCTGAAGACGCCACTGCATTTGTGACGATGAAGAAAACTTCCGCGGCGACAGCCAACTTGGCGGGTAGGCCCTCGACCAGCTCTCGCCTGGATAAAGTCAAGACCACCCGCTCAACCAAAGTTACAAAGTCATCCACTCTTTCTTCCTCTCCCTCCTTCAACCCCGACATGATCGAATCAGAGACCAAAGCCCACTCTCCCAAGAAGATTGCTAAAAAGATTGCTGATTCTCGCGAATCCTCTGAACAGCCAGAGACTAATGCCACCATCACCACTACCACTAGTGCTACTAACGAAACCACCACCCGCGCACCCAGCCACACCGGTAATGTGACTCACCCACGTCGCGCCGCTCAGAACCGCGCGGCCCAGAGAACGTTCCGCAACCGACGCAAGGCCTACATCAAGGAGCTGGAACAGAAGGTGAATGAGATTGACCGCACCCGCGAGATGATGGAGGCCATTCACCTCGAGAACCAGGAAGTCCGACGAAGACTCCAGATTATCGAGAGCTTTGCCAGCCAGAATGGTCTTTCAATGCCCACTTTCCCACCATTGGTGCCCTTCTCTATCACTAGCAACGAGTTTGCAGTCAATGTAACTGATATGACTGGAAATGGAAACGGAAATATCAGCAGCAGCAGCAGCAACGGAATTATGATTATGAACAACAACAACAATAACCTTATGGGAGGCATGATGTTGAGCAGTAACGATGAAGATGATGAGGATGATATGAGCGACTCTTTCTTGCCCTCCAACAATAACTATCAACATGTTTAAAAAAAAAAAAAAAAAAAAAAAACTTGAATATTTATTCATTACCACCACTTTGTTCTCAAATTTTATATTCTTTCCCCCTCTCCTCCGTCCTCTCTCTCTCTACTTTTGTATATAGAATAGTACAGTTTTTACATATACCAAAACCTCAAAAAAAAAAAAAGAAATTTGACATTTTCCCCACCTTTTTTTTTTTTTTTTTTTTTTTTTTCTCCTTCATATACCACTGCCTTCTGTTTATTGCTCTCTTCAAGTCGTTTGTATATAGCAAAAAAAAAAAAAAAAAAAAAAAAAACAAACTCTTTTTCTTCTCCTCCCGAATCCCTGATATCGAGTAAATAAATCAATAAAAAAAAAGCCAACAGAAATACTTGTGTTGTGTAGTGATTTTTTTTTTTTTTTTTTTTTGACCATGTACAAAAAGAACGTGCAGTTTGTAATAACAGACTTTTATGAAATCAGCCCAAGCGTGTAACGCGTTCTAGCCCAGTCCACACTCAATCTTGCGAATAAAAAAAAAAAAAATAGTTGCTATTGATCGTTATGTATTTGAGTATTGTTACAATATGATAATAGATAGTTTATTCGTGTTTCTCAAGGGCATGTCATTTCATTTCATTCACTTCATGATAAGAAAAAAAAAAGAAAAAAAAAAAAAGCTAAATCTTATGTACATCTCAGTTGCCAATATTTAAGAGGCTTCTGCTAATTAAATGGTTTGTATGTGTGTTGTTGGCGCTATTAATGGATAGATAATAAATGCTTAAGGGGAAGGAGGGAAGAGTAGAAATAAATGGCTTTGTTCATTAAAAGACCTTTTGCATGTAGCAAGCAGTGTGTTTCCTACCCTCGCTACCTCCTCTATGCAAAGAGGGCTTGATAAAATTCACCAAGTGACCTTGTTCCATGGCGTGCAGGTGTATAGGGTCTTGGAGAAAAAATAATGTCCGCCCCCTTAGTTTTGGATTTGGATGGAGTGATAGTCAGAGTAGAAGCAGTAGAAGTAGCAGTGTTTACAGCTACATCAGTTGAGATTGGAGGAGAGATCGGTGAGGCCGGTGTAGGTGATGCATCAGCGTTTCTGCGCATGTCCAAGCAAGTTATCCGGGATGATGAAGAAGAAGAGGAGCAGGAGGTAGACGCTGTCTCCGTCACGGTATGTAGGGCTTTCAGCCCAGACCAAAGAGCATGCATCCTCCTTTTCCTCTTCGGTTCTGCCATTATCAATCGCTCTTGGTCTTGCTGCTGACGCACGTGGTGGTGGTCATGTTGATCGTCATGGTTCACAACCGCAGTGTCTTGTGAGGAAGACATGGACAAGATTGGCAAAAATGACCACGTTCCAGAATTCCTTGGCGAATGCACCCTATCACCGTCATGATCATCTGAAAGTACATCCTCATCATCGCAAGCAGTAAAGTACGTTGCTGTGGATGAAGATGTGGATGAGATCGAGTGTCGTGGGCATGCCTCAAAAGACAAAACCGAGGATGCAGACGAGCACGTCGAGGAGCACGAGAGTGATGGTACCATAAAAGATGACTGAAACAATGGTGTCGGCGGTACCATCTCAACATCGCAAGAGAGCGTCGCTTCCAAGCTATGTGTTGTGAAATTCTCAGCAGTTGGCGTCTTGGGCAACATCATAGTCTCCTCATCCTCGTCCTCTTCTGCAGCAAAGCCGACAGTTTCTGAGGTCATGGAGGTCGTAAGAGGCGAACTCTGATACCGTGGCCGGGAATGATCCATCATCCAAGAGACTTGGGTCAGACCCAAATGACCTCGACGTGGTGAGAGTGGCTTCGGTTGTCCCAGTCTGCTCGGACCTTGAAAGGGCTTTGTGTTCGGATGATCATCACTTCCATTGTCAGGTGTCAGTGGGCGTTTACAAAACTCTTGCCTCATAGGTGTTGCAGGAGGCAAACTGGAGTCAGTCATAGCTACCCAGGGGTTTGGCATATGTGATGCAGTCAATGATACATCCGACGGTGGTGGAAGTGAACTTAAGGATACTCCGGTAGCATTGGAGGCAGAGAAAGCGGCAGAAAACGGATAGGGTGGTTCATCATCATCCAACTGAGAGCTCCACGAGTTCCTACTCCGAACAGAGGCTGTATCTGATGTGGAATCCAAAGCAGATGTAGTGCTGCTTGGGTTCTTTAGTCTTTTCTCATATTCTGCAAGTTGATACATCAGACTCATGTTGGGTGAGATGACACCTGAGCGTTGCTTCACAAAGTCGTATGCCTCAGTGAGTCCCATGTTCAGGGATCGCATGACATAAGCAATCACGAGGCTGGCTGACCGTGATACCCCCAATTGACAGTGCACCAATGCCTTGCCTTGACCATTGTTGCAGGCTAGAGATTCATCAATCAGTTCAAATGCCTTTGGAAAGTCATTGAGAAGGTTTTTTTGGTGATGACTCCAGGAGAGACTCCTATAAGTAATACCACCACGGACGGTTGCTTCCTCAGTCGTGACTGAGTAGGCCGATGAAGAATCCTCTCGTGCGATTTCGATAGCCACGTTCAGTACAAACGTAATGCCCAGTCTCCGAAGTGTCTTGGTATCAGTAGCGTTATGTTCCGCTCCTAGATAGAGATTGGGGAGTACACAGACAGGTTCTGTAGTGTATGGTGAGGCAGCGCCACATTCTAGGCTATAGTCTGAGAAGTAGGCTGAAATCGACCGATGGTTGCTGGTGGCTGGCAGTGGCAGCCGTGGGGCTGGGAGAGCATCGTCAAGAAGCAGCTGACTATGCCGTTTTGAAGTCGGTGCTGGGATGCTTGACAATTTAGGGGAAGAGGCTGTTGTGGAAGGTGTAGTTAGGGAAGCGGACAATAATGGGGCGGGTGTGAAGGGTCTGCGAGTTGAAAAAGACGAGGATGGTGTTGGTGGGACCATAGAAAGGCTAATACCGTTGTTCTTTTTGACTACTGTGGTGTCAAGGTTGCTAGCACTGTTGCTATTGCTACAATTACTGGCGGCGATAGTATGGCTCGATGATGAAACTTTCAGAGACAGTTGTTTGGTATTACGAATCTTCTTGATGTCGTGGGCTGGCCGTGGCAAGTGTAGAGGAGGTGACAAAGGTGTGGAAGGCATAGAATATGAGGGTTGATGCGGCTCGCCCGAGGCTGAGCAGAGGCTATGAGATGGCATGATGGTGGATGTGGGTGTAGATGTGGACGATGTTGTTGAGGAAGCAATTGGGACAGACAAAGATGACTATGAGAAAGAATAAGATGATAGGTTTCTTTTGTTAATTTGGTATCGTTCACAACGGATATTGAAATGGAAGCTTGTTTGGATTCATTTACAAACAGATAGACAGACATTAACAAGGAAGAATGAAAGAAAGCAAGAAAGAGACAACGCGTAGTGCGAACGGACACATTCGGAGCCCTTTTATATTAGGACTAAAATAACATCACCTCATTTAAGAGTGTTCAGGGACAGGTAGAGTTTTACAAACAAAAACACAGACAAACGAACAACAACAAACAAACAATCCATCGATGAAATTAATCAAACACAATAGGAGTTTTTTTTATAAAAAGGAAATCACATCTCGTTTTTGATTGTTTGTTTGATCCTTGAAGTCTGTATGTTGGAAAAGGATGTAAAAGGATAATTCGCTTTTATGTCGCTCTCACACTCTCACTCTCACTCTCATAAGTGCTTCTACAGTAACATGGTGTCGGAGAGTTGATCCATTGACGGAAATAAGGCTCGAGGAGTCATTTATTGAATAGTTTGAAGAATGCAGTAACAAGTAAAGGCTCACCAAAGAGAAAGAGGAGTCCTATGCAAGGGTCGAGTGAGGGTTAAGAGCCAAACAGGGGTGGAGGGAAAGAGAAGAAATAGTCGTCCTAGTCCATCCATGACATATACCTCATATTGAGCACACAATCATAAACCTATTGAACGCCCATCGATAAAAAAAAAACCCCCCCTCCTTTCTAACTCTTCAGTCTGATGGTCATACAGCAAATATGGTAAGGTAGCATCTTATTGCCTGTCCATAATAAAACGTAGTGTATTTCTGCTCCAGCTCAACAAGATCAATTAAAAAAAAAAAAGAGCCCCCGAAGATATTACAAATATAATAAGCATAATAGTAATGATATCCCCTCTGAGATGAGGATTGGCCGTGTTTTTTAAAAAAAAAATCCTTACCACTGGGTATACATGATGGAGATGAGAGAAAGAGAGAGCAGAGCAGAGAAAAAGGGGGAAAGGGAAAGGGAAAGGGAAAGGGAAAGGGAAAGGGGAAAGGGAAAGGGAAAAAGGGAAAAAGGGAAAGAGCGTTTGACGTGTCTGTTTTTTTTTTTTTTTACATTTTATAAGGGTTGGAAAGAAGTAGCCAACCCAAGCCAGCGGACATCAACATCCATTTCTCCCGCGCTTCATGTCCAGATAAATACAGTAAAGAAAAGCAAACCCATACTCGCTTCTTTCATTATAATTATTGTTACTTTGTATAGTGCTTTCACTTTTTTGGTGCATACATTTAACATTTACTTGACGTCAAGAGTGATGATAGGTGTAAATCTGATCAGGGGAGTTGGACGTAAAATATTGTTCACATGCACAAAATAATAATAATAATAATAATAATAATAATAATAATAATAATAATAATAATAATAATAATAATAATAATAATAATAATAATAATAATAATAATAATAATAATAATAATAATAATAATAATAATAATAATAATAATAATAATAATAATAATAATAATAACAAAAATGACTGAAAGCATTTAATCAATAGCTCAGAATAGATAAGACCCAGTTTGGAGCCTTTAAACTGGGTCAAAAAGTAAAAAAAGATTGTTAGAAATAATGATGAATCAAGGGCAAATAGCCATGTTGTTACACTGTTGATTTAAATAGCTTAGTTGGTCGCTTTGACCAAAAAAAAATGTGATGTTTACGATGAATTGCATAGCGCCAGATGGGACACAAACTTTTTAGTGCAAAATTTGGTGCACAAGCGTAATTAAATAAAATTCACCGAAGAAAGAGTGCGTGGAACATCAAGGGGAAAAGGGCACAAGCGATGTGCATGATGCAATTGACACTAGGGGCAAATAAGTATATCAGGCATTGAGGTGTGCAAACCACATCATTAAGAAAAGAGGGAGAAATAAAAAAAGGAGGGGGGAAGTAGCTTGTCTCCATGCAGCTGATCTCTATTCCTTTTTTAGACTGTCTGCATGTGGGATGTTACGTAGTAACGGTGATAGCGACGATAACAATGATGGTCATAGAGCCAATAAAAAAAGGTGTAAGACCTACCAAAGACAGACTCGCTGCGAAATGTTTGTTCCTGTGGGTGAATGCAAGGGTGCAGAAGATTGGATTGGGAGCCGAGCAGAACTCACAAGAGCTGGTGAAGTGAATCTGTCTCGAAGGCTATGGTGGTTGTGTAATATGCCAGGTTGTTGGTAAGGGTCAGAGCTATGGATATAAGTGTATGTGCGTAAGTGTGTATGTATGGACGGGATAGGGAAAGTGAACTGTGGAGTCAAGATGGTGAATGAGATTGAATATGAGATTGAATGTGAATGTGAATGTGAATGTGAATGTGTGTGATCAGATTGTGCTTGTTCGATCGAGTCGATAAGAAGGGAAGGAGAAGAGGGAAGGAGGGGAAGAAGGAAGCGTTCACTTTTTCCCTTGTTCGCTTCGGATAGAGATGGATGACAAGTAGTAAGTACTTCCTCTTCTATGAATAACACAAAAAATATTTTTGTTAATTGACCTTCTTTCCTCTCATGGTCTAATATCAATAATGACCTGCATGTAATAAATAATAAAGTATAACATGTATATATCGCCAATTTTATTTGGTCACGATACCTTATATTTTAATCTAAAAACGATGATTGAATTGTTCTGGTGGCATCTCACTACGTGACGGACTTGCAACAATACTCGTAACAAGCGAGCTAATTGGCTGCCAATACACTCGAAAGTATTCAAAAAATATAAGGTATCGCGACCAAATGAAACGGGCTATATATAATAATGCTAAGTTGGGCGCCACGCGGGAAATTGCATTTTTTGATATCCAGTCCAAACGTAATTAAATTTTATTCATCTTTTATTTTTTTGTCCTCCAATCAGATTCATCTCATTCAAATTAAAAAAAACCAGTCCTACATTTAATAACAGTCCTGTGATTTGGTGGCCTTCTCCCCCTATAAATATCTTTGTTTAATTTGAAGAAAATTTTTCTTTCATTGAGTACAGCAATGTGCTCGTTGTTGGTTGTGAGATTCCTAGCGGCATCTCTAGACCAGATCGATGCTCTTCTTACTCGGTATATGATTTGTGTGATTCTTTTTTCTTATATCGAGAGGTAGCCAAGCCTTTCTCACACAAACACCTTTTTTTTTTAAAAAAAATTTTCAAATGGGAAAGGGAGAATGGTAAAGTCAAGTGTGTAGCATAATTGTAATACACATGATTGATTTTACATCGTTTTTTTTTTGTCAATCGATTTTATTTTCCATTTGTAAATGTCCTGCATCCATAAAAACAATATCTCAAAGGCATCCTCCAAACTAAGCACCATTGCTAAGAAGTTATGATCGGCAAATAAATCTGGAAGCAATGCGTTGCAAGGATGCAAAAGCCACACTATGGCCATGCTTCCGATCTTGTTTGGTTTTCAGGGTTATAGAAGTAGCAGCAGCAGAAGAACCAGGGTCGCTGACAGTGACGGAGAGAATATGCTTTTCTTTGCAGAAGAATACATCATCCTCACTTAAGAAACCACTATCCTTGCGGTCATGACGGGTCTTATCGTCTAGCCGTACCTTCATGGGGCGACCTATCACGTAAACAGGGCGGATCATCGACGTATCCCATCGTCTTTTGACATTCCCGTTTTCTTTATCTTCCTCTTCTTCATACGCCTTCATGGCGCCGTAATTTTTATCGACTCCTATAGACGGGTTGTCATCAAGCTCTAAAAAGCAGATCATATCATGGTCATTCTGCTTAGCAGACTCCGTGAAAACTCTTTCCCGCCTCGCCTCTTCTTTGTTATATCCGTCTATTCTTTTGCAAAAGAAAGCCTCAGCCTGATTTCTAAATGGAAAGGAGCATGGGGTCTCACAGTGTGCTTCTGTCTTGAAAGATGGAGAAGCACAGGGTTCCAACAAATTATGTGAGATCATGTCTGGGATTTCACCAAGCTTGAGCTGAATTTCCCAAAGGTTTGAGTAGCTATAGGGACTCGCATCGGGTTCGTCCTCGAGTGTGACATAGGAGCCGTATGAGTTGACCTGAGAGGACAGTGAACGGAAATGAAGACTAGTAGAGCTGCTCCAACTAGGTGCGTTGCCGCCATTGGCATGGAAGTTGACCCAATAGTCTGAGCGCAATTTGTTGTTATTGTCTGAGTGCGTGCATTTGAGAAAGCAAGATGTTTGAGCAAATGTAAAAGTATCAAATGCATAGCAAGAGTTTGATCAGAGCAGAGTGATACCTGGATACATTTTTTTTGTTGTTTTTGTCGTTTCTGTACATAGTTCAATGATGGATGTATGGTTTGTCCTTATCAGTTGAGCCCAGTGAGAGTGGCTGTCGTCAAGAAAAGGGAAGCGACCACTATTATTATTATTATTAATTTTTTTTTTAAAAAAAAAAAAAAAGAAGAGTAGCCTCTTGTAAAGAGTATTTATTGCAAATGTCCAAGTGTTCACTTCTTTTGTACAAAATATCCTTTATGTATGCCTAGAGAAACAAGAGTTGGTACATGTAATGTAGGTTTGTTCTACAGGTTTGCCTGCCCCATCAGTGTGGATGTGGTTTTAAGCATAACATTGCCATTGTATAACTTCTCATTCATGCGCAGAACAAAAAAAAAAAAAAAAAAGCACAACCGCATCAAACACAAGCTCGCCCAAAATGCCTAAATGCACTCCACGCAATTGTCTATGTCTTTGCTTTCGTGTCATTGCATTTTATAGAAGGCTTTTGATGAGGTGTAAGAAAATAAAATGTGGTTCTGCTACCTCAGTTTTTCCTTTCTTTTATTATTGTTTTATTTTTTTTGCAGATAATCCAATTGACCAAGAAAGCGGTGGATTCTAAAACAAGAAGAGATCATCCCTAAACCTCTGTCACTACAGTTGAAGGTCGAATACAAAGAGTTTGGACTGCCCTCCAATCTAGGATACATTGCGCTTTTCTTTACTGCTTTTTTTTCTCCAGTGAAAGTGTGATTCAGGGTTCTTTATCCACTCCAACCTGTCATTTCCTTTTTATCTAGAGTGCATAAATATTCATAGCGCGAAACCACGAGTGGGACTTTTTTTTTTTTACAACGTGTCGTTTTCGCGTGCGCGGAACTGTCGTGTTTGTTGAATCCGCCTACGGATTTCTCATTGGTTGTCACTGAGTGACAATAACCCTTAATAAATCGTCAATGCTTCTTCTGCCTTCTATGAGTTCAGTGCATGGTTTAAAGTATTGTGAGGCAACGACATTAGCTTTCATTCTTCAACTCATCCATCGAGCCATATTAAACATCATATCATGTATGCAGCACAGCAGAGCGCCAGTTTGTTCCTTGGAGGAGAGCGCACCACAGGACAGAACATCAGGGATCAGAATGGTATTGATTATACTTTGAAGCTTTTTTTTTTTTGTTCGAACCAGAGCTGTCGACGAGGAAACATGCTGTAGATACGACGTGATGCCATACATTCAACCCCACTATTGCCTGCCTTATAATGTGCGTTACGACTGACTCTCTAATTTTTTTTTATACAATTACGCGCTCATGTTAGTCCTTGCTACGTCCTCGATTGCCAACATTGTCAAGTCATCTCTTGGACCCGTTGGTCTGGACAAAATGATTGTCAATGAAATTGGAGTAGGGAATTTTTTTTCTTTTTTTCATCCTTTTCTTTAAGTTGAAGAAAGCCGTCAATTGCTAAAAATAGATTCTTTATCTGTTAGGATGTTACTATCACTAATGACGGAGCCACCATCCTCAACATGCTGGAAGTGGAGCACCCTGCAGGGAAGATTCTTGTCGAGTTGGCTCAACAACAGGATAAGGAGGTGGGTGATGGTACCACATCGGTTGTAATCATTGCTGCCGAACTCTTGAAAAGAGCCAATGAGCTTGTCAAGAACAAGATTCACCCCACTACCATCATTACTGGATACAGATTGGCATCAAAGGAGGCATGCAAGTTCATTGCTGATCAAATGTCGATCAAGGTTGAGGCCCTTGGACGCGATTGTCTTGTCAATGCTGCAAAGACTAGTATGTCCAGCAAAATCATTGGGTCGTAAGTCGGAAAAGTTATTTTATTTTATTTTTTTGAAATTCCCAAAGGAAGAAGGGAATGCTGCTGGGAAAATCCGGGTTGCTTGAAGTTTATGATAAGTGGTCTGAAAATGAAGTTTTTTTTTCTTGCTTATTCAACCATGTTCATAACATTAGCCATGATGAATTCTTCTCAAATATGGCTGTGGATGCTATGTTGGCCGTTAAGACGACAAACAGTCGTGGTGAACACAAATATCCTGTTAAGGCTGTCAACGTATTGAAGGCTCATGGAAGGAGTGCAACCGAGTCTATGTTTGTCAAGGGGTATGCCCTCAACTGCACAGTTGCCAGTCAGGCAATGAAAACCAAAGTTACCAATGCCAAGATCGCTTGCTTAGATATCAACCTTCAAAAAGTTCGCATGAACTTGGGAGTACATATTCAAGTAGATGATCCTGATAAGCTTGAGGATATTCGCAAGAGGTAAACAAAAAAAAAAAATCTTCATGCTGGCTTCCAGAACCTGACAAAGAAAAAGATTACAATTAAGGGAAGAAGAATGTTACCAACGATTGCCTTTTTTCTATCTATTTATACTATCAACTGATCAGGGAAAGTGATATTACTACGGAGCGTATCAAAAAGATCCTTGCTACAGGAGCCAATGTTATTTTAACGACAAAGGGGATCGATGACATGTGCTTAAAATTGTTTATTGAGGCTGGCGCCATGGCTGTTCGTCGCTGTAAGAAGGAAGATCTTCGTCGCATTGCCAAAGCTACCGGCGCCACCTTGATCTCAACGCTGGCAAACTTGGAAGGTGAGGAGACATATGATGCTTCCTACCTGGGACATGCAGAGGAGGTTGTTCAGGAGAGGATCTCGGATGATGAGTGCATCTTGATCAAGGGTACCAAGGCTCAGTCGTCCGCATCGATTATTCTCCGTGGTGCAAATGACTTTATGTTGGATGAAATGGAACGCTCGCTACATGATTCGCTCTGCGTTGTAAAAAGGACATTGGAGAGTGGAAGTGTCGTTCCCGGAGGCGGTGCAGTGGAGACTGCATTGAACATTTATCTTGAGAATTTTGCAACTACTCTGGTTAGTAATGTCTGGAGCGAATTTTCTTTGTTTTCATTGACGCACATTCGTAAGCTACACTAAGTGTTTAACACCGTTTTCTTTCGCTGACAATATGCATATAGGGCTCGCGTGAACAACTAGCTATTGCAGAGTTTGCTAGCGCCTTGCTTGTGATCCCCAAGACGTTAGCAGTCAATGCTGCCAAGGATTCCACGGATTTGGTGGCCACACTTCGTGTCTACCATAATGCCTCTCAGAACGATAAGGCGCGCCAGGGCTTGAAGTGGTATGGTCTAGACTTGATTAAGGGAGAGCTCCGTGATAATGTTCATGCTGGGGTTCTTGAGCCAACATTGTCCAAAGTCCGAGCGCTGCGGTCGGCTACAGAGACTGCACTATCCATTCTACGTATTGATGACATGATCACAGTAGCACCTGAGCAAAGAGGAGAGCAGGATGATGGCCATGGACATTAAAAATCATAGACATTTATTACATGGACTTTTTAACGGTAGAAAAAAAAAAAAAAGTGTTTTTCCCCTCTTTGTTATGTATTTTCGACTAAAAGATACCGATTTTTTTTAATGAGATGGTTTAGTACGAAGTGAGCAATAAGACAAAGTGAGAGTTTAGCTATTAATAACGGGGGGGGGGGAAGATGGATACGACCTTGTTATCGGTTTGGTTCATGGATCTGATAATTGAAAGAGATATTGCGAGTGCTATGCCGTTGTTGCTGTGGATCATGTTGTTCCGAACATTAAATTGGAATGATACATTGGTAGAAGGATCATGCAGAACATTGGAGTTATGGCTGGTGTTTCCTGCCTTTTCAAGGGCTGTACTGAACCCGCTTGAGTTGGGTAAATCGCATGTCGTCGTCGGCTAGTTCTGAGCACCACGAGCCGCTCTGATCACTAGCACAGAGACAGCTTATGCCCTGGAGTTTCGTCTGAATAGAGGACATAATTATTAAAATGCTGCTCAAATTGCTTTATTAATACCATAGTCCCTTTGCTTCCCAAAAATATGTGACACCTTTTATTTTTATGTCCTTTACAGTACTATCTAGAGAAGGAGGAGTAAATATATTTGATGTTGCTGTCGTATTGTGCTGACGACCCATGGATGTGTGATAGTATGCAGAAACAAACCGAATAGAAAGGCTACAAAAAAAAAAATTATTATATGGGGCAGTAATAACGGAGACAGCACGATCATAATACTTCGCATAGCTCATTCCGTGCGCTGCTTCTTGGCTGCATGGGGCTCCAGCTCATCCATCTTTTTACGGAGATCCTCATATTCCTTCTTAAGTCTCTCATGTTCCTTACTGAGGCCTTCAAAAGTCGCTTCCGAGACGCTTTTCTCTAAAATGTAACCGTTCATCTCCGCCCTAGTTGCATCCAACAGCTCCTTCTCTGCAGCAAGGCGTTCATTCTCTGCAAGGATCGTTTGAATATACTTGACCGCCTGTCTCAGAATTGAACCCTTATTTTTATCGCAGTTAGGCACTGCCTTGGCGATTTCATTGATGCCCTCGTTAATAGTTTCTCGGCGTCTACGCTCTACTTCCTTGTGGTTATCGCGGCGCATTTTGTGCCATTCATCTGATCCTGGAACAGGCTTGGCAGGCGGTGCTTGCGGACTATAAGTCAAAGATCAACAGATAGGTCATACCACATTAATATAAAGCTTTGTATATAGAAAGCTACACCAAATACGTCGCCATTTCTCCAGCAGTTTGGATCAACTGTATAGCTTACACCGATACTGATGTGATAGGAACGGTAGCCAAGGTGCTTCCAGTATCCACAGCAACACTAGCAATTTGCTGCAGCACTTCATCTTGGTCTACTACTACCTGCGCGGCGGTTTGTTCTGATGCTTGAGTCCGGCCCTCTTGTTGCTGTGCCTGCAATTTCTGCTCCTGTCGATACTGCTCTGCAATGCGCTGAAGTTCTTCGCGTCCGTTTAGTTGTTCTGTGATGGTGGTTGTAGTGGTGGTCCCGCTAGTAGTTGCAGTAGTATTAGCAGTAGTGGTATTCTCATTTACTTCTGTACTAGTAAGGGTAGTAGAGGTTGTTGCGCCAACATCAATGGCAGAGACATTCCCTGAAGACGCTACTCCAGCACCGGTAGTAACTGGCGTTTCTACTGCAGCAGCGAGCGCAGATGCCGCAGCGGCGGCCTTGGCCGCAGCCTCTTCCCTATCGTGCTGGGCAATGGCTGCAGAGAAAGACTCTACAAAAGCCCTGTCATTATCTCCGCTAACACTTGCTATCGAGTCAGTCTTGGTATAATTATAAAAGTGAGATTTTGAATCATGCTTTGCTGCTCTTGAAGGGAGCAACAGTTTTCGATTGTTGATATAGTTAATTTGGGCCCCTACCAGAGTTTTAATTGCTTCTTGAACTTCCTGGTTTGTCGCCATAGCAACTAACGTCTAGTCAGAGACTATTTCAAAGATATATCAGAGGGAAAAGATAAAGTGATTGCTTAATATCTAATTTTTTTTTTTTTTTTTTTTTTGAAGTGTTGCCATTTTCTTTTTCTTTTTTTTTTCTGAGATGTTATTCCATGCTAACGACCAGAAAAAAAAAAAAAAAAAAAAATGAACGAAGCGCGTCATTTCTCCTGTCCATCAAGCAGTTATGTCACTTTGGTTCTTTGGAACAAGACTTACGATGCTGTCTGCCCTTTTAGTTTGCTCTTGTATCCAAAAAGAGAAAAATGGTTATTCCTATTGTCCTATTGTCGAAAGGAAGAGCAAAGAAAGAAGAGAGAATGAAAAAAGCCCCGTGATGTTGCAGTTTCCTCCCGTGACAAAGTATATCTAAGCCACTTCCATTCATCAGCCCGGTGGCACTGCACACACAATTGTAACCATTTTAACAACATTGGTCTATCAACACCCATCAACGGCAGAAAGAACGGCAAATAGCATCAAATTTATTTATAGTCTACTTCTTGTACCGTTGCAACACGTGTCGACCTTCATTTTACTTTAAATTGTTTTGCTATGTTATCTGTTAGGGCCCTGATACTTTAACTATGAGTCTGATAAATCGTTCGGCGCTTGTTCATGGCGTATTGTCGGAGATCCTGAGCCAGAAATCATATAAAAACTCTGTATCAAACCAGGTGCAGACATCATTAAACGCCTTCCGTGACACTATACTCGTTATATTCAGTTCAAGAACTGGATCGGTGCCGTCATATGGTATCCATTGCACACTGGTAACATCTGGATTAGTAGCCTCAAACCCTTGAATGTCTGGTTTGGGATTGGGATCTCCGGTCTTGGCAAATGCTGTGAACCGATCCACAACCTGGCGGGCGAATCGCGCATCATCTCCCTTTTGTGAATGTCCTGGGACAGAAGCACCACTCGCAAACACAGGTTGGATATCACTACCATGACAGACACGACCTGTGTTTACTGAACAATAGGTACAACCAACAAAAGGAAAGTTGCGACCATAATTGAATCGGGCTTTGTATATCTTCTTGTTCTTGGCGATTTGACGGCTGAGATAGCGAAGAGGACAGAAAAAGAAATATTGGGCTCCAGCATAGTTGACCAGATTACGAGCCCCGTCTGGGTCATTGGGGTCAGGTTGAAAGTACTCTGACTTCAAGAGCTTGTCAGCTCGGCTGGTATCAAAGAAGAGGTCCAGAGTCACTGACGCATTCTTTGGATCGATGACTTTGGGGAAGTGATGGGGAATAAACCGACCGACCTCATCCTTAGTACTGCTCCACATGATATTGGCCTTGGTATTGTACTTGCCTGTCTTGACCAGCTGTGAGAACTCTGCGGGGATTAGTTGACCATCAATCGTAGGTCGCTGCACAAGGATTTCAGTAGCCCATTTGTTTTCTGCAAGCATCCTTGAATTGGCAACGATCTGCGCTTTTATGATTTTTTCCATGCTTCTGGAACGAGCACAGTTCAGATCCGTGACACCGCAACCGAGAGCCTCCATGAAGTAGTTAGTGACTCGTGCAGATGTCAAAGGAAGATCAAATGGGATATTGATGGGATCACTTTGGGCGATGATACTCTGATAGAGCCCCCAGGTGGAGGGAGCTGAAAGCAAGGCACGGATACTAGTCGCACCTGAACTCTCACCAAAGACTGTCAGTCGATTGGGATCTCCTCCAAACGATGCAATATTCTTTTTCACCCATTGGAGAGCTAAAATTTGGTCACGAAAAGCTTGGTTACCAGGGATGGATGACCTCGGCCATACATCCTCATTCTCCAAAAAACCAAGTAAACCAAGACGATAGTTGAAGGTGATAACAACAACTCCTCCACGAGAGACCATGTTACCAGGCTCAAATACGGCTGTCGAACCAGAAAAGCTATAATGCCATATAAAAAATGGTTGGTTGTTAGACATCAATACCACTGATTGAGGCAAACTAGCTACAACAGTTATAGTAAGCAAGCAGGATAATAAATGTTTACCTGGTATAACTCCCGCCATGGATATAGAACATCACTGGCAACAAAGGTTCGTTAGGGCCCTTTAAACTAGGAGTATAAACATTCAAATATAGGCAGTCCTCACTTTCTGGGGCTTCGTTTTCGAGATAGCTAATGATTTTAGGGGTAATTCCTGTAGTTTGAGGACAAACACTCTTGTAGCGGATTGCATCCCAAGTTTGCTTGAAGGGAGCTTTGGCGACAGGAGCGGCAAATCGCAGATCTCCGACAGGTGGCTCAGCATAAGGGATTCCCAAGAATCGGAATGCATTCTGGTCACGCCAACCTTGGATGGAACCTATAGGTGTGTTGACCCTGATTTGACGGGAAGTATCTTTTGAAAAGTGCTTACAGCGCTTTACGCTGTTGAAGCAGACCGTGGGTAGTTGTGTAGTGCATGGAATCCAATCAGTTCTCCCTGTGTTTCTATTGACTGCCAAACAGTTGTCCACCACACCGGGCATAGCTGTGTATAGTTCCCAGAAACCACAGTAGTGGATGGAAATACAACGAAGTAAGAATGTATATGAAAGCATATCGCACGATAATACAAAGAACTTTTTCAGCATTGATTTGAATCGTTGATTAGATCTACCATTATAAATCCAGAACTGAGAGAAAGCAGACGCTTCCTTCTGCGCAGGTGCATTCTTCTTCAGCAACGAAACTAGACTGTTGGCACCAACTGTTCCAGGGACGAAAATGTATCCACCTAAATAAATGAAGCAACAAATAAATTAGGCTAAAATGAAAAATAAGCTGCTCGGGTTGCTCTGTAGGGCATGCGTCGTGATAAACGCAGCAGCAGATTTTTTTTATTATTATCATTACCAATCGCCACTTATATAAACATACTATCACCCATAGACGCGCAGGCTTCCATGCCATCATAGTATCCTCTTGGCTTTGAAAGTAATAGGAATGCATGCTTGGCTGTGGAAGAGTCGACATCATTTTCCAGAAGCAGATGGGCCCCACCAATGTCGCTCGCTAGAGGTCCTGCTAAAAACGGAGCATGACCTACGGTTGGTGCTGCAGCATCTGAGACTCGAAAGTGAGATGCTACTAGGCATAGAGCTAAAGTTGCGGATGTTGATCTTAGCATAAACATAATGTTGAAGTTACTGTTGCTCTTGTAGTAATTTATAGCCGCCAGTACAGCGGAAGCAGGGAATGAAAGAAGATTCGTTGGGTGTGCCAAAAGGGAAAAGCTTGGTGCTTTTCGTAACAAATAGGTTTGGGTAAGAGGAAAGAGGGAAAGAAAAAAGAGAAAAAAACTCTTCAAAATAGCAAGACAGGGCTGTCATGAGGGTGCTTTAAAAGACACTAGGAAAAAAATGAGAGAAGAGGTGCCCATAGTACCAAAGGCAGTTATGGGGGCAAGAGATTGACCAAAGCTTGCAGCATAAAGCAGTAAATACAGCAGAAGAAGCCTAAGGCACTGAAGCAGTAGCAACGGGGAAATTATGACAGCTTAAATCACGGATCTATCAGTAACGACAAAAACAGAGTGCTATGTTGGCAAGCGCCCTCTGCAGTAGGTATATTGTAACAACCATTACAATGATATATATAGGGCCTGGATATACAACGTGCGTTTGGAGTATCTGTCGAAGATTAATGTTCATGGGAATGAGGTTACTGCTAGATCCGGTAACGGGGCGATAGCTAAATCTGGTTCTACCCGGATGACTCTGTGATAAACATTGGTATAGACAGTTAACATCGCATCTGGTGTGGCCATGCCTATCTAGAACCAAGACTTTAAAGATACCATTCATGGACTTATGGACCTATGGAAGAGTAGCAGAGTACGTACCATCAGCATACGCCGGATTCTGTGACTTATTTGCGGAAACCCACATTACTCCCAGGAATATATTTATCAATGTATTCGTAGCCGTTACCCGTCTGTAGCTTCATTGCCGGCGTGTTCCGCATGGTCACGCGCCTATTGGGCTCTAGTTCCCCTTCCCTTCACACACTGTAGGATTGTTAGGCTACTGCCCGCCATTGTGCGCCAGCGCCATTCAGCTGTTTATGGCTGCTAGTGCTGGACTAACAAGTTGCAATTGTCTACGGCACCGCTATTGCCTATGAATACATTGATGAATGTACTCCTGGGAGTAATGTGGGTTTCCGCAAATAAGTCACAGAATCCGGCGTATGCTGATGGTACGTACTCTGCTACTCTTCCATAGGTCCATAAGTCCATGAATGGTATCTTTAAAGTCTTGGTTCTAGATAGGCATGGCCACACCAGATGCGATGTTAACTGTCTATACCAATGTTTACCACAGAGTCATCCGAGTAGAACTGGATTTCGGTATCGTCGCGTTGCTAGATCTAGAAGAAGCCTGTATGCCTCTTATTTTCTTTAGTATCAATAATTTTCAATGCTCCAAGAGTATGCTCAATATATCCAGCTCCTATACTTGAACCATCGAAAAGGCCGCCACAGGTGTGCCTACATGCAAAAGGTTCGCGCTGCCGCGCTTTCCTCGCCGGACTTAGTAATCCCTGCTGCCTTTACACTTTCTATTACTGCTGCAGTAACACATGGTGCTCCCTCTGTTGCTCCATTTGCCTTGGTGTTTCAAGCTTCGTTCGTCTCTTTTGCTCACGCAACTGCCTCTTGCATTACAAGCATCTCTCCTGTCATTTATTGCCTAAAGTCTTTTGGAACGCTCTCTTAACAAACCCGTATTACAATTTCGCGGAAGGATATAGTCGCCTCTCTCCCGCAACGCGTCATCCACGCGACCACTCCGTGGCCTTTTTTTTTCTTCCGCTCTCTTATCTCCATTGTTAAAGAGCATCAAGTTCTCTTCCCTATCCTACACAGTAAATCCTCATATACTCCCTCGGTCCACTGCACAAGCGATCCGAAAACACTTACAAGCTTATGATTTTACTCAAACCAACGTCCACAGGTCTAGCTACATGGCTAGCAGCTATTTGTTTTCAGGTTTCGAGTGCTGCACCGACGCCTCCTAGGCCATCACCACCATCCGTAAAATTTGCTCTGCTCCCAAATGCTCCTCTAGCAAGCGATATTGGCGGAGCCCATCTGCTCTTGAAGAATGACGCTGACTCTTCCACAGCCAAGCCTGCATTCTTGTTGCTTTCAAAACCCAGAGGATATCATGGTGGCATGAAAGCCTGCTGGTCCATAGGCGATGGTATGCCTATATGCATGGTTAATAAGCGATGATTATTGGTAATGATCATACATATACCTAACTGTTAATTACTTTACTTATTTAGGTGGATACATCTTCATCCCTGGGACAGCTGGCGCCAACAGCCTAGTCTCATTGTTGAAGAGGAATGCGCCTGCGCAAATGGAAGTGTCTAATTCCTCTCAATTCTGGGTTTACAACGGTAATGTACTGATTAGATCTGGATTAGATCTGGATTAGATCTGAGCAACGATCCAAATCGATACTAAAGAAGTTATTTGGATTTCCACTTTTTCCTTATTTCCCACTCATTCATCTCATTTTCACTGTTGGGAATTGTACACAGCTTTTCCCGGTGTACTGGGAAAATGCTTGGCAGTCAATAAGGAAACTGAGGGAACTGATTGGATTCCATGCGATACACAACTACCCACGGTCTGCTTCAACAGCGTGATGCGTCGTATACGTTTGTTTGATGATGTTTCTCGCCAAATCAAGGTCAACACGCCTGTAGGTCCCATCCAAGGTTGGCATGATCAGAATGCATTCCGGTTCTTGGGAATCCCTTATGCTGAGCCACCTGTCGGAGATCTACGATTTGCCGCCCCTGTCGCCAAAGCTCCCTTCAAGCAAACTTGGGATGCAATCCGCTACAAGAACATTTGCCCCCAAAGCTCAGGGTTCCTCGCTATGATCAAGAGCTACCTTGAAAACGGAGCGGGGGAAAGTGAGGATTGTCTTAATTTGAATGTTTATACTCCTAGTTTAAAGGGCCCTAATGAACCTTTGTTGCCAGTAATGCTTTATATCCATGGAGGGGGATTTATTGAGTAAAGCTTTATCCTGTTTGTTTATTGCTTACTGTAGCCATCGTTAGTAGTTTGCCTCATCTAGTGACATTGGTGTCTAACAACCATCATTTTCTATATGGCATTATAGCTTTTCTGGTTCGGCCATCATATTTGAGCCCGGTAACATGGTCTCTCGTGGAGGAGTCGTTGTTGTTACTATCAACTATCGTCTTGGTTTACTTGGTTTTTTGGAGAATGAGGATGTATGGCCGAGGTCATCCATCCCTGGTAACCAAGCTATCCGCGACCAGATCTTGGCTCTCCAATGGGTGAAAAAGAATATTGCATCGTTTGGAGGAGATCCCAATCGAGTGACAGTCTTTGGTGAGAGTGCAGGTGCGACTAGTATCCGTGCCTTGCTTTCAGCTCCCTCTGCCTGGAAACTCTATCAGGGTATCATCGCCCAAAGTGATCCCATCGACATCCCATTCAATCCCCCCTCATCGGCTGCGGAGAATACCAACTACTTCATGAATGTTCTTGGCTGTAATGCTACAGATATAACCTGCGTCCGTTCCAAACCTACATCTGATATAGTAGAAGCACAGATCGCTACTAATAAGAAGGCGCTTGAAGAGCGCAAATGGAGCACTGAGGCTCTTATCCAGCGTCCTACAGTCGATGGCCAACTGATCCCCGCGGAGTTCTCACAGCTGGTCAAGACAGGCAAATACAACACCAAGGCCAATATCATGTGGAGCACCACCAAGGATGAGGCTGGTCTCTTTATTCCTCGCTACTTTCCTGAACCAGTCCCTCCAGCCAATGCATCATCGGCTTTGGAATGTGTCTTTGAGTCTGACCGAGCTGCCAAGCTCTTGGCCTCAAAGTACTTCCAACTCGACCCCAACGATCCGGATGCAGTTCGTAATCTTTTCACTCGTACTGGAACCCAATATTACTTTTTCTGTCCTCTTCGCTACATTAGTAATCAAATTGCCAAGAACAAGAAGATATACAAATTCCGGTTCAATCGTGGTCGTGATACTCCTTTTGCCACTGCCAGTTATTGTTCATCGAGCACAGGTCGTGTCTGTCATGCTGCAGACATTCAAAGCACGTTTGCGAGTGGTGCTGCATTCCCAGGCTATGTACAAGAAGGAGACGATGCTCGCTTCGCTCGCCAGGTTGTAGATCGATTCACAGCATTTGCTAAGACCGGAGACCCCAATCCCAAATCAGATCTCCAAGGGTTTGAGGCCACTAATCCAGATGTGACTAAAGTGAACTGGATACCATACGACGATACCCACCCGGTCCTTGAACTGAATCTTAAAAGCTCAATGTCGAGGAATTCGGAGAAAAATGTCTGTACCTGGCTTGAAACAGAGTTTTTATTTGATTTCTGGCTCAGAATCTCCGGCAATATGCCATGAATAAGCGTTGAAAGGAATACCAAAGCCATAATCAGGACATTAGGGTGCGAGCAATCCTATTACTAATGAACATTTAATAATCAAGCAAATAAAATAAGGGCTGATGTCAGACACAAAAGTATTGCGAAAAGCACCAGGGAATGAAATGACATATCCGCAGCGGTGGAACAGACCGATGGGAAATGGTCTATCTTATTTGCCAACTTGCGTGTGAATATAAACAATATGGGCATTAGGGTTGCTTCGCCCAACTTTGTAGCTTGTACTTGGAATGTCTTTATTTATTATGACATGATAGGCACAAATCACTCTACTTTGTTTTTCTCACTCTTTCCTTTTTACATATTGGACTGTGGCATTTGAGTTACATTGGAAACACGGAACCATGCGTTGTTCATAACTCCTCTGTAATTCCAAACTGGGAACTCTGGCTGCATATTACCGCTTGAATCGTCTATTGAAGTCAATAAAAAGCGTGATGAAGATGAAGAAAGAGTGATGTTAACATTTTCTTTTGCCTTATTGAGCAACTGTCAGAATACAGGGAGACAACTTGTTTTTTCTTTTCTTGAGCTGGCCTTACACGCACGAACAACGAGCTCCGACGTAGTATGGAGCTTGAGCACTTTCTTCTCCCATAAGGCCCAAGACCAATACATCCCACTGATCTTGTCAGGAGTCTGCTCGAGCTTATCGACTGCTTCCCATGTCTTACCGCCATCAATAGACAGTTCTACTCGATAGATGGCACGTCCACCACCCGCAATGGCGTAACCTTTAATAGTGATGGCTTTTGATGAGCAGATGATTTCCTTGTCCATCGGTGTGCAAATGACACACTGGACATTCATTTCTCCTAATGAAGGCGCCAGGTCCCAGGCGCTGTCCACGTTTGATGCGTCCACCTAAGGAATCAAGAGAGCAAACAACCGAGCAAACAACCGAGCAAACAACCGAGCAAACAACCGAGCAAACAACCGAGCAAACAACCGAGCAAACAACCGAGCAAACAACCGAGCAAACAACCGAGCAAACAACCGAGCAAACAACCGAGCAAACAACCGAGCAAACAACCGAGCAAACAACCGAGCAAACAACCGAGCAAACAACCGAGCAAACAACCGAGCAAATGGAGAAATAGACAAGCGATTGGGGTCGCAAAATAAGTGATATATGATGACGGATTAAGATACAGTTAGAGACAGAGGGCTTATTAAGGATTAACATTAGTCCAGGATTAACATTAGTCCAGGATCGCCTTGAAAGTCATTAAAAAAAGCTTACCCATGGAGGAAGAATCTTATAATCTAGTTTCTACAAAAAAAAAAAAAAAAAAAAAAAAAAAAGAGAGGATAAATCTCTTTTTTTGCTTCTTAACAGTGCATGCCTGATCTATTGAGTTTGTGTGTTGTACCTGAAAGAAGGAATTTGATTCTTGTGGTTGCACAACAATCTTTTGGAGAAACTTGACTGAGCGAGCGCCAATGTAGCCTGGAACGATGACTCGGAGTGGAAATCCATGGTCGCGAGTCAGTGGCTTACCGTTCATCTGCAAAGCAGATTAGCATAAAATAAACCGTAATAAACGTGTTAGCTTACTATGTAAGCGCCTATCAAGTTGAACATCATAAAATTTGTATGTATGACAATTGTATATATTTTACCTCATATGCGAGAATGACGTCTCCTAATGGATCCCTTGTTAAGGAAAAAAAAAAAAAAAAAAAAAAAAAACAAATTAGGAACACTTCCCCCTTCGCTTTGTTAACTTCGTTTCCAATGCGTATCTTCTCAAATGTTTCCATGTCCCACGGAGGACATGGTTGTTTCAATCGACATACATGGCCTTACGTAGGGGGATAGAGCTACCGTAGCAAACATCCTCCTTAACATGGTCGTCTGCTTCAAAGGAGACGTGGTAGTTTCGGATCATCTCATGATGAAGGTCTTCTGGTACACCAGCGACATTCCGAAGGATATCGCACAGACGAGGACCAGCCCAAACAGCCTATTAATGGGTGAGAAGGAAAGATTAGTACGATCTCCACATATTTTATAAGTCGTAGTATTTCCTTTATTCTCTCAGGAATGGCTTTTGTACGTAAATTGTGATACATAAACAATAGTGGGAAGAATCAAAAAGGGAACAAATAACAATAGACAGACGAAAGATGGAAGGGGTGGTCATGCGCCCTGTGGGGAGCAAATAAAATAAGGTTATGTCGTCAGATGGCGAAAAGCAAAAATAAAAAAGTATGACAGTGTGGCAAATGAGGAGCAATTATTAAAATAGCATTGTATTTCTCCACTTCGCTCTTTGTCATATTGTCCAAAGACAATATCTATTCGATTGGGAAATAAAACAGAGGAAGGACCATCAAGGTTAAAAGCTACCTACATTTGATATTGTGCCAGCCTTCCAAATGACTCCTTTGACCTCCTTGACTTGTGCAAGGCCCTCTCGACGATTTCCTGCGCACTGAGCATAGAGAAAAGAAAAAGGAGAAATGGCAGGCAAAATCAGTGATTTCTCTCGCTTGTTTCTTAAAGATGATATACAAGAGATATACGCGAGAGACTTACCTGCAGAGAAGCTGTAATAGTGGCCTTAGGCCACTTGTTCATGATATCATCCATGGTCAAAACTTTCCATTCAACAATATCCATTGGCGCTGCTGTTAGTCCATTTCGATTGCTCTGGTTCTGTCTCTGGACTCCAATGTAAATTCGATGGTCTTGCAGTCGAATGTCCGGGATAGGACCATGATTCCTCTTGAAGAACACATCCGTCGGAGTGATGTGACCAGAGTTGATAAGGAGAGGAAGATGAGGCTCAGCATTGAATGGTTTAGGTGCATGAACCAGGTAGTTAGAGAGGATCCGAGGCGGGTCCTGTGAATAATCCAGATCGCATAGCTCCTTTTTGCAATGCTCTGGAGGCTGGATGTGAATATGCTCTTGTTGGTGTGTTGTGCTGCTGGTGAAATCTGGGCGAAATTCCATGGTGAATTCCAGACCGTGTAACAGACGTGAAACAAAGGACTATTAAACTGTGAGTAGTGATAGAATTAAAGCAATTGAAGTAGCAGTAATACGAGAGTTAATGTGTATACAAGGTAAAGTAAACTGGAGAACGAAATGAAGGAATGTCGAGAATGTTGAGATGAATGAGATGTGGAATGGGAATGTAATAGTTTAGAACCACACACTCAGTCTATTTGCATTTGCATATTTTTATACACATCCGTCCTTTTGCCTTCATCCTTTGCTCTTCAGTCTCAACCCACGCAATGGGCAGAATATTGTATCGCGGACTGCCCTATAAAGTTGGCACAACTTGCCAGCTTGGAGGTCCATGAACTGTCGCGAGTAAAATATAGAAGTAAGAGATGTAAGGATAGTATTAGGATTGTATATTCGTGACTAAGATCTGCGTCAGACATGGTCCAGAAGGTTATTGGCAGAGGTATCAGAGTGGCAGCTCAGAAGCTCGTTTACCTGACTTGGGCGACTGGTAACTGGTTGAATCCGGTCAGGTATCGACACTTATGGATTTGAATGCCTAATCCGTGTCAGAAGATAATCAAGAGCACGTAGCTACTTCCCGACCGTCCAATATCTACTAGAAGCAAGTTGCTAACACAAAATCACTTAACGCTAATGGCACCAAGCTTCGAAAGGCTTTTTGGTGGAGGGATTATTATGTGGATACTAGGCACATTGCATTCTTCACTGACCTAAACCCGCCAGTAAAAAACACAAGGTATCCCTATTGGTGTTTGACATTGACATGGAAACTGACGATGTGATGGGGACCCGGGGAGTAAAGCCCCCAGTCTCCCGCTGATTCTCCCCTATATGCTTTACTTATAGTTATGAAGACTCTTACTTTTTGAATCCTTTCATACCATACGTACGCATGACACAAAGGAGTGGTGATCTTGCTCTTCCTCAATGTACCATTTCAACATAATAAGCGTAGTGGTGTTTCCGCTTTCGAATGAACCCCGATTATTGAGCCGTTGGCTGAACTTTATCTGATTAATGAGATACAACCAATTTCGTCTTTAAGCTAACATTGGTGGACTTGGCTATGCTCTTTCTGGATAATAAAGCCTGTCATCGCCTAGATACAGTAGGATTTAGCATTACAAAGTGCAATTCGTTAACACCCAGTATACTTCCAAATCAATTAAGGTCTCTGATATTGGAGCTGTCCAGTTTTTGGCGTTCATAAGAGTTTCTTTTTAATTTTTTTGAAATAGACAGATTGCCAGTTTTATGGCGCCTTTGCCCAGGTCACAGGAAGGATTGGTTTCATTTTCGGCAGCCTGTGCCGATGCGTTGGCGCGCTAGAGGATATTGTCTTTTTGCGATTATTGCCAGCGAAGGAAGAAGAGGGAAGGTGGTAAACAATAATGTGGAAGTAAACGAAGTAACAATGGAGAGAAAAGAGAACAAGACCAAGCTGGACTGATGAAGGATATTATGGTAGCATCATTGGCAAGTTGTGCCAACTTTATAGGGCAGTCCGCGATACAATATTCTGCCCATTGCGTGGGTTGAGACTGAAGAGCAAAGGATGAAGGCAAAAGGACGGATGTGTATAAAAATATGCAAATGCAAATAGACTGAGTGTGTGGTTCTAAACTATTACATTCCCATTCCACATCTCATTCATCTCAACATTCTCGACATTCCTTCATTTCGTTCTCCAGTTTACTTTACCTTGTATACACATTAACTCTCGTATTACTGCTACTTCAATTGCTTTAATTCTATCACTACTCACAGTTTAATAGTCCTTTGTTTCACGTCTGTTACACGGTCTGGAATTCACCATGGAATTTCGCCCAGATTTCACCAGCAGCACAACACACCAACAAGAGCATATTCACATCCAGCCTCCAGAGCATTGCAAAAAGGAGCTATGCGATCTGGATTATTCACAGGACCCGCCTCGGATCCTCTCTAACTACCTGGTTCATGCACCTAAACCATTCAATGCTGAGCCTCATCTTCCTCTCCTTATCAACTCTGGTCACATCACTCCGACGGATGTGTTCTTCAAGAGGAATCATGGTCCTATCCCGGACATTCGACTGCAAGACCATCGAATTTACATTGGAGTCCAGAGACAGAACCAGAGCAATCGAAATGGACTAACAGCAGCGCCAATGGATATTGTTGAATGGAAAGTTTTGACCATGGATGATATCATGAACAAGTGGCCTAAGGCCACTATTACAGCTTCTCTGCAGGTAAGTCTCTCGCGTATATCTCTTGTATATCATCTTTAAGAAACAAGCGAGAGAAATCACTGATTTTGCCTGCCATTTCTCCTTTTTCTTTTCTCTATGCTCAGTGCGCAGGAAATCGTCGAGAGGGCCTTGCACAAGTCAAGGAGGTCAAAGGAGTCATTTGGAAGGCTGGCACAATATCAAATGTAGGTAGCTTTTAACCTTGATGGTCCTTCCTCTGTTTTATTTCCCAATCGAATAGATATTGTCTTTGGACAATATGACAAAGAGCGAAGTGGAGAAATACAATGCTATTTTAATAATTGCTCCTCATTTGCCACACTGTCATACTTTTTTATTTTTGCTTTTCGCCATCTGACGACATAACCTTATTTTATTTGCTCCCCACAGGGCGCATGACCACCCCTTCCATCTTTCGTCTGTCTATTGTTATTTGTTCCCTTTTTGATTCTTCCCACTATTGTTTATGTATCACAATTTACGTACAAAAGCCATTCCTGAGAGAATAAAGGAAATACTACGACTTATAAAATATGTGGAGATCGTACTAATCTTTCCTTCTCACCCATTAATAGGCTGTTTGGGCTGGTCCTCGTCTGTGCGATATCCTTCGGAATGTCGCTGGTGTACCAGAAGACCTTCATCATGAGATGATCCGAAACTACCACGTCTCCTTTGAAGCAGACGACCATGTTAAGGAGGATGTTTGCTACGGTAGCTCTATCCCCCTACGTAAGGCCATGTATGTCGATTGAAACAACCATGTCCTCCGTGGGACATGGAAACATTTGAGAAGATACGCATTGGAAACGAAGTTAACAAAGCGAAGGGGGAAGTGTTCCTAATTTGTTTTTTTTTTTTTTTTTTTTTTTTTCCTTAACAAGGGATCCATTAGGAGACGTCATTCTCGCATATGAGGTAAAATATATACAATTGTCATACATACAAATTTTATGATGTTCAACTTGATAGGCGCTTACATAGTAAGCTAACACGTTTATTACGGTTTATTTTATGCTAATCTGCTTTGCAGATGAACGGTAAGCCACTGACTCGCGACCATGGATTTCCACTCCGAGTCATCGTTCCAGGCTACATTGGCGCTCGCTCAGTCAAGTTTCTCCAAAAGATTGTTGTGCAACCACAAGAATCAAATTCCTTCTTTCAGGTACAACACACAAACTCAATAGATCAGGCATGCACTGTTAAGAAGCAAAAAAAGAGATTTATCCTCTCTTTTTTTTTTTTTTTTTTTTTTTTTTTGTAGAAACTAGATTATAAGATTCTTCCTCCATGGGTAAGCTTTTTTTAATGACTTTCAAGGCGATCCTGGACTAATGTTAATCCTGGACTAATGTTAATCCTTAATAAGCCCTCTGTCTCTAACTGTATCTTAATCCGTCATCATATATCACTTATTTTGCGACCCCAATCGCTTGTCTATTTCTCCATTTGCTCGGTTGTTTGCTCGGTTGTTTGCTCGGTTGTTTGCTCGGTTGTTTGCTCGGTTGTTTGCTCGGTTGTTTGCTCGGTTGTTTGCTCGGTTGTTTGCTCGGTTGTTTGCTCGGTTGTTTGCTCGGTTGTTTGCTCTCTTGATTCCTTAGGTGGACGCATCAAACGTGGACAGCGCCTGGGACCTGGCGCCTTCATTAGGAGAAATGAATGTCCAGTGTGTCATTTGCACACCGATGGACAAGGAAATCATCTGCTCATCAAAAGCCATCACTATTAAAGGTTACGCCATTGCGGGTGGTGGACGTGCCATCTATCGAGTAGAACTGTCTATTGATGGCGGTAAGACATGGGAAGCAGTCGATAAGCTCGAGCAGACTCCTGACAAGATCAGTGGGATGTATTGGTCTTGGGCCTTATGGGAGAAGAAAGTGCTCAAGCTCCATACTACGTCGGAGCTCGTTGTTCGTGCGTGTAAGGCCAGCTCAAGAAAAGAAAAAACAAGTTGTCTCCCTGTATTCTGACAGTTGCTCAATAAGGCAAAAGAAAATGTTAACATCACTCTTTCTTCATCTTCATCACGCTTTTTATTGACTTCAATAGACGATTCAAGCGGTAATATGCAGCCAGAGTTCCCAGTTTGGAATTACAGAGGAGTTATGAACAACGCATGGTTCCGTGTTTCCAATGTAACTCAAATGCCACAGTCCAATATGTAAAAAGGAAAGAGTGAGAAAAACAAAGTAGAGTGATTTGTGCCTATCATGTCATAATAAATAAAGACATTCCAAGTACAAGCTACAAAGTTGGGCGAAGCAACCCTAATGCCCATATTGTTTATGGATTAACCACTTCTATTCGGCAAACCTTTGCAGTTTTTTTTTTGTTTTTTTTTTTTTTTTTTGCTAGACGACCAGCTTCTCGAGAAGCAATACATCTGTACTTAACAGCTTTATTGCTGCCATCCTCCTACAACATAAAATCCCTCCAATAGCTTTAAGCAGCTAAATCAAAGTCATTACTATCTATCAATTATGCTGACATGACTTTTAGGTACATTATGTGCTATTTTGCTATTACAAAAACCCGGAAGGGTCATGAAATTTATTAATATGAGCTTTACAACAAGTATCATAGGCTTCCCTTAATAGCAATGGAGAGTATCATTGGCAGTCACAGCGCCATCGAAGGAACTGCAGTGACACTTACCGCAGAATAAGTACTAAAGCAAGAGAAGAAGGGAAGAAATCGTCCTAATATCTGACCAAAGGCTTTAATGAATCTCCTAGCTATCACTTTTTACGACGATTGCATAAAGCCATGATGCGCGGCTTTATATTATCAACAGTTTAATAGACAGTTTGCATCCGGGCTATGAACTAAAAAAATATTTACAACTAGATAAGGGGGTATTGCTCCAAGACTATAAAGGTAGGCTGACGGGCAGGGAGATGGAAAGGAGGCATGTTTGCGTAAGAATATACTATGGTCTAGCATTCGACAAATATTTAAGGCGCATTACCGGGAATCTTAATCCAAAAATCATATAGAAAGGTTGTGTCAGCCCAGCTGCAGACATCGTTCTCCAGGTTCTGCGACATTGAGCTCTTAACATTCAGCTCAAGGATTGGATTGGCGTCATCATAAGGTGTCCAATTTACGCTGGTCACATCTGGATTAGATGCCTCAACACCTTGAATATCCGGTTTGGGATTGGGGTCTCCGGTCTTAGCAAATGCTGTGAATCGATCCACAGCCTGGCGGGCGAACCGCGCATCGTCTCCTTTTTGTGAAAATCCTGGGATGGAAGCACCGCTCGCAAACACAGGTTGAATATCAGCGGAATGGCAAACGCGACCTGTGCTCGATGAACAATAGCCCTCACCAACAAGAGGAGTATCACGACCACGGTTGAATCGGAGATTGTATACCTTTTTGTTCTTGGTCATCTGACGGCTGAGGTAGCGAAGGGGACAGAAAAAGTAATATTGGGTTCCAGCACGAGTGAAAAGATTACGAACTGCGTCCGAATCGTTGGGGTCGAGTTGGAAGTACTCTGAGCCTAAGATCGTTGCAGCTCGGTTGGTATCAAAAAAAAGCTCTAAAGCCGCTGACGCATTGGCTACAGGGACTGGATTAGGGAAGTACTGAGGAACAAAGAGACCAGCCTCATCCTTGGTACTGGTCCACATGACATTAGCCTTGGTGTTGTATTTGCCTGTCTTGACCAGTTGCGAGAACTCGGCAGGGATAAGTTGACCATCAATCGTAGGTCGCTGCACAAGGGCCCAAGTAGTCCATTTGTCATCTACAAGTGCCTTTGCATTGGCAATGGTCTGCGCCTCCAAGACTTGATCCACAGATTTGGAACGAGCGCAAACTAGATCCGTAACACCGCAGCCGAGAGCCTCCATGAAGTAGCTGGTGATCTGCGCAGCCGACGAAGGAAGCTTGAATGGGATGTTGATGGGGTCACTCTGGGCGATGACACTCTGATAAAGCCCCCAAGTAGAGGAAGCTGAAAGTAAGGCACGGATACTAGTCGCACCTGCACTCTCACCAAAGACTGTCACTCGATTGGGATCTCCTCCAAACGATGCAATATTCTGTTTCACCCATTGGAGAGCCAAGATCTGGTCGCGGAAAGCTTGGTTACCAGGGATGGACGACCTCGACCATGCGGCTTCATTTTCCATCCAACCGAGCATACCGAGACGATAGTTAATAGTAACAACAACGACTCCTCCACGAGAGACCATGTTACCGGGCTCAAAAATGATCACCGAGCCAGAATAACTATTGTATCATGTAGAAGAGGGTTCACTATTAATGAGGCTACCTAACACTAATAGCCACAGTGGAAATGAAGGATTAATACTTACGTAGTAAATCCTCCTCCGTGGAGGTAGAACATCACTGGCAACAAAGGTTCATTAGGGCCCTTTAAACTAGGAGTATAAACATTCAAATTAAGACAATCCTCACTTTCTCCCGCTCCGTTTTCAAGGTAGCTGAGAAGCATAGGAATAAATCCTGCAGATTGAGTGGTTTGAGGACAAACGCCCTTGTAGCGGATTGCATCCCAAGTTTGCTTGAAGGGAGCTTTGGCGACAGGAGCGGCAAATCGTAGATCTCCGACAGGTGGCTCAGCATAAGGGATTCCCAAGAACCGGAATGCATTCTGATCACGCCAACCTTGGATGGGGCCTACAGGCGTATTGACCTTGATTTGACGAGAAGCATCATCAAATAAGAGTACACGACGCATCACGCTGTTGAAGCAGACTGTGGGTAGTTGTGTATCACATGGAATCCAGTCAGTTTTTCCAGTTTGCTTATTGATTGCCAAGCAGTTGTCCAGCACACCGGGTATGCCTGTTAACCCCAATAATCAAAGCAAAAAAGATTTGAATAAATAATAAATAAAATAAAATAAAAGATAAACATCATTAACAACTATCGCGGGAAAACATCTCAAGCGGGACAAACATGAGTTATTGATTATGTCATAACCAATACAATACCGTTGTAGACCCAGAATTGTGAGTAAGCAGATACCTCCACCTGCGCAGGCGCATTCTTCTTCAGTAATGATACTAGGCTGTTGGCACCAGCTGTCCCGGGGATGAAGATGTATCCACCTATAGGAATAGAAAGTGATTATTAGGTAAAAAATCGAGCCATCAAGGCATGGACCATGTATTACGTATGACAAAAAAATACACGTGTGAATCTTTTGATTAACGCACAATTTGCACAACAATGATCCTTTTACTCTACATTTGCTGTGCGCCTTTTGACAGAAAGTGAGCCCTCACCACAATCACTACTAGCCATCACTCATTAACCATGCAAATAGACATACCGTCGCCCATGGACAAGCAGGCTTTCATGCCATCATAGTATCCTCTTGGCTTTGAAAGCAATAGGAATGCATGTTTGGCTGTGGAAGAGTCGACATCGTTCTCCATAAGCAGATGGGCTCCGCTAATGTCGCTCGCCAAAGGCGCCGTTGAAAGCAGAGCACGCTTTACAGGCGGCGATGCTGCTGTAGGAGGCGTCGGCGCAGCATCCAAAACTTGAAAGTGAGCAACTGCAAGCCATACGGCTAGGGCTGTGGACACTGGTTTGAGCAAAACCATAATGTTGTTGCTTTTCTTCTCGCTTGATTAAAGACTATTGAGGTAGGATAAGGCTTGAGGCTGCTATCGAGCAAAAAGACAAAAACGGGGAGATGAGAGAGTAGGCCGCTTGTGCAGTGAATGAGAAGACTGGCAGGGGCACCGAGAAAATTTGATGTCCTTTTATACAAATAACGCTAGGCAAAAGGGCGGAGAAAAAAGTGAACGAAGGCATTGTAATGGGCCTGAGCATTGCATCTGACATACCGAGTCAAATATTCGGAGTCGTTCAATCCGGTTTCTGTTTTTGCATGTGTATGTAATACATAATGCATATCCTTTCCACAAGAGCCATTGAATCATATCTATTATTCTCAATAGATTGTGTTGATCTTGAAAGATGTTGATGTGAATAAATATCATATCAAATGAAATACACAAAGAGGGTTGAATATGTATATACAGTTTGTGTGAATGTGGGAATGTGTGTTTATTCTTGCCGAGATGACTCTAGATCCTGCAAGGGAATGCCCTTCTGACTCGTCTTCCGAAATGAATGGAGTCATTGGCAAAAAAAAAAAAAAAAAAAAAAAAAAGTAAATAAAAAAGTAAACGAAGGAGTCGATCGGTTCGAATAAAAATAAAGACAAAGGGGCTAGGGGATGGAAGGAGGTCATAACAACAAAAGTGAGTTCAGGAACCAAGAAGCAAGAAACAGAACAAAAATAAAATCAGAATGTGCGCGAGCATGTGCTATCCCTATCTATGTGCAACGGCTAATGCAGCGTATTCATCATTACATGTGTACTGTGAGTTTGATGTCGCATACAGCACTGAATCAATGTAAGGAGGAAGACGTTAATGCAGCCTATGTATTGAAACTAGTGCGATCTGTTTCCTACTTTACAAGCAAACTCAAGCATTTTCTTTGGTGCTCTTTTTTTACAATGCTAGCATTGCCTCAAAAAAATGTGGGGGACACCATGGTTGTACGAATGTACACGTATGCCAAAAACGGTACAGATGGATCAAGTTTTCTCTCTAGTTTGGAAAAGCATGGACAATGGACAATGGACATGGATAATGGGCCGTACATTTTGCCCTCTGTTTGTAAGCATTTGTCTTTGAGATCAATTTTGCCATCAAAGATCAAGGCGCTTTTTCCTTTCAACTCCTCACGGAAGAATGATGACTAGAATATGATCTTTTAAAACAACATGGACTCGTCTGTTGGACCTTCAATTGGAAGGAAAGAAGAAATGTACCCTTTTGAGATGAATATATGTCTCATGATGTATGCGTGTGTTTGTGTGAATTTATCAATATGGTTGCTCCCTTATTTGTTATTGCCATTCCAGAGTATGGTAAGAAACTATTGATGTCATCTGACCCCACAGAGAATGCCGTTTGCATATAAATTGTGTGAAGAAACAGGGAGAAAAGGTGTCAGAGCGCGTTTGTTTGTTTATTTGAAATGTGCATGTGTTGTCACCTGCATGCCTTTGTTGGCCCTTTTTTGATTTGCTCAGCCGAATAGATGTCGTTATTTGCCAGACGAGCTTTTTGTTTGCTGTTTTGTTGGTTCCTTTTTAGGTACTAATAACATGGAACAAGACAATTTGCAGACAAATGTCCAACCCAACAACCTTTTTGACCCCAAAAAAACCGGTATATGTGTTCCACTACCACTTCGGCTATTTATTTGTCATCAGCGGATGTAGAAGGGCCATAATTTATACAGATCCAAATTCTCTGCTCGTTCTTATTCTTCGTATGTCAACTTTATTTTTTTTTCCTCGCAACTTGGGAAGCAACGTCATCAAGAATGATAGTGATATAATATAGAACCTATCCACGCCCTGTTACAGTGCTCTTAGTAAGGGAAACAAACTATGCTAAATAAAAAGGATCGAATCGAATGCAAAAACACCTGGTAGGTTTCAAATCGAGAAGGAATGTGAATGATGCGATGTAGGACCATGTGTAAAGACAATCGTTTATCGGACTGATTGTCTGCCTAGCGATGACCATCGGCCAATTTTGTTTACTTTCTTTGTATGAGCCATCCTCGACCTGCAGCTTCGAAGAAATGGGTCATTTCGAGAGTTCGATTTCATGTATTGTTCAGAAAGATGATTGGGATTTGTTTACCAGAGTAAGCAGTATTCGGAGTTGAGCAATTGGCAAATAAGCAATTATTCCGAGATATCGCGTCGATAGATCAACAAGCATACGCTTTGGTATCCCTTACTTTCATGTCCTATTCAGTAAGGACATTTCCTTTGGATACAGGGCTCGGATATATTTTTTGTAAGCTGCCACCAAGTTGTTCATGCTCGCTATTAATCTTCACTTTGCGCACTAGCCTTCATACCTTATCGGTTCTATGTTTATGGGATACTGTAAGCTATATGCAGGATGCTGAAGGCCACTACCAATAAACCCATTCATACAAGCGCACATATTTGAATTGAGATGTAACCCTTGGCTATACAGACTCTTTATAATAAATAATAAACATCTCACTGGTGGCCAATGTCTTGCTGGAATTTTATCTCCTGCACGCATTCGATGGCGTAAGCGCCACCTCCCCGCATTTTTGCGTCGCCGATATCTCTTTTCATCGGTGGAATTATATCATCCGTGTTTAACTCCTTGGCCCCACTCACCATGTCATGCATAGTTAGTGCAAACAACAACCTTTTATTCAGGTACCGATCATCTTTTTATTTATTGCCGATAACGTTGATATTGTTTCCTTGGTCGTACAAAGTCATGCCTACGCTAGCGCCTGAACTACATCGTAACATTTGCATGGCTTGTGTGCTACAATATTCTGGAGCGGGGGAAGAAAAAATACATTTTTTCTTGTATGCCTTGTATGCTCCTCTCTTTGTGCATGAGGCGCAAGAATCCGTCAATTTCGGTTCAGTTTTTACTTGAATCCTTTAGCGTTAATCCATTGATAGTGGGAGCCGGAATGTCAAATTTCATAAAAGCATACACATGGACTATGCTGCTGTTCCATCTGAGCGTACTGCACTACAATCGTCTCCTGTGACCTTGGGAATAGAGCACATGCGCTATTCATTTAGATTGGACAACAAGACAGCTTCTACGCATCATTTCCTAGAACAATACACGTAGATATTCCTTGACATCTTATACACACAACCCCAATCTCCTTTCACGTTTGTCGCCACGATTTTTTTCTTTGTATACCTTGGCCCAAAGAAAGAGCGCGGCTATCAGTGTTTATTTATTGTTGTCATTGAATTCAACAGTGAGTTTAGATAGCTTTACTAGCCGTGGAAATCTTACAGTATACATTGCTTGGTAATGATTCTGCCATATTCAATCAGCTCGTTTTTTTTTTTTTTTTTTTTTTTGATATACTTATATATGTAAGAGCAGAGTGTTGCCCTGCGGTAAGAAGGGTAGTACTTCCAAGGTTAAGCCTATCAATGTAAAACATACATGTTTGTACCAAAGTCGCCAAATAAATCCTACATATTTCACTGCCTTTATCCAATGCTACACCGCATACATGATGACAGAAGCACAGCTATTTTCCCTGGCCAGGCCTGAGAGCGCAATCCTGGACACAGCAGGGTTCCTCCTCCATCATTGAAAAAAAAAAAAAAAAGCAAAACTATACATTTTTGTGCTGGCATTCATTGTACAAAATATCCTTGTCCACTTGTCCTCCGGCATGAATTTTTTATTTTTTGATTTGCTTTATTAATGCCCCGTAACAACTTCTAATCGCCAAACCTGTAAAAAATCTAGGCTCGTCACCAGTCAGAGAGGGAAGCTTGCGTGAGAAGTGTCTGCAAGGCGGCCACAAATTGCCTCAATAGGCAATTTCGCTTGCAGCGCGTTCGTTCGCACCTGAGCTTCCACCTCAGACTGGTGACGAGCCTATAAAAAATACGTATGGTCCCTTGTTGCTCACCCTTGTGTCAAGATTTAATATTATACACAGCTAGTTCACTTTTTGCTAGAATCTAAGATTGATGTCAATAGACAATACAATGGATGGCTTCAATTGCATTTTAATATCAAGGACTAAAAAGGATGGAATGGAGAGGGAAAAAGAGATCAAGCCTCTAATCATCCCTTTGTTTTGATTGCAAATCTCTTTACCATTTAGTCGTCCCATAGGCAAGCAAAAAGCCTTCCAGGTGTCCGCTTCCTCTCTCCAGTGTATAGCTCTCGCAAGTGATGTTCTGCGTGTTTAAAGAAAATTGCTTCAAATCGTGTCAAAGAGGAAGGTCATATTCAACGATTAAAACGTGCGTGAGTGGGATGCAAAAAAAAAAAAGTCTTTTTTTTTTTTTTTTTTTTTTTTTTTTCATTGGATGGCTGGTTTGCTAGCCTGAAAAGTAGGCAATTATCACGATTTTATTGTTGCCTCTATTAGTGTTGTCATTTTGTCACCAGTATAGCACAACTCGTCCTAGTAATGATCCATAGCTCGCTCTATAACAGCGTAAGCTTGGGGACGATGATAGTTGCAGATTCATTCGTCCGTATGCTTTGATATATCATTTTCAAGCAAACGCTTTATAGTTTGATTGAAGGATACCCCTTGCAACCTAACAAAACCCTTACACTACAAATGGTTGGGACCGAGTAGCCGAGATCCAAACCCATCCCATAAATACCCATGTTCTAGTGCCAGCCACAAATGCCTATCTTCTGATACCACGTTTTGGTAATTCCATAAGAGCCATTCAAATGTCTTTTGAGAATAAAATTATATGAACTTAAAAGGTATTCAAACACCACTTTTTGTACCACAGAAAAAAATATCAGCAAAGTTGCACAGCCTTGATACACCTGTCTGTGGAGCATTTTTTTAGCGGCGTCAGGATTGGGGGGTAACCAGCCTAAGGATACAGTGGAGAGCTGCATGAATAGGTTACCAGAAAGGATTCTATTAGTGCAATCTTACGAACATGGATGGTATTCTTGGATTCTATCGTCACGTGCAGGACCCCACGGCTAGCCTATAAAGCAAGCACAGACTCATCGAGTGCAAATTTGCAATAGCTTGAAAATACCCGGCTTCAATAATCATAACAAGAACCGCTTCTCGCATCTACATCTACCTAATCCAATTATGCGCAGGTGAGGGCTCTCACAGGAATCTTTGGTAAATCGGCTAGTGGACAGTGGCCCAGTCGTTCTGCGACAACGCACGAACTGGGTTGCACAGAGGTTGCCTCCTTGTTTGGTCCTTGCAAGCCCGAGCATTCTGTCCCAGTAGCCAATCATTGGCGGACAACGCGAAAGAGGCTTATTAGCTGGATGTAGAAGTTTTTGTACGTGTGAGAATATGCTCCTTGTGCTGCTCCCTTCAAATGAAAACTGCGGCTAAAATAGACTTTACGTACACTGGCTGTTCCAACCTAAGCGTTGTTCCATATTCCCAAATCAAAAAAGGGATAAACGAAATGGATCACGAATAAGGGCTTCTCCCACTCAGCGCGCTTGTTAAAAAGGCCTAGTATTTGGCTTTTTTTTTTTTCTTCTCATCTCTTCTCTCATTCAGTTCCTCATCCATTCCTTCCTTCCTCTTTCACTTCTCGACTATTCATACCCTTATCATATCAACTATGCGTCTTTCTGCTGCTGTTGCTCTTGTCGGTCTCGCTGCCACCTCCATGATGGCTGGTGTTCGTGCCGAAGAGACTCCCAAGGCGTCTGATGTCCTCGACCTTGGTGCTAAGAACTTCTCTGACACCATCAAAGAAAACAAGCTCATCCTCGTCGAGTTCTATGCCCCTTGGTGTGGGCACTGCAAGGCTCTCGGTACGTGTTAGCCTTTGCCCTTTTCCCATTGTATTTTACATTTTACTTCCCGCGTCAGTTTTAGAAGCGAGCTACGCTCGTGGAAACAGAAGAAAGCTGACGCATTTCAACATTTATTCATTGCATCCTCACCACCTGCTTTTATTTTTCGCTTCACTCCACTTAGCTCCTGAGTACGAGATCGCTGCCACTCAGCTCAAGGAGGTTGGCATCCCAGTTGCCAAGGTTGACTGCACTGTTGAGACTGACGTCTGCAAGGATCACGGTGTCCAAGGTTACCCTACTATTATGGTGTTCAGGTAAACCATCAACTTTTGACAATTTTATGATGACAGGAGCCTATTTGAAGCGGCAGCGTTTGTTTTTTAGATCTCAACAATACTAACAAGTTCGTACGCACATCCTTGGTGTGTTTCTTGCTTTAATCTATTTAATCCTATTAGGGATGGACAGCCTACCAGCTACGGTGGACCTCGCAAGGCTGATGGCCTCGTGTCTTTCATGAAGAAGAAATCGCTTCCTGCAGTCTCTGAGATCACTACCGACAAGCTTGCTGAGTTTTCTACTTCTGATAAGGTTGTTATCGTCGGTGTTCTCCCCAAGGACTCTAAGAAGCGAGCCACTTTGGAGAAGGTTGCTAAAGCCTACAGCGATGATTTCATCTTCGGTGTCATCGAGGAAAATCCCGATATTAAGGGTGAAGGCATTGTGCTCTACAAGAAGTTTGACGAAGGCAAGAACCTTTTGGAAGGTGACTTCACTGAAGAGTCTCTGACAGAATTCATCAAGACTTACAGTGTTCCTATCATGGACGAGATTGGACCCGACAACTACGCCAGTTACATGGAATCTGGCCTTCCTCTTGCCTATTACTTCTTCTCCAACGAGGAGCAGCGCACCAAGTACAGCGCAGATCTCGAGGCTGTTGCCAAGGAGTTGAAGGGCAAGATGAACTTTGTTTACATTGATGCCACCAAGTTTGGTGCCCACGCTGTCAACTTGAATCTCAAGGAGTCCTGGCCCGCTTTTGGTATCCAGAACGTCGATAGTGGCGCCAAGTTTCCCTTGGATCAGGAAAGTGAACTTTCAGTTGAGAATATCAAGACCTTGGCTCAGGGTGTTCTGGATGGTTCTGTCAAGCCCTCCATCAAGTCCGAGCCCATCCCAGAGAAGAATGACGAGCCTGTCAAAGTTGTCGTTGCCAACAATTACAAGGACATTGTTGAAGATCTTGACAAGGATGTCTTGATTGAGTTCTACGCCCCTTGGTGCGGTCACTGCAAGAACTTGGCCCCCATTTACGAGAAGATTGGCAAGCATTACGAGGGCTCCAACATCGTGATTGCCAAGTTTGATGCCACTGCTAACGACCTTCCCGTAGATACTCCTTTCCAGATTCAAGGTTTCCCCACCATCAAGTTCCGTAAGGCTGGAAGCACTGACTACATTGACTACGACGGTAATCGCAGCGAGGAGGACATTGTCAGCTTTATTACTAATAATGCTGTCCACAAGGTCGACGTCAAGGTTGAGGAGCAGAAGTCCGCTCCTGCGGAGCCCGAGACTGAGGATATTGAGCATGACGAGTTGTAAACACGCCAAATAGCACAACACACCATTGCCCTTTTTTGTTTTTTACATTTGCAGATTGGCACTCTCTTGTATAATATCGACATTCCGAGAATAAACTAAATTATTAAAATATAATTGATGTTCAGGGACAGACAGTCACCATGTGGTCACCATTAATGACGGCTGTATTACATTCTCCTTTCTTAATTGCACTCTCATTCTTTCTACAAAGGCTCGAACTTTTTAACTTCCTTTAGTAGTGCAATATGATTTCACGGATTCCCATTCGTGCATTCACCTCGAACGCATTCAGGACAAGATTAGAATGCACTCGCCTCTTACACACACAGGCTAATGTCAACCCTAGTGTTGTTCCTCAGGCGCATTATAATGTCGTCTTAGACATTGATGGTGTTCTCATCAAGGTGAGTACATTTATACCAATTTTTTTAATACCTTTTATAGAAGAAATGTGGGTGTGTATCACCAATGTAGAAACCCCTAACTGTTGTACAACTTGACATTTCAACGGCATTCAACACTATGTTATCCGCTTAATACTACAATAGGGCAAACAAGTTCTACCACAGACTCACCGTGCCTTAGAGTTGTTGAAACTGTAAGTCTCCATTCATTGGATAAAAAGAAATGTGATCAGAGGACATCACACAATCGATTCTTTATAAACATGAATTGACATGAAAATAATGGACCGAGCTTTTAGCAATAACGTGCCCCATATCTTTCTGACTAACGGCGGAGGGCTTAAGGAACACGACAAGGCCGAACAGCTTAGCAAGAAGATTGGTGTCCACGTAAGTAGAATTATTTTTACTAGATGACGTGAAAACAAAAACTAAATATAACACTGTGACTAACTTTACTTTGCCCAAATTTTATGGCGATAAATCAAGATCTCACCCAAGCAACTGATCCTTTCTCACTCACCAATGCGTGCACTTGTATCACAATTCGAGAGCAAGAATATACTAGTCGTGGGGGGCAACGGATCGGATTGTCGACATGTTGCAGAGTACTATGGATTTAAACACATTGTGACTCCCGAGGAAGTTCATACTGTCTATCCATCTGTGTCTCCTAGTTCCGCAATTGAGGCACGATCCGTACCTTTACCAGAGGTAATGAATGTAACAAAATTTTGACCAGTGAGGCGGAATCGAGCTCTTTTTTTTTTTTTTTTCCTTTTCTCGATGATTTGCTTAACTTTAAGGTCTTCGCCTATTACCCCTTTAGAAATACCTTCAAAATGTACATCGGCCTGTAGAAGCAATTATGGTTTTTCATGATTCGGTAGATTGGGGGAGAGATCTACAAGTTATGTTGGACGCTCTGGTCTCAAAAGGCATGCATACACCCTTTTCTTTTTAAAAATATGAGTAGCTTCCTAAGCTTACTCTGTCTTTGTGATGCTAAATGACTAAACTTTTTGTTTTTGTTCGTTTTTTGTTATTGCCATTTACTTAATTACGTTTCCAAGACGGGTGCTTGACTTCCCACAAGACATTGGCCGAACTTCACACAACCAAGCAAAGTGTTCCACTCTTTTTTTCTAACTCAGATCTGGTCTGGAGCAACGAATTCCCTAATCCAAGATTTGCTCAGGGTACTTTTAGAACATGCCTAGAAAGGATATATGAGGTATACGATGTTACATATGAACTTGACAAGTTATTCGAAATATTAATGAAATATCGAAATGTCTAAAGTACTTTTTTATTTTATTTTTTCATTGAAAGGATATGACAGGACACAAATTGGAGTACACATTATTTGGTAAACCCATGCCTTCGACATATCAGTATGCAGAGTCTGTCCTCAACCAGCTCACGCTGGTTCATATGTCCACTGGAAAGCCCTATCCAAGAACGATTTATGGTAAAAAACACATAAAATAACATGAACATAGTCTTTAGATGATTTTTTAAAAATGTATACACACTTACTACTCTATATATTTTTTAAATACACGGATAGCTATCGGAGACAACCCATATGCAGATATTGCGGGCGCAAATGGATATGGATGGCAATCTGTACTAGTCAGGACAGGTGTATTCAGGCCAGAAGGTGAAGAAAACCATCATATCCACCCTGCTACAGCAGTTGTAGATGATGTTGAAGACGCAGTGCGGTGGATTATTTCTAGAGAAATGAGGAAGGAACACCCTTTCTAAACCCAATCAAAAGGTGATGAAACCAATGTTCAACTAGAGACAACCCGGAATATTCATAGATTCATATAGACTGATGATATTTTTTAGACTAGACTAAGACTCATAATAATCGATGATCTATTTACGAAAGTTCGCCATCTAACAATTGCTTTTTATTGTCAAAAAGGAATCACTGGTAAATATTAGTAAATGTTATTCGCTTTCAGTAAAATTATCAGAGGCAGTTTCTATGCTATGTACAACAATGAAATGGAGAGAGAAATTGGAATCCAATGTTCTATTATCACTAGATTCTTTTTACTCGCCTCCCCCTCCTTCAGCAGGCCTATTAAATGTTGGGCGGCGGTACAAACGAGCAACTTGCTCAGATGAACACTGTCTTATAGGCGAGTTTGTTCCGAGAGTGATTTGGTCCTCTGCACCCGCGTTTGATCGCTCTAGCTCTTCACCCTGGTAAACTTCGACGCGCTGGGGCACTGCATAGTACTTGATACCAATTGCCTCGACAGCTTCCTTCAGCGCGTAATTGAACTAAAAGTGGGAGATAAAGATCATTTGTATGATGTTATTAGTCAAAAAATAAAAAAGTAAGCCAAAAATAATCTTGAAATGATAAAAAAAAATAACTTAAGACATACAGCTGTACGGCGTGCCCAACGGCGACCAGAGTCTTGCCAGTTACCCTTGTGCTCGATACACATACTGATCTTGAGCTTAGCATCCATTTCCTGAATCTGGATCTCGAGATCCGGCAAAAAGTCCTTACTCTCTCTGATCAAGTAATCACGCATTCTTGCACGCAACTCAAGGATCTTGGACTGAGGTGTGTAGCAATCGATATTGAGGACTATAGAGGATAAGAAAAAGATTCAAAAGTCAGAATGAGCAAATTATTTTAGAAAAAAAAAATGGAAAGAAGAAACTTCAATAAGAGTATGCATGAGAAGTACTTACCAATTTTATCGGTCATGTTTGGTGAACGACGAACATTATGAATGGGCTTTTGGCTAATAATGTTGTTAGGGAAGTACATTCGCTTGCCGTCCCAGGTTACAAATGTTGTGCTATTAAGTCCGACCTCACGGACATACATGTCATATCCATCAATGCAGACCAGATCGCCGGAATCGTAAGGATGCTATATTGTATGAGAGTTGAAAAACAAACACGAGAGCAGATCAGAGACGTTTCCCGCACTGATGATTCGGCGCAAATTAACACATGATAATTCTTACCGTGATGAATAAAAAGACAATGTTCTCAAACAAAATCTTGAGCGAGTTTCCGAACACAAAGCTGAGTGCAACCAAGAATGAACCGATCGACAACATGTTCTTAACAATATCCTTGCCAAAGATAGAAAGGACAATCAGTAGCCAAATCACAGCAACAATGGTCAAGAAGATGATATCTAACTTGCCCACTGCCTGTGATAAATCACGAAGAGACGTATGCAAATCCTTTCGTTCCTTGTAAACATAAAATATCTTCTCCTTCATCTCGCTCTTGGAAATGTCGCCGTTACTATCCTTGTCAAAGATCATAAACGCGCGCTTGGCTTCTTCTTCATCATCAAAGTAAGGATAGAAATCTTGGACTATCAATTCATCAGTGTTATTCTGAAGGTTGTAAAATAATGTCTTGGCCAGCCGTTTAGCATTTGCGGTTGACCCGATATCCTTGGCGGGCGAGGATTTGTTGGCGAGCGCGATGCCATGGAGGCGTCGATTAATCCCGCGGAAAATATTCTCGTTGGGCTTATTACGGTGGCTGCGAGGTTGATGACTGTAGCGATTATTCGAAATTAAGATCGAGTTGCGACTACTGCCATTCGTTTCCGTAGGACTTGTCATAGGTGTGCTACTCAGGATCATTGCCTCCGTCATCTTTTGCAACATTTCATTAGGAGTATCTGAGAGAATCTCTGCTTCATTACTATCAGTCGTATGATTGCTGTTGCTATTGCTTTTGTTTCTACTTGTATGGAATCCGGTGTTGTTGCTACTGAATGTGTTGCCGTTACCGCTTCCTGGAGCTGCCTCCATGCTGTTGGATCGGGAGGGGTATCCAGACCGGTATCCGCTAGGAAAGTTGTAATCTCCAATATTATCAGCCGTGTTATGACGACTGTGGGTGGGGCGGACCTTCTTGATATTCTTCTTGGAGGTGCTCAATCGATCCAAAACAGAGAGCGCGTACTTGTTCTCTGCAATACGATCTGCATATGCAATCTGATGGAAATTGGTTGAGATCATGTGCAACAGGATCTTCTCGGCGAATACCAATGCACAACCTGCGACAATAGAACCCAGAACCTCAATGAAGATGGGGTTAAGTTTTTCGTCTGCGCGTGAGTATGGTGATTTGGACAAAAATGCGAAGGATCCAATGGCCCAGCATGACGCCAACAGAAACTTGAAGTACTTTTTGGTGGCAACAAAGATCTTTGATTCAGTGAGTAAGCATGAAAAAGAGGAATGAATGTTATTAGGTTATTAAGAACGAAGGTTTTGGTTCATGATATCGGTTTTGCAGGGTCACACGTGCTACGATAATATTCAACTACTATTTTTAATCCAACTCACCAGCAGTCGGGACCTGAGGTTTTCTAGACGGAGACTACTAATAAATGAAGAGAAACGGACAACGACTACTGGAACAATATCGATACCCCAATTTGTTAAAAAGACGATGCCCCACATGAACGAAAGCCACACAAAGATCAATGTGATGATCGTTTTGGGAACAGCAGGATGCAGCATGGTTGCGTCATCCGGGCCTGGCAGTGGAGGATCATCTGACATCATAAAGGTGACCAAAATGGCTGGCAGAGCAAGAATAGGGCATCCGATCAATATCATGATCACCATTCTTAAGAATGGCGACAGCCTTCTCCAATTGGACTGCTTCTTCTCTTTTGATTTTTTAATAACTTGGCCGCTTTCATCAATATTGATGTCTTCATCCCAGTCAAAGTCAGACTCATCGCTGTTCATGGCCTGTCTGGGAGGCACAAAGTCATTCATGGCAGCCTCATCTTGCTTCATTATCCGCTCCATATCGATTTTAGTGGACCCAGGCAAAGATGGTGCATTGGATGGACCAAAAGAAGACGGAGTGCTATGAGAGTTGAGTGTGTTTGAAAAAGAGAGTGGTGGTACCATCCCGCCTTGGGCGAGGGCGGGCCGTGTGTATGCCCCTGAGACCTTTGGTTCTGTCTGCAGGGTATCATGTTCAGAGACAGGTGGGAGAGGAGCTCGGGCTCCACTGTTTAAAGGGTCATTAGGAGCGACAGGTGGAGGATAGCTGGCTATCATTGGTATATCTAGTGAACAGACGAGAAAAGAAGAAAGAGAAATTGAGGAAGTAGGAGAAGAGACAAAGGATTTAAAAGCGTAGGCTAGTCAGCATTCTGTTAGCTCCTTCCAATGGCCTTTTCTTCGGTGCCTTGTGGTGTCTTTATCGCACTAGTGTGTTCTAGGACAGAGACTAGGCGGGTACTTGTTCGAGCACAGAGCTTAAAAATCCTTTTTCGTCAGACAATCAGCGCCCATGCCAATTGGAATCTGGTCAAAGAATTATGAGCCGCATGCAAGCGTGGGGGAAAGTGAAAGAGAAATGTGAACCTGTTCATTTTACAATAATAGAAACGACTGTGGTCGTGGTGGTTGATCATGTTGCTTTTCAGCACTGTCTATATCTTTTGTCTTTTCTGTCTTTTTTGATCTGGGTCACCTCACGCATGGTCGTCTGGCTAAACACTGTCGTGCTAGTGCATTTTTTTCCCCAATGTTTGTTGTGGAAATGGACGATCTTTGCACGACACCCAGCCGTTCCTGAAAATGTCACATACCTTTTTGACGTTTGAATTTCATGATTTGAAACAATTATTTATTGACGAATAGAGAAGATTAAGAGTAAATTTTTATGTCTCGATGTCATGCAACCAGGCACCGTGTTGGAAAGCCTCGACAAATATGTAGGAGAGGTTTTTGTACCAGTGAAATGTCGCTATGCAGACACGGTGGAAGAAAATCAAATTCCGGATTCAATTATAAAAAGAATAAAAGATAAAAAGAGAGAGAGAGAGAAAATCGTATTATGTTCAGGGGATTTATTGCAGGCTCATACAATGAACTGAAGCATGAGTCATTTGATTCTGTTCGTTGTGGTGAATGATGGATAGGAATGAGATTCGTTCAAAAGAAAAGAGTGAAAAAAAAGGGTGCAGAGAATAGTATAATATATATATACCAACGTTGATATAAGTTGAGTCCACAGAGGATAGGTATCCCGGAACCCGGACCATTGTAGCCAATGACTCCATGAGAGCAGATGTCTGATTGTAACCGCAAATGTTATTGCCATCATTGGCTAGTGTCATCTCCCTCTAAATAATGGGTAGGGGGAAAGGCACAGAGGAGCTCAGTTCGCGGACATAGTGGTGACAAAACTGTTGATGTCCAAAAAAAAGTACTTCTTCGCAAATGTCTTTATTCCTTTGTCTCGCTGACAGGGATATGTTATGCTATAGATCATCGACACAAGTGAACAAGCGTTATTCACATCCATTAAAGAAAAAAAAATACTCGGAGCATTGAAGAGAATTTCCCCTAATTTTCAATAAGGCTTTTAAGTTTTATTAGGTCAACGCTTAGTGCCATTTGTAAAATTGTAAGCGTGCTCCTTTTTGAACAAGTAAGATAGGGCTTTTTGCTTGTGCAACAGGTCATATAAACCTTCAATCATTCCTTCTGGTATCCATCAACTTGAAGTGTCCTGCGTTCATATTTGAATGGCATGATCCATATACACTTTTCACGAGCATCACTTGTAAAAATACTCCCATTTTTAAAGCGACTCATCACCATCAGAGGATTGAAATTATGTGTCAAAATCTGTATTGATAAGAGCCATGATGTCATTTTTAGAGTATGGTGGATACTGTTTACCCCTTGACATTGAAAACTTAAAATAAAGGTTGAGTTTCATTTTACCAGAGTTATAGAGCTTGGTTTTCGGTCACAGAATGGTAGGAGTCCATATTATAGCCCGTTTCATTTGGTCACGATACCTTATATTTTTTAAATTGATTGAATAGACTCAAGCGAAAATTGAATTGTATTGAATAGCAACTCTAAATCCGATGTCGTTCGCTACTTGCAAGCTTGGCTCGCTGTCCTCTATTTGCACGCCGAGCGACGGAAGAGGTCAGTGGCTTTGACGTTGAATAACTGTTATGCGTCACTATGTTTTGCTTCCTTACCTTCACTCTAGCTCTCACGCAACACAATCAAACATGATGATCGTCAAATTCACAGAGTTCCATCAAGTAAGTAATAGACTATCTTTTTTTTATCATTTACCTGCGCTTCCTAATTATTTGTGAGTAATCTCTGGTTTCTTACGATGAATAGACGCGGAATCTTTCGATCCAATGAGAACATCGCAGCTTCCTTCTCCCTTTTCTTTTTTTTGACCTTGGAGGTCGTTACAAGGAGACGCCAGATGTTCTGCTGATTCGAACTGGCCACTACCCATAGTGGGGAAACTTTTTGAGCAGGTCTTTGACCTTGTGCAAAAGTTTCAGCCCTCCGGTTTTAAAAAGATTCTGTCAAGCATCTGAGTCTTTTCTTTTTTTTATATTTTCTTTTTCTTTTTCTATGGCTGCTGAGGGATATACGAAGGGACGCCGGATGCTCTGCTGATTCGAACTGGCCACTACCCATAGTGGGGAAACTTTTTGAGCAGGTCTTTGACCTTGTGCAAAAGTTTCAGCCCTCCGGTTTTAAAAAGATTCTGTCAAGCATCTGAGTCTTTTCTTTTTTTTATATTTTCTTTTTCTTTTTCTATGGCTGCTGAGGGATATACGAAGAGACGCCAGACATCTCACTGATTCGTTAACTGCCCACTATTTATAGTGATGGAAACTCTTGGTCTTTGACCCTGGTTTCAGCAACCCAGTCGTATCGAATCTCAAGGGTTCTGGCTCTATTTCTTTTTTTTTTCTATTTTTTTTTCCCCCTCCAAGACATGGTTCCGCCTTGGTTCTTGCTATCTCCTGCCAGCTCGCCAGGTCTGACCACAAGTTGCCGTCTGTTCTCCGTCGCGGAAAATGGATAATATGATTATTTTTTTGCATGGTATTACAAACGCAAGGCCTTTATTCAAACCTACAACATGCAACTCGACATCGAGACCAATTTTAACCATCATATATACTCTGAAGTAATATTAGGCCAACCAAGATTTTACCCATTCGCACACTCGGATTCTTAGCAGCTGTCGGGCCGCGGTTTTTGTCGAGGCGTGGATGAGGATATCGTGGGCAAGACTCTCAACAATGTTTATATTTCGTTGGAATAACAAAAAGCATCAAGCATTAAAGTCGAATAACAAAAAGCACCAATCATTATACTCGAATTGCGCAACAAGAATTATCAGGCAATAAAGCTGCATATTTTCGATAAACCCTTAATATTTATTTATATATATCATGTATTATGCAAAACTTGACTGCAATTATGCCAGCTAATGGCACACATGTCTGCGTGATCATGGTAAGAAAGGCTATATCTTCTGTATGCCATCGATAGCGTTTTCTTCACAAAGCTGCTGAAGTATTCAATTTCTTGCTGTTGTAGATCTCGATCATTAGACTAGGTCATACACTGAAGGCCTAACATTAGTGACGGCTATGGCGGGGTTCAATAAAGGGCTCCCTCTTGACAACAAATAATAAACAACTTTTTATCTTCCTTCACATTCCAGCAAAATTTTTACAATGTCTTCAGCACAATTTTCTTTAATCCCCAAAGAACTTAGTGCGGAACAGGCAAGCCGGAGAAGCGAG